TCTTTACAACATACCCTAACTTATCAGATTTTAAAGATTTGGAGAACTAAGGCACCTTAGCAAGTGATATGTTTTTCATAGCAAATATCTAAAGGTTTAAACTACAGTATTCGTCAACTACGACGATTTAATCATTTCAAATATAGCACATATGTCTTCATTATGATTTTGTGTAAGTGCAATCTTTAAGAATGGTTTAAGAATACGAGTAAGCATGATTCGATACATGCCAAGCTACTGATCATCGGCCAAGAAAGGATCAATTGGCTATTCTAACGGATATTTACTATTGTAGATATTTATTGTCAAGATTGCTTTCCCAAATCGGAGAATTGCACAGAAATAATCGCTGGTACTTGCTTTCGTGGATCTGTTTCACCTTTTGAATCTTTACCGATTGTGATAGAAAAGTCTTGCTCTTCTTTACAAAATTTTACTAGCATCAGTCAAGGTAAACTGATAGACCATGCGTCCTAAAAATCGAATTCAGTAAAAATGGAGAAACCGTGATAGTCTATAAAAATGATCTGAGAAAACTCGTAATAGTACTATTTTCGGTTACCTAAGACTATTATATCAGATTAGCTAAGCCAATATACCGACAATATCTACGTATAATATTCAATTAAATCTTTGCTTCTTCATACCAAATCTATGATTGTGCATATTATTAGTTGTTGAAAGGTCATATTGTTTAGAGTTATGATAGTTAGATCTGCAATATGACAATTTTTAAACTTTAAAAATTGTTTTTCCGGTATGATTGAAGATATCGAAGGAATAGCAAGTGTTTATTGCAAAGAAAATTATCAAATTTCTCAAAATGATCTCGATCTTTGCGATTGCCGAAACTCAAATGTCACTAGATCTGTTTATAATATCCAGGTACTAAAATGATTTTATGAATGAGTCATAACTTAGATCTATGGTTGCAGAATCTAGTAAAAAGATGATAATATCTTCAAATTGACTTTGCCGTATATTTTGTAACGCTTTCATAAGTATTCTTTCACATAAATTCATATTTACTTATTTAGGATATGCCGGATGTAGGTTCAGCAGCTGCACTGGCTGATGAACTGCGTAAATTGCATGCATCCATCTTTCAATTCATTGATCATCTTCCATTACTCGGCTTCAGCTTGAAAATCAACATGAGTCAATTGGCAGTTGGTCTGCAAGCGGCCTCTGATAAACTAACTAGTGTTTCCGATGAAGATCCAAGGAAATTATTAGCTTTCAGCGTAAGAAATTATTAATTGAACGCTTAGATAATCAGTTTGAATTTTAGCATTTAATTTTTCTGGTAATATTCAGCAAGTTCGTTCTTACAGTTGTCATTCTAATTAGTCTGAAATTTAAGTGCCCTATTCAGCTTAATGTGTATTGGGTATGTTTCCAACTTAATAATATCTAATGATATAATATTGCTAACAGTGTGTTATAGAAATCATACGAAAGGTGTCCTCTTACATATCCTGTAATCAAACGGTTAGATTTAAATTTTGATGAAATTTTTCGCTATTCAGCTATGGATTGTCGTTGCAATGTAATATTTTATAATGCAAATGATGCTAATACTGTTTAATGATACAATCAGGATATGGATCAGTTACAGATACTAATGAATATAACCGCATCTGGTCTACAAAGCGAATCATTAGTTTGTTGTCAAACTGGGGAATTAGCAAACAATGCAGTATGCCCAGATTCGTTGGGTAATGAAAATGTTGACGAAAAATTTGTGCTTACGATTTTTTGTAAATAAGTTATCAATCTACCTATAGTAATAAAATAAAATTGAACATCTATTTTAAATGCCAATCTACTGTTTAATGGCGATTCTTTTAATAAAATGACTGGAGCAGATTTTGAAGCCTGTCAACCTAAGATTGAGCATTTGATTTTATGGCCGCGAACTACTCCTGGTTCTAGTATTCAGCTTTCTAAATGCAGTCAATATTATGGTTTGGATAAAGTCAAAGGTAGTTCAATTTTGATCCAACTGCCGTGGAATATCAGTTATCTGGTATTCTTAAAGAGGAAAATTGGATATCTAAGTCTGTCTTGATATATTTCCGTATTTAGGTGATTTGTATCGGTGGTGCCAATCAACATTAACGAATTCTTCTATATGGTCGCCAGTTAGTGACTGCCATTGCTATTCAGAAATTGTTTCAATAGTTTACGAACGGGTACATGCGACGAAAAACTTAAGTGTAAACAGTAATACTGAGAAGTAATCAAAATATTAATAATTCGTTTATATCTCGATCGTGTGTTGGTAACAGATGATCACGATAAAAAGCAAAGATTATCCACCTTCGTACTTGATTCAGATGGCTAGTTTTCTTCATAAAAATCAAGGCGACGTGGCTGGAAAGCAATTAACTATTGACACGCTTAACTTAATATATACCATCCGGCAAGAGCGTAACGTTACCAATTATCCTTTGGAATATCAGAATCTAGATAACGTAAATATACTATTACTGATTTAGTTTTTGTTCGATTCTAGTTTAGAACTATAATTATTATTGTTACTTTATTATATATTTTTCATTAATGATTATTGACAGTATACATATGTACGTTATTTCGATCGTTCGACATAATTGCTCTTCAACTGTAGTGTTTACTTCGAACTGCGACCGATATACTACAGCAGTTAGAAACGACGTCTACTCACTGTCCTATTCATGTAAGTTGATTCTAATGGATAAATTAGTTTGCATCGACGTTGAGAATACGTCGATTTGCTATTGCAATATCATGATGGGGTATAAAAAATTCTATACGATGAACTATTTGCAAGTATAACCTAACATTAAGACACATCTTATCGGGTTAGGAAGGACAACAAGTTACCTTATCCAATGTCTTTTACCAGCTAACATATAATGTCTTCGGAGAAGAGGCTACCAACTCATTCCTAGGAACTTGGGAAAATTTTACATATCAGGCGAATATGAGTAAATTAATTTCTTATGAGTTGAGTTGGTACCAATCTGGCTGCACACATGTTGGGATAGTAGTACCTCTACCTCCTATTACAATTATAATAACAATACCAGGGATACACGATAGCTATCAAGATATGGTAAATCCGCAACCAGTAGGACCGGGCGATTTGACGGTTTTAGTTACCGGTTCTGATGTAAGGATTAATAATTATACAATTAGCTATTAAAAGAAACATCTCTAAGTAACCATAGCAGCCTAAAAGAAGTTTAATTAACTTTAAAACTTTATAATTGTACTGTAATTTATTAAACGTTTCGATATTCATTTAGCACGATGGATTTATTTGTTAGTCCTTTTGCTACTTTAATTATCTTCAACTATAGGAGCAACCGTCACCCTTTCAACCTCTTCCACCCCCTGTTATTCATGTTATTCAATATAATCCAATACAAATTAATGGTAGTAATGAAACTACCATTGCTAGTAACGAAACTATCATTGTTAACAGCACTGTTGATCCGATGTTTAGAGTAAGGCTATTGCACAGTCGTATACTGTCTATAATAAGCTATATTGGTCTAAGCCTTTCAGCGATTGGATTAATTGTGACTTTGTTAGCCTTTATAATTCTAAGGTAAGCTGTAAACGCTCTGTTGGTGAAATATAATAAAATCTCTACGTTTTGCTTAATAAGGTGATACTTATGTTAACACTTGGCTTGACTGCTACTGAAATTAGCGTAACTGAGTCATTTAAATTATCTTATTGTGTGCTTTTTAAGTATAATAGTGGTAGCAAAAGTCTTCTTCAATTCATGAATGTTATAGGTTACCTAAATCGCGCAAATGGTTTATCCACATCAATTTAATTATTGCTATCGTATTTTCTAATGTCGGATTTATGGCATTAATAAATCAGACTGCAGATAAGGTTAGTTGGCGAAATTTGATTAGTTATTCATATTATAACATTTAAAGATTGTAAGTGCTGTCGATAACCTCAACTGGTAGACATTTTACCAGTTTTTTCACTTTAAAGTTTAAAGTTCATGTTCTCTTCTGGTTCCAAAGTAAACGAATTAAGTTCGCTTTTAACAGTAACTGTGTATAGCTGCTTATGTTTAGAATCTATTGTGCTCTGTCTGTCTACGGCAGTTAGATTATTCGATTTTAGGCACATCTATAGTAAAATGCATTAATACTCGTATACCGTAATCCAAGTTTGGTATTATTATTTAGCACTATTACGAATTGCCTTTTTGAACGGATCTTAAACGCTGTTGTTGCGACTACTAGTGCCCCCAGCCGATTTAGGCGACTTATCGTAGTTGAATTAACTCTCGACTACATAGATAAGCTGCCAACGGGTAATAGGTTTAAGGACTTTACTTTATTGAGATAAATCCTAGTAAAAGAATCTAGTAAAAAGTACGTTAGAAAACTCCTTGTAATGATGATCAAGTGGACCTAAAAATGATTAAAATGGAACTGAAGAGCTAATTTAGTGCTCGAGTTTATATAGTCTGGGTCTCCGCCGATGGTGCATATGTTAGTATCTTAGACATAGCGACTTACAGTATAGGAATTTAGATAGAAGAAGTTAACATAAATCAGTATAACTTAACGCTAATTAACAACAATAAATTTATTTGTGCCAATTAGAGCCTCAAGGCTCAGCACAAATTACACGTTACACTTAGGTATTAGTATTCAATTACTTAGACATTAATCTTATCAATAAATAAGTATTCATTAACGCTTATTAGACTACTGGAACAAACAACAATTTATATTAGATATTTTAATTAACAAGGCCTTTATTATTTCGGAGCTTGGCTCCGTAACAAGCACTCAGATTTAGAATAGACTAAGCAAGTATTGAATTTCGAAATTGATTCAGATATCAGACAAGAGCCACAAGACGAAATAAATTCGAAATGATACATCACCTTAGTCATAACGGAAAATATAACAATATTATAAGTTTACGTAAAATTAATACTAAGATAATTACGAGTGATTACAATATTAAATGTAAAATAATATTTCTATAAATAATTGATATACTTTATATTCAAGGTATGAACAACGCTTTTCAAATTCGTTATTGTATTCATTAAATTTTTCACTTTGATAAACAATTTAATTGTTAGCTGTAAATCACACTACAGCAATTGCACGCTGAATATACTTACAAGATTATTTCTCTTACGGATTAGGGTTGGTGTACTGCCATTACTGTAATGCTACAATTCTTCTTCACTAGCATTTTCACATGGCAGCTCGTAGAGGGCATTCACTTATATCGTGTTTTGGTAACAGTCTTTATAATTGAAAGAAGATGGCATATTTATCTATTCCTGGCGATTGGTTGGGGTGAGTATGATTGGTTAGAGTAAAGCACAATTGATAGTCTATTAGCAATAAAACAAAGAAAAATTAAGCTAAAAGGCTCAACTTTGGGAAAGGATTTACGGAAAATTATTTTCATTAAAGATATCAATCGAGATTAATTTTTCGTGCTTTTGAAGCAGTATAAAATTTTGAAATATTACTTTTGCAATAAAATGTTTTAAGATATCGGTAAAATTAGATGAAGACTAAAAATGATATCAAGCCAATACTAGTATAGATAGCAGTGGAAACTTGATATAATTATATAATCCGCAATTTTAGGAACTCCAGCTGTAGTCAGTGGCATAAGCATTGCTGCTTTTCCTCAAGCTTATACAAATAATACAGCGTATGTATGAATAGAAATAATTTGTAATATTCACCGTATTCTTACTATCGATTAAAATATATGCAATACTTTAATACTATGGTAAATTATTTTTATTATTGATAGTTGTTGGATACGCTCCTCATTTATTTGGGTATTCCTTGCTCCATTAACCGTCATAACCTTAGTAGGTGGAATAATAGAAGACATCAATAATTAAGATATCTTAAAGATAGCACGTCGAAAGACTATAAAACATAACTGCTTCCGACGAGAGAATGCGTTTGAAGATTACGATTGATAATTTTTTGATTATACATAGCAAGTATTTCCAATTTCGGAACTTGCTAGCGCTTACGAAAGATGCGTTCTTTTACAGACTAATATCATCATATTTGGAATAACACTATATATCCTAACTCATAGAATGTCTGATGGAGTAAAAAAAGCTTCCGAAAGCAATCGCAAATCACTAAGGTAGAAGCATTTTCTGGTTTACCAATCTCCGAATAGATATAGTATTGCAACAACCATACTAAGAGGCAGTTTAGGGTGTCTTCATATTAACTATAGTAACAAATCTATAAGCAATAATAATTCATTTCTAAAGTTGTAATCGTTATAATTTTCATCATATTTACTAAAAGATATAGACATACATCTATTAATACCAATAATTAGCTTTTCAACTAGGAGTAAGGATCGGTTTTACTATTTGCATTGTAGGACTGATATTCGAAATGCTATAGCACTCTTACCATTGCTAGGATTGTGCTGGATTGTTGGCTTATTCGTTCCTATACCAGGGGATTACGTAGCTGACTATTTGTTCACCATATCAATTTCAATGCAAGGGTTTGTACTATTCCTATTCCATTGCCTATTGGATAAACAGGTTAATTTTCAGCTACTATTTAATAAACATGTCCTGATTCTAACTGCTTGTTTACACTTTAAATGTATTAAACGAAAAATTTCGTGTCAATATCCTTATAATTAGGTGATAGCAGCTATAAAAAGACGGAATTTTCGATGGCGCCCTGCTAGAGCGCAGGTGCATGCTGTAGTTGAGTCAATGCTTTCCTTCGCTAGATTTATGATAAAGTTTATGATAATCATTCTTGAAATTATGACCATAAACATTGCAATTTTGTAGTATAACTTATCCTACTGATATGGCGAAATGATTTGTTATTATTTATTGTAGTACGATTTTATTACAAGTTTTGACTTTCTTTCAATGCTATAGTCAAGATCACAAGTCCAACTATGTCTTAACTCCTATAGTCAAGGAAATACATTACACTGTAACTCTGGTAAAGTTCAGACAGGTACCATGAAGATTGAAATCTTTTTAAACTGTAATTTATGCAGTAGAAAGTCTTGGATTGCTTATTGGGATAGTATATCTAGGCCATAGTTTACGATTTTCCATTACTATGAGTAACAAAGCCTATTAATTCGTTACATCGTAGTTTTGCTGTGACATAAACACACTCATCATTTTCCTAGCTACTATTGACAGATGAAAATGAAAATATATGTTAATGCTTTTGATTCGATTACAGATCACACTACGACATCATTTAATAAACCATATTCTGGCAAGTTTAATTGAAACTTTATTGCATTCATTTAAAATGAATCATAGCAGCAGTAGCCTTTACTATTTAGTACTGAGCCAACATTGCATTTAGTATAAGCGATCACCCACAATATTTTAATTATCACGGTTAAAATGTCTTGCTACTACTCTATTTTCTATTTAGTGTCATCATCGGGGCAGTCTTTACGTCGTAAAGCTCCTACTCGAGGCTGTGGCGGTACTATTGATCAAAATTGTGTTGACTCAATATCAATAGAAAGTGGTAAAGGATCAATAGAATGTAATAATTGGCCGGAAGATACAGGTTATAGCGATGAAATAGGGATAGAATAAAATTTCTGAAATGTTTATTTTTCTTTTTGATGTTAGCTTATATATCATAAAATGCACTGATATTAAATTAGATTTAATTTTCGGTTAACGTCCCATTTTTTATTTAGAATCTTCATCCGAGAAGCCATCGTGCAAAAAAATTTCTTTTCCCAGTTGTGATGGTATTTTCAATCGAGATTGTATTGATACATTATCAACTTCGCCAGACAGTGGCCAGTATCAGTAGAATGTAAAAATTTGCCTCATGCAACAAATTGAACCAATGAATTAGCAACAGGACGGAAAGAAAGCGAAACGGTCTAAAATATTATCATATCATGTCTACTCGTTGACGCTAGAGTACAAATTACCTTGATTCATATTCCTATTTAAATGAATTAAAGATAGAATACAAGATCATTTGCTTTTAAGTTTAAAAAATGATGTAAAGTAGACTTCTTAACTGCCATACAGCTTATAAAATTATGTTTGTACGTTGTATGATGTGGCCAGAGTGTTTGTATTCCATATTAAATTAAGAAATCATGACTATCAATGTAATTATCCATATACACCTACTTTACAATACAGCAATTATTGCATTATTTTTAATGTCTCTTATAGTATATTAAATATTAAATGGAGTTAATCTATAGAATAGATAGCAGGGTAAGTTTTATACTATAGTTTCATGTTTATTAAATCTTTTAAAACTATTATCTAATTTACTGGTTTTGCTATTGAAATATTTGGATGACGTCAGCAATAATCAATTAGTTAAGCTCATGATTCTAATTTGCTTCTAAATTTGATACCATAAGGTACTGTCTAGATTAAGTGTACTTGAACCATGGACAACAGGAATTATTGAATAAACAGTCCAGATCAAAATACCTTGTCTACATGAAATATAGTTTTCTGCTCTACTGTATTAAAGAATTGAATCATAGATTTAATGATATGCAGTATGACAATAATCTCACTATGCCAATTACAATTTCAATGCAATTGGTAATTTCTCAAGAGGGGTGAATAATTGAACTATAAGTATTTTAAATTAATGTACAAGACAATCTGGCCTTAGATTCTAAGAAAACTTTGGACCTATATACCACCCCCGCATTAGCTAGATCCATTAGAGAGATTGTTTCATTGGATACTTTGCGACCGAAAATAAAATATTGCCTATTCTAATTTGCATGATAAATATTGATGGATAGTAAAAATGAATCGTGCGCGACTGACTTATTAAGATTCGACATATTGAAATTTCGCAGTTAGTTGCCCGTTGTCTTATACGTCGCATTTTATCTAGTTTTGACTATAAAGATGATATTTTTTTTATAAATATTTTATTAAATTTTAAATAGACCAGTAATAAGCCATTAAAAAAATTCTTATTTTGGCTGTGAAGAATCATCAGAATTATGTATTGTATTAGAGAATTTTATAGTTGAACCTTTCATCTAAAATTATAAGTTATGAAATTCTGTGATTCATCATTATAGGAGAATATATTATTTCATTCAGTACTTACTAGGAATAATTTACAGTACCATTATACGCTCTAAAATCCTAACCGTTTAGTCTGAAATTGTATCAATATTGGCGTTAATGAAATTTGCGTACCAACAGCAACAAATAAACCTTCTAACTATATTCATCTAGAGTAAACTGAGTAAGATTGAAGCAGGCCATAGTAAAGTTTACTACAGTATTTATAAAACCGCGCAAGCTGTCTAAAATCTGTTTATGTTTAACATACATCCCACAAATTGTTTAAATTTGAAATACATCATTTACGAATTTAAAAGACAAGGTAAAGAGGCAATAAGTGATATTGTCAGTCGGTTATCATATCCCTAACTATGCGCTGTATTGAACAAAAGCTTTCCTAAATAGCTTTATGTCTTCTTACTGGCTTCATTTCCAATAATGCACAATAGTGACACATTGGACAGAAAAATTTTTGCTGGTTCTTATATGAAATATTGCCAGGCCTTAATTAAAATCCAACATTCGCGCAATTGATTAGGATAAGCAAAACATATTTCAGAAAAAAATACGCTTGTTTCACTTATCTATCTCAGTGATGATGATCAGTAAGCTCTTGGACATCGTCAATACCAATTCGTAGTGGTGCGTCACTGTTAAGACTTTATAACATAGCGTATAAAAGGCTACTTAGATTATTTTATGCTGTTTCCATCGGTTAAATCATATTCTATAAGATATCGAAAAAGAGGCATTCATTTCACTATCATTAGCACTAGTGTAGTTTAATAGAATCATTATTCAGTAGCCTCAAACTAGCACATAAACAAAATAGAGTGTTAATTCTTTCTACAATATAGAGCAGAATGCTTGAGCAATCATCAAGGAACATGTGTGTAACCTTTATACAAAAATATTAAAAATGTTGTTTGGCACTTCATCGGGCTTGAACAGGTAATTACCTATAATTTCTGAGAATTTAAAACCGATACTATTGTAGCATGATTTTTGCAAATTCATTCTGTATCATTTGATTTAATCCTTCTATATGTAGCACCGAAGAATATTCTAATCGGCACATTGGCAGTTAGAATATATCTATCTATCATATACTTTGTTGATGTGCTTCAGTCCTAAATAATTATATTATGCTTGACTTATTTTATTTCAATATCGATGATACAATGCTATATCTGATAATATATAATATTGTTGAAATAAAAGGTTTGTATATCAACTTATTTTGTATAGTTCGGTCAGTGTAGGTTTTAACTAGCCATTATGTAATATTATAAGCGTATTAGCAATGAAAGGAGTTTAAATCGCCTAAATGACATAAAGGTATAAAAATAATTCATCAAAGATGCATGATCTATCTCTAGCTATCGATTTTCGTCTTCTTCAATGTCAAATACAGCATTTCCCACTATACGTGGCTATATGTAGCAATTTAAAATCTATTGATGGCTTGTCAATTAATATCCAACATGTATCTAATGAAATTAAACGGTTATGCATTGACACACTTGTGAAATGGATGATCATTTCTTCCTTAATGAGAGACAGTAATTACCAGCATTTACTATTATCATTACGTTGTTTCAATGTCGAATGGCTTTCAGTTAATAAAAATAGAACATGCGATATATTTTTAATGATAGTATAAACTTTATTAGTATCGTAATATAGTATGAGATTTGTCTACCTTATTTAAGTCTTTTTAGCTACCTTATTACCGGTCCTATTGAAATTGGTCGATTGCATTGCATTTCATGCCATAGCATTTTCTCTTATACGTTTAGTAGTATTGCACGAGCGATGTTAGAGTTTTGGAGTTGTATTTAACCTAAACACAACATCATTTAACAAACACAAAACCAACGCTAAACGAGTTATATCCACCATATTGTAAGATTGTGACCGTTTTAATGCCTTATTTTTATGCTGTAAGCTATCATTGAAGTTAATTATCGACTCTATTGTATATATATGCTTGCCACTGGACAGCGTAGCATTACCTCAGGACTCCTATTTTGGTGATGGCATGCTAATTGATCTTGAAATAAGATTAATAAATCTGTAACTAAAGCTAGTGCAATGTCCACTATCCAGCGTTGGATTCTTTCTCCTTGATACTGCAAATAAAACATACTGTACAACACTTTTCATCCGGCGTTACTTTCTCTGTTGATAAAAAAATATCGCTATGACTACGTGTACAGTATTTTTCTAGCCTACCTAACTTTAACCCACACCAACGTCAAACTTACGTCATAATATTCTATGATGAAGCAATCCTTCTTTGGTATAATTTATTTTCAACGCCCAATTTTATCACGGGCACTAAGTTTAATATCACTGGTAGAAACCTCGCTCGTTATACTTCGCATGCTGAACGTACTTGTCCATTTTACTTTACAGTACTGTCTATGACTGATTATAAGAGTAAGCAAGAAAAAAACGCGTTGACTTAGTACTGCAGTTATCCTTGATAAAATAGTAAAATTAGATCTACACTAACTACCTATGCGGCCGGAATGATAGCGACATTTATGCGTATGACGCATGACATGAAGTTTGACTAGAATTTCATTTTTTTTATAAGCAGTAAATAAACTCTAACAGTATAAAAATACCTGATCGAATTGCCGGTTAAAGTATTTTATAAATTATACGATACATTATAAGAAGCTAACCAGTTCATTTTATGCACATCTATACATACAGCTACTTTATATCGCCGCTTCTGCATGCTCTACAGACTCTAGAGGTAAACGAATAACAAGTAGAAATTCGTTCTTTTCGTTTACGTTATCGATTAGATTAAAGTGCTACGATTTGGGATTATCTTGGCTTAAAAGGCCAGCTAGCCAGATTAATAAAACTGTGTCCTGCTTATCCTAGTCAATTAATTGTTTTAAGATCGACAGGATAAATAAAAACCCTTTCGATGCGATCACGATCATGGTTGCCTTGCCAAGAATCGATTGGTGCCATGATCATTGCTGATATTTATCGCCAATGAAGATCGTGTTATTTAAGTGGCGTCAATATTTGATGAGTCAATTGCAATCGCTTTGGTTGACGCGATTTGAACAAAGATAAACGGCCGCTATCCAATAAGATTGCTGTAATTCTTTGAGCAGTCAGTTGCAATGACGCGCACACTCTTTACTATCACTAGCATATCGTTCACATACGGCAGTATTGAATTAATGCCTGTCCTGCTAGAGCAGAAAATGGCCCCCCCCCCAATTTTCTACTCTGGCAAAAGTAATTTCCCTCAATATTGAATAGGATTTTATTTACCCTATTGAATATATGGGATAAAGAAGATTACTAGGAATGATTAGAGTTAGCGTTGAGAGAAAGCTTCCCCCCAAAAATAAATGTACAATAAAGTAACGTTAAATTGGTATAAATTTACAGTTGATAGAGAAAAAGGTACACAGGGTCAAACTTTCAAAGCAGATTAATTTCATTCGATATAGAAACGCTATGGCAAACATCAGCATATGTTATTTTTTTCCACCAAAATCCATTAACGAGTGATTCATGCAAGTGTATTTATTTTGAGACGTGGTCCCTCATTTTTCAGTTGATTATTATTCAATTTAAGCCATTTAATAGGTCACGGCAAAGATCGGATAAAAATTACTGAACATAAGTGGCCTTACTTGGTGGATTGATAGTGTGATTATTTCCCGGGGATTTCTAGCAAGTAGATATATAGATATTGGATTAAATTGGCCTCAATTTCTTGTCATTGGATTACCAATCGATTTCTAACCCCCTATCAACGGAATAGAACCGATTCGATCGTATTAAATAGCATTTTTCAAGCAAATCGCTGATCTGAAATCAATAAGCAACATGAAATTGTTATTAACCTGTTGTATTATTATTGCTTTATCATCAATAACAGGTATTTCAATAAAGTTATAAATTTTAAATAACCATAGCTTGCTTAATACCGATGTAACATTATAAAATATTCTTCTCTTGTTAACTTATGTCTCCTCTTAGTTCTTTATTCTACTTTCTCTGACTTACTTTATAAGAACGTGCCTAACTAGTGTTCTATTCCTATAAAGCAGTACGAAATTTGTAAAAGATTTCATAGCCGCCATTTTTGTATATACGCGCACTTAGACATCGCAATCGCATTGTGCTTGCTTCATAGCCACTAGCTACAGAATTAGTAAACCGGAAGTAATTCAAAATCGCTACTTTCTATAAATGGATTAATTTTTGAGATTTTGAATATCTATAATACGTAATTCTGGACCTTATTTCCTAAAGCTATCCCGTAAAATATCTTCCGTACCTAATAACATATCGACGAAATTTTCATTGCCACTTTTATGATATTATACCACGCACGCCTGTCTGTCTTAGATCTAGCAATTATTTCTCCTTTGAATTGTAAGTACCGATAATTACCTATATTATTTTCAAGAGAAATGAACAAATTCTTTATAATATCAAAGACAATCCTCTAGCAAAGTATAGGTCCCCATACTGCCGCATATGCACGTACGCTTTATAGAATACTTTCGGTAAAATTGATCAGCATCCGTTTTATTGAAATGATTACTGAATATTGACGTTTATTGAATTCATTGATTGCGCCTGATTTTCATCCTTATAATGAAAAAATTACTATTAAAGACACTTTTCATAAATCTGTAGTGTCTACATCTACAATTTCATGATATCTTAATGCGAATGCACATTAAAGAAACAAGATAGCTAAGAAAGCAGAATAAGCAAAACGAATTCTTTTTCCGACAAATTTAATATCTACCGAGATATAACCAGATGTATAACCATATCAACCGATCTCAAAGCAATGCAGCAATCTACCTACGATTGATTTTCGATCATACTTTACAATTAATAGCGAATTAAATTTAGCGCCGTTATCATATCGTAGAAAATATGACTTTTACTGTCATATACAGTTGTAAAAATTATATATTACCGATAGTTACCGCGTATAACTAAAATTTCAGCGTTACTGAGCGAACATCAAATATCCCCTTTGAGATCGTTCGCAAATTTGATGAATTCTTGAAACGGACTTACTGGGAAATCGATAAATAAAATTATAACGTTTATAGTGATAATAAATTCTATGCATAATGCTTATGAATGGTAACTTTGCCCTTAATAAGGGACATTTAGTCATACAAGAGCTGTAGTAATAGACTCGTTAAGTTACATTACTCCCAATATCTTTATTGAAATGATGCTGTAAATGTAAACTTTATTAGGGTTTATGGCTGCTTCTAATCACGTTAGATGTTAAGAACAAAATCAATGATAAAATTATGTATGTCAATATTACCAAATAAGATTAGATTTTTTTCTTGAAATGCTCCAGCTGAAGGTATTACTTGTCGAAATTTTCCAAGGATTTGTGGAGGCGAAATAGCTGGTATATGTATAAAAAAACCCGTAACTCAATCATTTGGGAAACCACCAGACAATATGCCGAAGAGTGTAGTACAATCAGAGGCTTGTGATAAATTCAAAAACTACTCCACAATAAGTCATTCAGGTAAGATTTTACTAGCTCAACATTAAATCACAAGTTTAAACCTTGTGTCACGTGCTGAGATCTGTAGCATAAAATTAAAATTACGAGCTTAATGCCAGGCTTATTCTTGTTATTTACTACGTACGACTCAAATACGGACGATCTTCTATCGTCAGTATAGGTTAATACATTATAAATGGACATAATTTTAGTAACCTAGAGCCACGTGAGCTCGTTCAACTTAATTAAGTAATAACCTTTTCAGCTTTAATTAATTTTACAGTACTTACGAAATTTTCCCAAAATTACGGTATACTTGCGCTAGAATTTAAGATCGGATTTTATGATTATTCTACTTATGATTATCGAGTGTAACTACTTTGTATATCAGAGCTAGATTTCATACTGTATTAGCAATCGAGCAGTATACGATAATGCAGGTAAATGATAGCATCTACATCATTAATAAACTGCTGCTAATAATTTTTTCAGTTGTATAGGTTCAGGAATTAAAACACCTTTATATCAGTAAAAATTGGGATTGTAATTAAGCAATAGCTTGACTATTACTACATTAGGTCCGTAATATTAGTACGAATAGCGTTCCAGTGGTCTCATGATCAGTGTATTGTATGTCAAATAAGGATTTTAATGTTGCTTAATTTACTGCACGTTGATAAGTTTTGATATATATTATAAATATTGTAATGATTGAGGAGTAATCTTTTGCAATTACTACTATTGCCGATATGATCAGTTAATCATTAGTCTGCTTGATTTTAATATATAGAGATTGAAGGCAGAGCAACATATACATGTAATTTACGCCCAACTGCTTTGTACTATGCTGATCCAGCTTCGTTCAATATTTGCCTTTGTCAAAGCATCAAAGTTTTGCAATCGGTCAAGAATTTAACGGTAAATTTGCTTACAAATTTTGCGAATTACTAGATATAGCTGTTAATCAGAGTCAACAAAAATTTTAATTAAACTTCTGAGACCAAATGAACGGTAAATACTACTGATTCAATTACAAGCCTGGATCTGCATATACAAGTATATTAAAAGGCTACAATTTACTTAACATATCAATCATAGGATACGAAAGATGCAGCTATGCCGGTTTTTATCGAGAATTTGCGTCAGTTACTAAAGAATAGCTTTGAATTTGTCGACACATCACCAGAGACTATGTACAACGAAAAAATTAACATCGCGCAAGCACTAGTTGGGTTGCAAATAGCACATAACCGATTAAATGAAAGCTCGGAAATAGATGAAACTAATGATCTGCTAGCTGGTGTATGTATTTATTGATTAGGGGATTATTTTGTCTATTCAGCTAACTCTACAGATATGTTTCTATTATCCAAACAGAGTCATACAATTACTGAGGCTTTTATTATCGGTCAATTTATTTCAGTGCATCTTAGACATTCGCCAAATTCTTTCTTCTCGTTCGTCTTGTAATGATCAGGTACTGTCAGTATCTCAATAGAGTACAATCTTACATGAAATAAATGCATGACTTATGTCGTACTCAATTTTAATCCTTGGTTCAGCTTACATATTATAATATTACTCATGTAATCTGAATAGGATAAAAGTATTTTACAAGATATTGAGACTTCAATCAAGAATTATCTAGGTCCTAGGCCAAAACTATGCTGTCAAACTGGAGAGGTACAGAGTTATGGTGAATGTAAAGTTACTTTAGGTAAGAATGCAACGCTATCGGAGCGTTGCATTACTATTTTTACTGGCTGCAATCAATTATATTCTTCAGTCTATAGATATGTTGTATTGTATCATTTATTTATATACTTTAAAATTCCCTATTTGACGTACTAAGGTAACAAGCTGAGGGGTATAATCTTGAAACTGCGTGCCATTAATAAAGAAATAAGATTGTACCCCTCAGCTTGTTAATAAAGCTACTGAAAATTGCTTGCGCCATAGCAAACCATACTTGTAGATTTTAATTTACGAATATTACCAGTTGCAATTTAACTAATTCTAGCCTCTTTCTCTGGATGAGCGATCCCATTACTATATACAGCTAACCAAGTTATTTTTCATACAGATCCAAAAAACTGCAAGAGCAATATTAAGAACTCAATCATATGGCCGGCTTTGCCTCCGGGTTCTGATGTCATCTATGATAAATGCAACGCATACTTTCGGTCTCCTCTCATACTAGGTTCTCTTATGAATTAAATTTATTTTTGTATTGATATCTATAATAAATATCTAACCTTGATCGTTTTATACATATACTAAGGTAATTTGTCGCGGTCTTGCATTGGATCGAGCCAAGGAGATTCGCAATGGTCGGGTATTGACACTTGTAACTGCTATTCGTCCTACATAGCAGACATCCACGAAAGGGTTAGATGATTCGATGCAATTTTTTGTATAGTAGTTAGTAAATGAAATAGTTGTAAGTCTATTTCGTCTGCCACGCTAATATCGATTTATTACCTTATCTAAATCTAAGATGCTTATTTTGATCATCTTATATCCAATAAAATACAGTATCTAGACAAGTATCAATGAACTTAGGTAGACTGTAATCAATTTATGTCAGTTTTAGTAAAGTAGACTGTACAACTTAGCTTATTCAGTAGCCGTTGCTATATGAGATAAAGATTAGACATTGTAAAATCTGATACCAGTTTGAGATGAGCTAGCTTTAGTTAAAAATAAATCTTAATACTACAGCCATGCAGCCACCATGTAAGCTGAAATTTTGATCAGTTCCTTTCCGCAGTTAGAATCTAGATAGCATAAAAATAGCAATTATTAAAATTTTTATACCTATAACATCTTTATGATATCTTACCGCAGATGACTCGAGAATATGCTATCAATTACACTCTGAGCTACTTGAACATTATGGCTAGTTTTCTACAATCACATCAAGGTGATGTGCCGAGTAAAGATCTGTCTATCACGACATTAAATCTAATTCATCAAGCTTATCTAGATAGAAAAAGTTCATCAAATGAGGATGAATATAAAAATCTTACAGTTGTAAGTTTAGTAAAATTTAAGTTATGTTCAGAAACCAAATAAAAAGTGTTTTAATATGCTTCGCTGGAATTATTTATTTTGTAGTGTCTTTTAAGATCCTCATCTAATATATTGCGCGAGGTAACAGGAAAAGATGTTGTCTGCCCTATTCAGGTTAGCAAATTCTCATCAGAAAATTTCAGTAATATTAGCATCGCTAATCTAGCATTATATAGCGTAATTTTTTTTAATGGTTTCTTTCAGTTATTTCATATAACATTATATTTTAAAATACTCTGCTAGCTGAATAATTTTATTGTTATTAAACTCTAAATTTTAGTTATTTACTGAGAAAATTCAATAATATTTATTCGCAGGAAGAACAGCGCGCTAAAGTTTCAGCAATAATGTATGAACTATCTGGAGATCTATTTGGCCAAAGTGGTACTGAAATGCTGCTAGGACCATCCAAAACATTTACGTATGAGTCACGAAATATTAGTGACCTTATAGAGGATAAACTAAACGGAAGTATATTTGGTTGTGTTGCAATTGGTGGCAAAGTCCCACCGGGAAGCCCGAATGATACTATTTTATATAACATCATTGATTATAGTGTTATTGCTGGTGGGGTTGAGGTCAGTATCAATGCTAATTGTTAAAAGGTATAAGTAGTCTTAAAATTACCGCAAGTTCTGCTTTTAAGAATTTATTTAACTTGAACTATTATTATATTGCCAATGACCATATTAAATTGAAGCAAGGTGTCATGTAAAACTTTGACACAAAAGTTTTTAGATAGCTTCATTTGATAAGTTATACACAATCCCTAAAGTTTAAATCATTTTTTTTAAAATGAGCTATTGTATGACTTATGATGCTACACATATTTGAAAATTTTAAATCATTATTTTTATTTGCGATTACAAGTAGTTTAAACTTATTTACTCAGTATATCAAAGAGATTTCAATATATGTTTGAGATAGGTTAAATCATAAATTATCGTCATAAAAATGAGTATCCTTTAGTAATGATTGACCTTTGATAAAGTAGATTTATTAGATTGAATGTGTAATTTTATCGGCTATAGTATTATAAAGATTGAGTATCTCCATGAGTTTATTAGTAAATTTTCCCGTTGTAAGATGTACTATATCCGTCAGGTTTTGAAAAACTGACTTAAAAAGGAATAATTGTAATGTTGAATTACTACTGCAGATGTCGTATCCGAATAGATAAAATGGAATATTTTTATCGTATTACTGTACGTTTTAGACGGAATCTCCCCCAGTCACTGATGATAATGGTAATGATACAAATACCACTAGCAATCGTAATCCTCTTGAAGCTCACAAGTATGCCTTAGCTATTATTGGTGTTATTGGTGTGGCATTATCGGCTACAGGAATAGTACTAACTTTAACATCCTTCGCAATGTTAAGGTACAGTGCCCTAATTATGCTGATGATAACTATATTTACCTTCAAAATTTTATTTCTATGCAGAAATTTATTATTAACTTGCTGACTAATTATTTCAACCCTAAATTACAGTTTACCCAAAACTCGAAAATGGTTCATTCATGTCAATCTATCCCTAGCTATCCTGATTTCCAATGTATCTTTTATTACGTTGGCGGATATAACTAGAGATAAGGTAGCGCTCATACGATATCATTTCAAACTTTCTAAAATAGCATAGCCTTATTACGGCCATTCCAAAGAATGTTTTTAGCCTAAGGATTTAAGAATAGCCGTAACAGCTTGTTATATTTCAATTATTTGTGCATATTTTTTTGAATATTGATATGGCTGAAATATGACTGTAATTAACTATTTGTAGGGCTGGTGTACTGCAATTACAGTAATATTACAGTACTTATTTACCTGTGTCTTTACATGGCAGCTGGTGGAAGGAATCCATCTCTACCGTATTTTGGTCACTGTGTTTACTGGAGAAGAGAAAATTTACTTGCTGCTGTATATGTTTATAGGCTGGGGTATTTAAATCTTTTTACAAAATTATAAAAATTATCCATGTCTACCGCTTCTTTACTTGAAATAAATCTAACAGTTGTAGACCATATTTACTTAAGCTATTTTAGGTTTCTTTCACTGCTTAAAGTTTATAAAATGCTACTTTTGATCTCTGTTAAAAGAATTGTCTAATTATTTTAATACTCTCAAACAGGCTGAGAAATTATATTGCAGTTTGTATTAATTTACCATCAGTAAATTTAGATTTCATTGACCGTTTGTAGCAATTTCATTATATTTTAAAATCTAATGAATGAATCAAGCTATTGATTAAAGTAATAAAATATTTCGATAATTTGGCCATATAACTATTACATGTATAAACTAATTACCGTAAACTATAAATAATTATTATATTCCACTATATTCAGGTACTCCAGCAGTAATCTGTGGAATGACTTTCGCAGTTGTGCCAGATGCTTATTCTTATAACGTTATGTAAGCATTTATAAGATGTCGAAGATTTTAAATTATGTACTAAATGTAAACTGTGAGCACTATGGTATCACCTTGTTATGAATACATCTAAAATCAGATTATTTGGCTACGCCTAGATGCTGGTTACCGGTTACCCATATATGGATATTTTTAGGTCCTCTAGCTGCTATTCTAGTGGTATGAATTACGTTTATATTCGCAAAAACAAATCTAAGATCGATAGCTTCGCTACCACTTTGATCTTAAGTTCTTAACCTGAACGAATATAATTCTGTAATTGCAGGTTAACGTAATAATATTCGGAATCATTCTTTATGTCTTACGGCGCAGAATTGCTTTGCGTATGAACCAAGGCCGTAACAGGAATCAAGCTATTAGGTATTAAAATATTGTTAAAATTTAAATTAATCGTGAAGCAGCTTACATACCAGACAGTTTAATCATGTTACTAGGAAAGAACTATAAAGTTAGAACCTGCACCTAGTAGCACAATGTTACTTAATACTTACTGCTTATACTTTGTTGTCAATCCTAATTTCCTTGAATCATACATATGAAATCATCTACCATTATTAACATCTACTACCTTCCGGTAGGACCGATATTCGCAATGCAGTCTGTCTACTTCCTTTGCTTGGACTTTGCTGGATCGTTGCTTTCTTTGTACAAATTGAGTCAGATGTGGTAGCTAACTACCTCTTTACGATCTTTGTTTCACTGCAAGGATTCGAATTATTTATATTTCATTGCGTTATGGATAAGCAGGTAAATTGAGATCACATAGTTTAGTCTAGAAAATATAACCGATAAGCAACAATAATTTCAGATTTTGTTAGCACGTAGTAACATTGAATTATATTTTTTAAATTTTATCATAGATTATTGACGCCTTTCGTAAAAGGAAATTCCGATATAGCCAAGATAAGGTCAAGATCTATTGTATATCTAATAATATTTTGCATTTAGCGCTAGTCCTATATTCAGTGTCCACTAAAGATAACTGTAATCAAATTTTCTTAATCTCTCGTATTCTTAACTGCAAGAACACATAAATATTTATCCTTGAATTATCTAACAATATTCAATCAATACATTACATCCTGTAACAACTGAAACTTTGAAATGATTTATTAGTTATGGCAAGATAAGAGAGAAAATAGTACATCAGGATTTTATTCCAGAAATGGCTATGCTAGTTCAACATTCCGGAATACAGGTAATTCGCTTCTTAATCGACGTGATAATTACCAATATACTGATTGATTAAGTGATTTTTATGCTCATTAAAAATTCTGTATACTGTAGAGTGCTAATGCAGTAGTGATGCTGATGTCTCTGATAGTATACTATAATCATGCATTGATATAATTTTCCGTTTATGCTGCATTATTGCGCTAACTATTACTAAAGGATATCGAAAATTAACTAAAATGATATCTTATTAGTTTAGCATTACGTTTATGCAACATTTTCTATATGGTAACCTATCATTTATATGTGTCTCTAAATGAAATTGAAGTATTCGTTATGTAGATAATAATATCTAATATTGAGTTAAATTAACATGAAAGAAACTAGTATGAAAATAAGCAGTCGTTATTTTGATGTGCAAGTAACGTATCTGATTTTGTTAACTCATTTCTATTGCTTTTTTATTCTATATTAAGTGGTCACATCCGTGCAATCTCATATATCGAGTAAAGCAGGTTGGTGAAAGCTGTGACAAGAATATTGGATAGTGACGCAATTGTTGAAACTTGTTAACGTTATTTTTATGTAATCTCTCTTACTTAAGCTGTAATTTGCTTTCTGAACTGGTTAGAAATTTTTGATAGATATTAGTGTAAATCATTACAATTACACATTCAAATTTTATTATAAGTAATATTTAAGCTAGCAGGCATTTACTACGTAGTGAGAATTTCTTTGTATGCAATTTCGCATTGATCCTATTTTTATGGTAGAATAATCTCAACATTGAGAGTAAATCTATACTGGAAATGAAGTGTAATACAAGTTTTTCCATAATTCATCAATCTAGGATCTACTCCACACTCCTCATTTTATTCCAAAACTGATAGTAAACCACTCTCGAAAGGAATTGTTAACCCTTACTATGCAACTTCGGGCAAAGATGATGAAGTTTCTGCTCCTGATTCTATGGAATTTAACATTATTAAGACTAATCAAAACAACGGTATTGAAAGTCATGATGCCGAGGCTTATAGCGTGTCGGATAAATCTACTTCTATACCAAATGAAACTAGCAGTGATAGTGGAACTGAAAGCACTAATCAGCTCCATTAAACATATCAAGAAGAAAGCACGTAAATAAATCCGTATGATCTGGTCGTTAAGGAATGGCTGAAAGATTAGCTTAATGATTGCATTGTATCTATGATCTAATTTTAATAAGTTGCTTTTAATGACCGTTTAAAAGATCAAAGCGTCTAAGCTTACCGTTACTGCAAGCAGAAGAGCAGCTGATTGACTGGCATTAATTCCTGAGAATAATACAATAAAGTATGTGGTACATGATATAAGGGTATTGGTCTGCTGTTCTTCTCCAGTTACACTCATTTTCCATATGGACGTCATTATATTGTAATATAGCTTTTACCGTACTTGAACTCTTTCCTAAGTTAGCACCTTAAATAGATTACATTTGATAACTTAAATTGTGCTATTTTGTTCTATCTATTACCGTATATTCATGAACAAATTTCTAGCCCATTAATTAAGATCAAAATAATGTATTAGATGAAAAGATGGTAAATACTGTAGCACTAGCTTTCGCTCAGATTTCTTGGTAAAACCTTATAACCTTACGAATATTTATTACGTAGTCAACTCATTTGTATGATTATACACTAAGTAACTTTCTAAATGAGACGTTTTATTTGTATATAATATCGAATAGATTAAATTTGTAATTATCAATTTAAAGTCTAACCTTAATTTTGGTAAACTTAACTGCTACAAACTTTTCCTGTATTTCGCTTCATGCCTCGAAAGTTCAATATATACTGTCGTTGCAAGTACTCCGCTATTGTAGCATAACTTTAATAGGAATAGAGAGCCGATAGGCCAAGCAATGTATTTTGAGGGATAAATTGAATCATTCATAGAATATTATACTGCTGAACTTTTAATTTTCGATGCTAAATTTATACCTAAAATATACGTTCTTAGTTCTCTATTAAAAATTTTAAACTTACCAATTTAGAGAGAATTGTAGTCGTATGAACTATTAGATAATCAATCTATCATGCTGAATTGATAAATATGTATGCAGACTTCAGTTAAAAGATAATTGTAATGAAATCGAAATCAATTATTACTATGAAACTACTGTCGCTTCAATTGTTAATGATGAGATAGATTTTTCTATACTTCTTACGCCTGATTAATGTATAGTAGTTTTAATCCCTAAGTTCTTATAAGTTTAATGATGTTCATATTACGCTTTGATTGAAGTATTTCATGTATGTATACGGGACTTAATAAAAAGTTATATAAAAATATATATATACTAAGAATATTTTAACTTCTTAGCAAATAAAAATTGAAAATTTAAATGTAGTGGCATGTAATAATAGATAATAGTCATAATAAGATGCCATCAAGACTTTACTTACGAGACTGAAGGTGCAATCGTATTATTGATAAAGCAGCCCTCAAACTAATAAAAGAGATTGAGAGATTAAAATTAGGTTTATAATAGTAAATATAGAATTATTTAGCTTATATTTCAAGTTATTCGTTAAGTTTTATCGTTGTAGGTCTTGTATCACCTTACGGATTTTAAGATACCTTTTATCACTGATACATAGATTGTGCCATAAATTCGTAATTAAAGAGATTGCTACCACGGACAGCTGTTGTCATACAATTACTGGAGTAATAATTATATTAATTAAATTTCTGCACTAAAGGACTATCATTGGTATATATTTTATCAGTTATGAAACGAAAATCAGAACAATGTTGATATTCGAATAATTTGGCTTACAAAATATTTCTGAAAGTGTTGTATTTGCATTTGAAGTATAAATCATTGATCGAATACATGCAAGAACTGCTTTCTTGAAGCAGGAGAAATGATCTGTAATGTACTATAGTAATTAGGATAAGTACATAAAGACTAGATTAACAAGTTCCCTGATTAGGTAATTGATAAGCTTGAACTTACATACTCTGATCTGGGAAGGGATGCAGGGAAGTAATCAATGTCATTAATACATTTTTAAACTTGAGATCACTTTATAGCCGTAGAATCGAAAATTAAGTAAATCTATGTGTTAAGCAAAGGAGGAAGTTAATCCACTGATTGATTGATTTTCTTGATTTATTAATGTAAAAAAGCTGTTCCTAGCACAGATTGATTATTTAAGAAATCATAATATTTAATTACGGAGCTTAAAGGCGATACATGCCAATGGTAGCTAATAAAATATCTGTTAAATTAGAATTTCTTCAATTCTAGATTTAATCTTTTGGTTATTGACTAAGATACTATGAAGATTCCAAGTTATTCAATCTTAAAGTGCTTAATCGTATGTGACTGGGGTCAATGTCATACGATATTAACCAAAAAATTATAGATAAAAAGTTAGAAATATAGCTGATGAAATGAACTATCGTAACATTTGATGAAATAATCACTACCAGTAAATGTCATTAGCTGGATATCATGTCATCGTCGAAATTTGATTAATATTTAGCGTCATACAGATTTCATTAATATTTTTAGTAAAATGATCTTGAATCAATAATATTTGGAATAGACAATAGAAGAATAAAATATTTAATACTATAACTCCATATTTTTTTCGAAATGGACCATTACCTGGAGTGATCTGTCTAGTAAATTAAAATGCGTATTAAAAAGCCGCTTTTTCCTTGTAAGACTAGACATAGTCCATGATGGTTGTCCCCGTTAGTAGGAAGATAGGCGATAGGCTATTCTTTATAAAAAACGCAAAATTTCTTTTTCGTTAGTATTTATTAAGCTGGATCATTTTATAATTATTGATGATAACATCTTTTTACACGAGTAAATTGAGTATAAAAAATTAGGAAGGAGTATTGACATACGTATAGTGTGTTAAGTAAGAATTATTAAGCTTCCGGATTCGAAGGAAATGTTATTAAGACGGTAATTAGGGGAAAGAGCTGTTTATAGTTGAATAAAATATATTTAGAACTATCAGTTGTAACAGTACAGATACGGTATAGAATAGCTGACGCATTGTTTATTTAGAACGCAAGATAGTTGTCCTTTAGGACGTATTTCTACTGTTAACAAGACGAAACAAAGTTCAGCATATTGAAATTTAAGTTTTAGCGCTAGAAACATAAATTCATCGTCCAAAATATAGAACTTTAAGACAGATATTAAGCCAACTCTATCTAGGGAAAGTTAACTATCCAAATAGACAGAAAAGCGTAGATATCTAGAAACTAATTAGGAAGACGATTTGCCGTAAAATTACCTCTATGACTAAGTTGTAATCTACTCGTATATCACTTCCACAACAATTATATAAATAACACCCGAAACTATTCTGCTATCTGTCACGATTACTTGAAAGCGAGAATATAAAATTTGAAAGTGGATCGATGACAGGTTCGTATAATGATGACTGTAGCTAATCTAAACAATGACATGAAAGCAGAAAGCTATCAAATTGATCATTTAATTAATCACTTATGGCAATCAATTAGAAGAATCAGGATTTTGTACAAGCATTGTAATAGAATCAATTCTATATCAAGAACAATACTTTACAGTCATCTTTGCTTAAGAAAATCAACAAATGAAACTGTTAATTTAAAATTCTATAGAAAGCATCACGTCTGCTTTATTCAGTAAACTACTTTATCAATAGGAATCAGTTCGATAGAAGATTTAATTATGAGATATAAGTAAACGTGCACGCGACAACATATGCTCAATTTTTCTTTATAACAAAGGCTTCTGTTATAGTTATATCAAGTGAAATATATCAGTTCTTGTAACTATATGATTTGGTATAAAAAGAAGAGAAGGCTACTGGACACAGACATACATCAATCATCCTAATTTGACTTTTAGATACTTTTAGAATTGAATAAAACAGGATATGATCGATCTATCGCTGTCTTAATTGAAACGTTTTAACAAAAGTTGGTACTTAAAATCGGATAGTAGAGATGAAGTGGTTACAAGTTGGCTTGCTCACGATAGTGATTCTGGATCTTTTTCTTTACAGCCAAGGTAAGATAGTTTTCAATGGATTATTATGTAGTTTAGATGATTATATTTGATAATAATTTTTTGGCCTGCTATTTGTACAACATGACCTTCCATTTAAGTTAGACATAAATGTCAGGAATTTCATATCACGATGCTTGTAAATTAAGAATCGAGCAATAATAAAATTTATAAACTAATACGAGAAATATCGGTTATTATTACCTCGTCTTTGACCTATAAATTTGTATAATAAATAATAGACATTCATTTACCGGTAGAAATTCTTCTTGATTAAGTGGCAGTTGGCAGGTTATGTTGGCAGAGCTAACATTCACGAAAATTGGAGATTTATCACAGTTGTTTCACTGAAAATTTTTCACGAGTCGTTAAAAATTCGTTCATCCAGTCTTGCTCATTTAATTGATTTATTGTTAAAATTTATGGAATCTGAGTTGTATGGTGATGAACTGCCTATTATGGTATTGAAATGATAAATCTTTTACTACTAACTAGATAATTTTGCCATCTCCTTCCATTATGACCTTAAATTATTAGCAATCATTACAGTAAATTATAGTTTATCTCGCAAATAAATGAGCACTCTGTTACTGTTCATAACAGCAATTTATTCGTTGCTAGTAGAGATCTTTACAAATCCGTAATGAATTACTATAACTAAACGTTGGCTAATGAAATATCTGTATTGAAGTTATCCTTCAAGTAAAATATATGAGCAAGTGTCAGGCTAGGAAAGGATACTTGTTATAATGCTAGATATTCTATTTGTTGATAGCATCAGATTAATGACAAAAAATATAACTTAAAAAATTATGACCTAATTTCCTCCAAACCGTTCTTGCTATAAGTATAAATTACTAAATTTGCATAAAAGTAAGGTACCGTAACTTTTAATGTCGTTACGTCTATCTAATTTGTTAACAATCTTATCATATGCAAGATCTAAAAATACCATGAAATTATGGTATTATCTTCGTCAATGTTTTACTTTACATTTCCATCGTATTTTTTATAAAAATGCGCATGATATATTGTTAATGCTTGAGCAAAGTAACCTAATTATGATGTTTGTTAATTGCCATAACGGGGATAAAGTTTATCACAATTTGTACTCCAAAGTGACACAATCTGAATTAAAATCTCAATCAGTAATTATCTTAATACTTATCTTTTAAGTCAATGATGATATTTATTGGTTTTAATACTGGGATCTTAGATCCTATAGAAAAAACCGAGGTAAAATGTTCATCTACTCAATAATATCATATTTAGCATACGAATATTATAATACACAAACTAGTTCTTCTTGGCTTACTAGCTATAGCATATAGTATTAGTCGATTCATAGAGATCGTGATCAAATATTAGTTCTCAGGTTATCAGGGTAAAGGTAGTGTAATGTAACTTAGTATTGTAATTGTAGACTGTTAGCCATGTTTAGTATAATGTACGGTAGATATTTATCCTAAGAGATATTTGGTAGCCATAACTATAGACTGTAGTGGTATAGACTCTATGCGAGAGTACAGATAACTATATATAGTAAGGTGTTGAGTTACTAATAAGGTTATAGGTAAAAATAGAACTGTAAATCATATGTTAGGATATGATTAATTCATTGTACTTTGGCTGGTGTGAATAATGTCTACGTAAATACTGTAGTCGTGTCAATATCGGATTAATGATGGTCCGTAGTAGCATTGTGTTACGAAGAATAATTTAACTATGTGTAAAATAAGGTAAAAGGTTGCCATGCGGATTGTAGCTGCGAATGCTACGAAAAGTATAAAAGCATGCAACTTTAGATTATTCTGTTAGTTCGTTCTAGAAGTCTTTAGTAGTTAGTTCAGCTAGAGTAGAGCTGTGTGTAGTTAATCTTTGTATAAGATTCAATGAAGCCCTTATTTTTCTAAAATTTGGAATTTTGTGATCGGTATATATCACAGGTAGCTTTGCGTTAGTGGCTTAACGTTGACAATCCTATATAATCCCGGCAGACGATGAAAATTTAGCATTGTAGAGCCAAACTTTAGAACTTCGGAAGGATTATTTCAATTTACATTATATATAAATGTCAATAATTTATCAGCTCACGACAGCCTTCCTGAGCTGAACTGCAGTTTATAGTATCAACTGAGCTATATACTTGTTAATAAAGATGCTAATTACAATATTTAATGTATTGGAACATATTGAGGATATGAATCACTGTTTAGTTAAAATAACAAGGTGGGATTGTCTTGAAACCTGAGCAATCACATCAAAATTCGTGTACATGTCTTTAATTCCTTTAAATATTACATCTGTTATACTCTATACTATATAAAATATCTCTAAATTTTAATCATCCTATCTTAGGGTAATTTAATAATACTACTTTATTATGTGTCAACAACAGTATTGAATAATATGACAAGATTGGTAAAGAATGATCACTATGATTAAAATGTAACCTTAATTATAGCTGATTTTCGGCATATAGCATACTTTTATCCGTAGTTAAGGAAATATTAGATGAAATAGCAACAATGCACATCAATCTTTTATTTCATTTATTTTAATTCTTGACGATATAATCTTATTAATTAAATGAAAGTAGGTTAAATTCCCTATGTACCCGTCTATGCGGCAAAGTTGACCTTTAAGTTATTTTATTTACTCTATACCTTATGACGCTCATTGCTAGAACATATACAGCAACTAACTTACCATATTGCTCTGAATAGAATATTTCACATTGTCTCAGACTATTGACTTTATTGCGACTACTTTTGTTTCTTATCAAATAACGCCAGTAAAAAAATTAGCTTGAGGCTAGACTGAGCTTGCTGTGCTTATATTTACACGCTGCAATATAAATTAACAAACCCGTTTTGACTAATATCTAGACCAAAAATCATATTAATAATTTTCGCTTCCAACAATTACTTGATATTAAGTATTCTATATATCGATGAAAGGATCAGCTCATAAAATAACTTCTCAGACTGATTAATTAATTGATAACTATTTCATAGAGTTTACTGCTCTGCATTATAATTTCAAATAGCTTTTCGAAAATTAATAAACACGGCGATAGAAATTAAGCGTTTATGCTGCCCCTCTAGTTAAATTCAAGGTTAGGTTACAGAGCAAATTGTTACTACTTGCCCTGTGACAGAAATATCATAAATAAATTAAAGCCACTAGACCACGTATACGACTCTGAATTAAGACATTAAGCAATTTGCGGTTTAAATCGGGTTGATCTCGGCTTCATAAGATCATTTATATAGAAAATGGCATTATTTAGTCTAAAGATTAAAATTGTAGTCAAGATTAAACGCATTCTTTTAATTTATCAACCTTTACGGTACCTATTACCGCATGCACATAGGGTTTGCTTATACAAGTATGCATAATACTATAATTAATTGGTACATGCTTGATCTCTTAAAGTTTAAGTTTCCTTTCATTGTATATTACTTCTTAAATGTTCATATAGGCCTGCCACCTGGATTTTGCTTCTGTGATAGCCACATCGCTGGAGTACACTTTAATCTATTAATGACGCCATCTTCACCATCTTTAAAAATATTGAATAGAAATTGTAATCGACTACAGAATTTTTCCACTATACGAAATGGTATGGCATAGATATACGCGTATATTATATCTATCTAATAAGTGTCGTGCATTTAAAGATAAGACATAATCCGTTTTATATATATTTTGATTATGATATATCTTCTGTAGCAAGAACTAGTTATTATTTATAGAATAGAATAACGCAACAAATACTATTAATGTGCCGGATCTTACGAATAAATACTAATATCTAGAATTTATTGCCACTATATGGAACATTCATTGAAATCTCTATTCTGCTATAGATATCGAAGGAATTACCTCTGTTAAGTGTACGAAAAAATGTGTTCTGAATCCTCATGAGTTAAACATTTGCGATTGCCGAAGCAGGAAAATTGTTCATTTCGTTAATGCCTTAAAGGTAAAAGTAATTATGTTCTTATTACGCAATAGACTCCATTAGAAATAGCTTAAAGTTATATATATATACATTTTAACCAAGTATCGGAAGACAAGATTTAAGCAACAACTTCAATATCAATTAAACTAGCTCTTTTTAATCATTCTTTTTCAACTGCCCATCTGGAATAATGAACTTAATAAAACATCTTTCTTGTTCATATAGAATCAGTCCAGTACATCGCTCGCTACATTGATCGATCACCTGCAAAAACTACATATAGCAACGGTTCAATTTCTACGGAAACTGCCAAGGATAGGAATTAACTTGAACATTAATTCTAAGTACTTTACGGATGGCTTAGAAGTTGCTTTTCAGCACTTAAATAAAAATTTTAAGGACGTTGACATGTTAGACTTAATAGCAAGCGTATGTATATTATCAATAAACTAACAACATCTTGATTTGTAGCATTACAATACGCGTAAAAGTGTCTATAAGTCATATTAATTTCTCATAGTATGGATATAAGTACTTGATGGTATTAATTTTAATGGCATATACCTCATGCTAATCTTATGCAATATTATTAATTCTTGAATTTATAAAGTGTGCACTGGAAATAATTGATGAAACATCAACTTATCCATTTTGCGATCAACAGGTTCGTTTTAAGTTTATTGGTAAAATTTTTGTGGCTTCATTTTTATATAAGAAAAAGCAACCTGAATTTTGAGGAAAAATAATAATAATTAATAACATAATTCATTACTTGAACTCGAAATAGGATAAAATTACTTTATCAATGATTAAAAATGAAACATCTAATTACCTAAATGGAAGGCCATTATTATGCTGTCAGACTGGTCTAAATGTAGATAGTGAGGGCTGTCCAGAATTACAGAACGGTAATATGAGCTAATTTGGCCGTTATCTATTCATTTTCAGTTTTAGGATAATACCTAGCCTTCAATTAATTATCAGTTATTTCGTAAATGTACCTGACAATGTCAATTTTTCAGAAGCAGCAAATTGTAAGCTTAATCTAGAACAAGTTGGAAGTAATACAATTATCTGGAGAGAAACTTATCCCAATCATACAGCTATAGCTGAATGTAGCCAATATTTCGATTCTACTGTAAATGGTTTGTATGATTTTATTTCGTTTATTTTAGCTAACTGTCTTCATTGCCTGTGCTACTTATGCTATCTATGCCATATATATACTTATACTTATGGCCGTTCTATTAGGCGATGTTAGCAGATTGTGCAGGTTAGCCCATCGTAACACATATCAATGGTCACCTACTTATACTTGTCACTGTTTCTCCGTACTTGTTGCTGAAGTTCAGGAGAGGGTAATTTAATATTAGTAGTAAAATTTTAATTCAACTTCTCTGGATCTAAGAGTTTTTACTAATAGATGCAATTATTTTATAAAATTTGATAAACAGCTAACCCGTTCGTATGCTAAGAATTACTCCATAAATTACCTTAATGTCATGGCAAGCTTCCTCCATGAGCACCAGGGAGACACTCCAGGAAAGAATTTAACTATTACATCTCTACAAATTATTTATGATATTACATTAGCTAGAAAGGAGACGAATGATACTGAAGGATATGGGAATCTCACAAATGTGAGTGCCGTTAAAATATTGTTTTAAGTATTTCTAAATCTTAAATTGAGACAAAATCCGATCGACTGATATTGACCCAAATGGAAGTGAACTTTAATCTTCTTCGTAAGTCTAGTCAAATATTTTTATACTACGTCTATATTTACATATAGTGCTTACTTAGAACTTCAGCAGCTATTTTACAGCAAGACATTAGCCATACTGGAACAACTTGTCCAATCCAGGTAATTGCTGTCATATTAACGGGCATGATATCACACCACAACTCTTTTGCTGACATTGGCCATTTTAGATTGATAATATGGTGTAGGAATTTTGCTATCCTGTAATAAAGCCTCGTTTATTATTTAGAAAATGCAGCATAATTGGCTATCTCAAGCATTTTATCATCTCGCAGTTTTATCTATTGGGCAATTAACGACTGAACGACTATTAGGACCTGCATCTCAATTTAATTATACCTCACGAAATTATAGTCTACTAATCTTAAATGAACTTCATCAATACAACAATAGTTGTGTTGAGATTGGAGCTGCTGTTCCGCCTGCAAGTAAAAATGACACTATAACTTATAACTCGAGTATAAACGTTTTAGGAACTGGTACCGGCAACGTAAGCAATAATTGTAGTGTTCATTATATCCGAAAACTATGAAAACTTACGTAAAGAAAGTAATTGACTATTCTCTGACATTATTCCTTGGTTTTGCTATAGTTGTTTCTGTAGAGTACCGGCAATTTATGATACCGATCACGTTCATATTAAGTCCTATTTATACTTCAATAGTTATTCTACGTTTTAAATATGGTTATAGGATGTATGTACTGTGATAGTTCACCTTCTACTTATTAATACTCCATGGATAGGTTATAAACATTTAGGGAATGTCTTTAATATCAGTTTTCTGTTATCCCTTGATCAGCCTTCATACTACCAGGCAGAGCTTAAATATACGTGTATGTTGGTTGAGAATTATGGTTTTGCTATCAATAATATATGCAAAAGAAAATAATTTACTATCTGCCCTTGTTTCTTTCGATTATGTTGTAAGTGTTAGAGAAAAGTATGTTCAATTTACCTCTTCAAGGCTTATTACTATTTTTTCTGGACTGACTATAAATTATGCTCAAAGTAAGTTCTATCTTCCTTTTAAAAATATCAGCAGAAAAGAGACATATAGCATTGTAAAGGACCACTGGATACTTTACAGATAAAGCATCCAGTGATCTATGCACGCACGTACAATCAACTTGTTATTTTCTCGGTCCTCTTTCACTCTGTTATAAACACTGTCGAGTAGGAAATAATCCACTGTTCGTTAGCTGTAATTCCTCACTTTTACTATAAATATTGATTGAAGAAAAAGAATTTACTGTATGCCTATATGACATTATCTACGAGTAAACTACTTTAACCTGCTTCTAATTCGAATAATGGAATATGTCCATTCGATCATCGAATAACTAAATTGGATATCAAGGATATTATTCCATAAAGTACGCTATGTGTACTGTACTTAACATGATGCTTGCACTACTAAAACTGTTAGGATAAGTGCGAACCAGACGCTATAATTCTTTGTAATTTGACACTGATACATCATAGAATTATTAATGGCTACTCTCTGCTTCATCTATTATCTACTGTGACCACATAAGAAATTATATATTAGTGTAGAAGTATTTCATTATTTTCCTTTCGAGCTATTAAGCAAAATGCCGGCTTCCATATTATTGTTTTTTAATAACCTATAAAATTGACTTTCATAACAATAGAAATATAAAGCCATTTGGATCTCTAGAATTGTAGCTAAATTAAAATTTTAACTATTCGAATTATTGAGAGATATTATATAGGTTAAGTAAATTGACTGTAAAAAGTAAAATAGAGCTTTATTATACTGTAGATAATTGATGATTTCGACTATTTGTACCTTTAGGGGACTGACGGCGATGAAATTGTATTATTCTACATTGGGATTGTTGGATTTAGCTTGTCTTTATTTGGATCTTTAATTATGATGGTACTATATGCAGGATTAAGGTATGTATCACATATAAAGTAACCAATGCGCCAGTATAGGCCATTCTTCATTATTATAAATATTAACCATTCGATGGGTTATCCTACGATGATGATGATAATATAATTTGCTATAGCTTCCTTCTTTTTCGTAGTCGTAATGTTATATTATTTAATATCGCAGAATTTCCCTATTTCCAAAAGCCTTCATCAACATTAATCTATTATGCGCTATTATAGCATCTTATCTAGCATTTACAATCACTACGAATATAAAATATGAGGTGATATGCAAATAGGATATTCAAAGTAATGTATCCATTTATTTTTGGCTATACTCAAATTACCTCCTTAGTCTACTACGACTTATTGTGATTCATACGTTGAAGGTCTACTCGGAATGAATTAATTTATTTTATTTTTAATCGATAGAATGGATGCTCATCAATCATTCTTACGTTACAATATCTCTTTACTACCATATTTACTTGGCAATTATGTGAAGGAATTTGTCTGTACTTAAAGACAATTACCTTAACTAGATATAGAGATGAAGCTAAGAAATCCATGTTCAGGATATTACTTAATTCTTGGTATAATTTGTGCACGGTAGTTCACGATTGGAGTAATGCAAGGATGTTTCTCTGCTACCTTTTCATCGGTTGGGGTAAGAGAGTAAATACAAGTATAGGTTTGATTACTAACTGCAATGGATAGCAACTGTCCGAATTAAAATAGTGTCAGTGTCTACTCATCCTAACATACATATGCTACGTAAGCTTGTCGAACTGCCTAGATTGCGTTTTATTTCATATGATTTCTAATGTGTTGTAGGTGTAAGTATAGACTTTGATTTGTTTCCATGCTATTTCACAACCATAGACCTTTGAAGAGTTGACAATTTCCACATTCTCAAAGGCTAAAAGTGTACTCTACCTTTAAATGTCAATTATGAGTTGATATGATGCTCTTTCTTTATAGCTCTTCCAGCTGGAATATGCGTTGTAACATATTTTGCTTGGCCTATGGCCTATTTAGATACCCCAAGCGGGCAAGTGTAAGTAAAATAAATCGATTAATTATATCGATGATATTTCGTAGTTTGGTTTATTAAACATAATTTATAGTTTTTCATTGCGACGTGAAAAATGACTGATATTAATGAATGCAATAAAAGACATTGATTGGTCATTTTTTGTACCAATATAACAGGTGTTGGTTACCTTCTACTTATATCTGGCTATTTCTCACTCCTTTGGCTATTATTCTATTGGTAATATAAGATGTTAGATTAATTACTGTGGTTGTGCTTCATATGATTCGCAGTTTATTAAAAGTTTCTGAATCAACATTTTACTGTTTTACTGTTAAACTATTTCAATATCTGATTTTTTATTTCCCTTCTAACAATTTCATTTTACTTCATGTTGCATTGCTTCGTAGATTAATCTGACGATCCTATCAAGTGCTATATACAAAATGCATAACTCACTAGCTCGCAGACAAGAATCAGAAAGATATGCCAGTGCCACAAATTTTCAATCTCATCAAGCACACCTTCCTCGACTTTCACGACAACTTCAACCGATTACTTTGACCACTTTTAAGTGAGATTATGTTGTATAAATGATAAAAATTTTATTGTTTTAGTCAATGGCTCTCTATCAGGTTGTTTTCTAAGCTGGATTTTTACAATTGCTCGGAATTACAATTATTACTCTTTTTATTCTATTTTTAAATATATGCTGGAATAATAGAAACGACTTACATGATAAAATTCAATCGATCTATAATTGTGAGAAAAATGAAAAGGGAATTTTAAATTTGTTTTTCTCTTTCTATGCAGAGATCTTCGTAATGCGATACTTCTTTTGCCATTGTTGGGACTTTGTTGGTTTCCCGCACTTTTTCTTCCGATTAAGAACGATCAAGTAGCAGACTATATTTTCACTATTTTGGTCTCTCTACAAGGATTCCAAGTCTTTCTCTTTCATGGTGTCCTTGATCGTCAGGTTGTATTCTTTATCGTACTTAATAAAATATCACCATTTAATTTTGGCATAGAATTAAGTTGTTACAGCTTGATCTATTCTACGGTAGATCAAATGATACAATGCTTTATTCTCCATGCCCGTAAACTTACTTTTGTGCACGATATCTAAGAATATGGTAGTTTAGTATTGACTATGGCATTGAATAAACTTAATAGCAGTTTGGTGTAATCTACCTTGGTGATAAATTAATAGATGTCTATAGCTACTCAAACCAAAACTATATTAGCCCAGAACGAAACCATTACAACTTGATTGATCACTAACATTATAGTCATTAATAAAAGTACTTTGACATAAAATAAAAATTCTGCACGGTGCCCTACAGTAGATTGAGACGGTAATATTGTGATTTATTAAGATCTACTTTGACACAGAAAAATTATTGCATTCTGTTATAGCCTAGTGTGAGTAAAAAATTGTATTTTGATGTTGGGTATATTAAAAATATAAAACTATTACCGTAGGATGCAGTCGACAGTAGATAATATTCTAGTCGTTCAGTTTGACTATGGTAATTAAATCCATTTTAATATAGAATGAAAGTGTGTATAAAGAGTACGAAATTAGCCTACTATACATACTAGATTTTTGGGATATACAGTAAAATCATACCATTATAGCTTGATAAGACTTGCAATAGATTATCGTAATCTTACAACATTTCGCATTGACCTATAAAAATCAGTTTCACGCCATAGGTAATGATTACAATACGATTTACACTTATCTAGACTGCAAAATTATGGTCTTTGGTTGCCATCTAAATATGATCTTACTCGACATATTATCTTCTAGATCAGCGTTAATTTCCGAGAGAGAAAATTTCGTCCTAACTTGATCGGCCGATTCTTAAAGAATTTATTACCTAAGCATCAGCACTTTGGAAGCAGTGTAAGTAGAATTTCTATTTTACAGTGTATTTGACGTATTTTATTATTGGGTTATTTCACTATAGTAGAATATGCTAAGTAACTCGTTCGTGGCAAGCGTAGTAGCAATGAGGCTATCTCGTTCACCTTATGGTATAAATTTTTTTGCTTTTAATAAACATTTTTATTGATTTATTGCATTTATGGACTTTAATATCGAATTTAGGCTACCTCAAGATATCGTAGTGGCGTGATATCGACCTCTAGAGGTAAGATTATCATTAGCTTTGGGAAGGTAAAAATCTTGCGTGGAGCACCACAATTTTTTCTGCTTATATCATCCTGATTTGCGATCTATTTCAAGGCATTGGATAAGCTATAGCGTTAACACAAGAGTATTTCATTGCTTTTGTAGATTTTGTCTTTAATTCGGAGTTTGACCTGGATTGTCAGCATATGGGTATTGCAAATCCTAATAGTCAAATATGAGTTTCAACCGACAAGCGCAGACTAAATTTTGGAAATTCTAATTAGAGACGTCAAGAAAAGCAAGTGAATGACACATGCTGATGCCAGGTTTACTTCATTCAAGATATTAATGATTCATTAAATGGTAGAATTAAAGTAGAATTCATTAAAACTGAAAGCTCTTAGTTCATAAAGTAAAAGAAATAGAGAGAATGATGAGATAATGCCTGATGCATACTCGTACTTATATTTAAATTTCAGACTTGTATCCATTCTTTTACAATAGTTTCAAGTGCCCTACTTGATTAACAACGGCTTTTATAGTGATAATTTAAAGGTTTACTCAAGTTGGCTAACATATAACGTCCTTCTACAATAGCAATGATGCTCGATGATGCTAATAATGAGGGGTACAGTACATATCTATTTTAGGCTGACTTTGTCGTTATCGTGCGCAAGCTAAATCTATCTGATTATTTAATACCTTATATTGCCTCAAGTTTTGTAATAGATCATTCAATTATACTTCGACTAAGGCTTTTTACAAGTTTCTTATTTCAAGATCAGTGTATGGAAATAAAATTGAAGCAGGAGTATCATTTGATCTTACGGAATGGTTTATTGGTTGATGTGATGGTATCCAGTCTATGAATGATTTTGAATTCTACAGTACTTTATAGCATATACTCGTATATACGAAGTTGAATAGCCTTCTACTTACTCTACTACAGTCTCCATGATTCCCTTGAAGACTTTATTACAGATAGCAACTCACGATTCATTCAAGAGCACAATCCTAGGACGACTGTAGTTATAGTGATGGTATTATTCGAAAATATTTGTGGCGTTGTCGATAATTATAATCACTACAGTACTGTAGTTTTAGGCAAAATGCTTATCTTATTTATGTCAGATAACATACCGTTATCTATGATGTTATACATTCTTTAATAGATAACGACATGATTTTATAATATTATCTATCAACTGATGACTAATATTGATGTAGATTTAGTGTAAATTGAGTGATTTTTCAATTAAGTTTGGGTTTAGTTTTGCCCATACTATTGTAGTGATATAGCAGTTCCTCTGAGGATAACACTACTGTAGATAAATGTCAGCGAGGACAAACCTGACAGTAGACTCGTAGTTATAGTTTCCTGAAATACGAGTAGTGTCACTTTCTCCTCGTTCCAAATTGATATTTGTAAGAGCGGATTAATTAAGATACGTCCAGATGCGACACATTCAGCACATTTAGTGCATGGCTAGCTAATTTATGATTGTCGAGTGCTTGCCCAGTTGTTTCTGTCTTGTCTAAGCTAATCAAAGGTACGTTGGTATCTTGTTGTACTACTGCAACATCATACGTAAATACGATTAAAACAGTAGTGGTCCATGTCTTAGTAGTCGTTGACATTGCCAGGGACTACTCAACTTCTTTTGTCATTGTTTTCATAATAAATACCTTCATTTAAGAAAGAATTGGGAAGGAACCTGATTTAGAACGAGTTTGGGACAGGGATATACCAAATGAACTGTTCAGTATGACAATTATGAAAAAAGAAGTTGATTACTGTAGTCTCTGACCCAAACTTGATGCAATAGGGGAAAAATGAAACCTCTGCCTACATCACAACCTCAGACTACCATTTTAGACCACAGAAGACCCGGACTGTTTCCTTCCCTCAGACAGACGGACGTTTCTTCCTAAAAATGAGGCTGGAAATATCCCAAAATGACTACTTAGTATGGATCTTCTGTGTCTGTTTTCGAGATCGCTGGTACTAATTTCAATAGCGCCTATGATCTTATATAACTGTTTTCAAGCAGAACCTTGTAATAGGTAATGAGATTTAATGCAATATTACTTGATTGAGAAAACATTTGGTCAATTCAAAGTCGACCGACGGCATGCTGGAGTCAAGTGCTGCCATAACGAAGAGTTGGGCACAATACTATGACGAAATGAGGCAGAAATGTCTGTCCGTCCAATAGTGAGCACGACCGCCTAGTACTGTACAGTGTACAGTGTACAGTACTCTAGACAGTACAGTACAGTACAGTACAGTACAGTACTGTACTTACCATAGAGTCTTAATTCGATGATACAGTACTTACTGTACTTATGACTGTAATCATTGTACTGTACGCTAGAGACCCTCTACAGCGTGTCCAAGTACTGTACTGCGCAAAAAAGAACACTTTTTGCGGTTAATTAAAATAAAAAACCAATCAAACTTATACCATTCGAAAGCTTAGATTGTATAATAGATGAAACTGAAGACAGATTTAAAAAAATTCTGCTTAGTGTTAGCGTAGTTAGTGATTTAAAAGCGTTCCAAATTCAAGGACCAGTTGGGTCCGCTTGCATGGAAAATTGGCGGAGTCTGAGCATGCTCTATCTACTGTACTATACTGTACAAGTGTACAGTACTGTACATCACAAGAATAACAGTAATACTGTACAGTACAGTACAGTACAGTATAGTACAGTACTACAGTATGATTGACATCACATGGTAGGGCATGTATTGTAATAAAAGTCAAAGAAAAATTGATACCGACCACCTGGTAGTAGCTGACGCCTGACTCAAGTCACTCTGCTCGAAACCTAGACAACCGAAACAGTATCGTCAGCTTTTCAACAGCCTTGTTGGACGAAATTGCAGCTTCAGTATTCACTTTATTCCAATCGAATCGCTGTAGTTCATTAGAGCAGCAAGCGATCTACCCTTGAATATCTAACATGCATCTGATGTACTATCAAGATCAAGATGGCAAACGAGTTTACACGATGAAGGTAAGGACGATGTTCATAGATCACCTTAGTTTGTTCAATCATTGCAAGCAAGAAACGATTTGATGGACAACACTATTTTATCATCACTTTGTGGCTGTTGTATGCTCATCTTAAGATGGTGCTATTGCCATAACTAGGATACAAATATATTGCGCAATGCTACCGATGTTGATGCATTCTTGCTCAAGCATAATGACGCTTGACATTGTACTCAGATAGCAGAGAAGAAACATCAGCAGATAACTTCTTCTCTACTTCTTACTTTGCTTCCTGATGACGCTGCATTGAATTCTTAATGCGAGTGTTGACTGCAATACTCTTGCTATTATACCATAGGAGTTCTATGAAAACATAGTTTACTACTCACATATTCATAAAAGAGCCGATACCGTATTCGTTCCGTCGGAATGATAACAACTGATATACAATTAGTTAGTACAGCTTAAGAAGTGCTATAGCGTAAGAAATGATAGCTGCGGTACATTGATGATACTCCATACAAGCAGATAGCCATAGCTCTAACTGAAATTTGCAATCTTGTGCTTTTGTGTAGCTATCGGTAGCTACATTCGTTATTGCCCAATGATAGGATGCATCTGGTGAGCAGTATAGTATTACTCCAACATGAAAGCAGTTCTTTCATCAATGGCAATACTACTGTACCGTTTGAATAGCTTTGCGATCCTATCGAAATCCAATGACATAGAAATGACGTTAGCTGACGTCATGATAAGTTAATCCAGCACATATCATCATAAGATGTCGAATTTGTAAGCTTAAAAAAGTCGTATACAGTTAATAGGGTACTTTCAAGGATTTCGCACTTGGACTGTATCGATATACACTGTACATGAGAGTATTTACAGTAGTTCATGTCTAAATGAAATTATCTTCAAGAGCACTAAGCTATGCACCCTAACAGCAATCCTACTATTGTAGATGCAGCATAACAACGAACTAAGTCAATATTTTGCTTTTTATTCCTTTTAGAAAGTCGACCCGAACGGCAAACCAACTATTTCTGCTCATCCAGGTAATATCTGGTTTTAGTTACCGATTTATATGCCAGCACTAGTATTTAAAATATAATACTTAATTTAGGGGAAGGGAACGTTTCATTCTCTCTCTCTTTCAGTTCAATTCTCTATTTAGATGTACTGTAAATATATAATATTCAGTATACACTACATCTACAGCATATAGTGCTCCGATTGTTGTTACAGTAATGCTCCTCTACGAGTATACACGCATTCATGCCTACCAAAATTATAATAATAATAAAATCTCCAGCTGCTAAATTCTAAATGTTATTAATTATTATAATCGTTAATGCAGCTCGCTTCTCACCGGATGACAAGTATTCTCGTCAACGTGTTCTATTAAAGCGCCGGTTTGGCTTACTATTGACCCAAGCACCCATGCCTGTGTATTAGTATGAAACCACATCACCATATGCAAACTGATATCTTACCGAATTTAATGTCCTTATCTAGTACAAGTGGATAAATATGTTGCAAATTTTCACGAAATCCGTATTTTGTTAATAGGAAGAACAAATCTTAAAACGCTGTATTTTGTCCTAAAAATGTTTATGTTTTATCACTATGGTATGTTGATAAGGTTAAAATCTCTGTATTGTCCGTGAGGTTAAAAGGAGAACTGCTGTGACCTTGATCACAGCTTTTAATGCATTGTAATAAGTATATTCTTCATATGGAAAATATTCCACTTCCGAAATGATAAATAAATAAAATGAAAGAATCCTATCTTAAATTATAACAGCAGCCAAATGAGTAGCTACAGTACCCAGCTTACTAGATCAGGTAGTTTCGTTAATAGAAAAAATTAACATTTTGAGTATAAAGCTAATCCTGTAAGTATCATTATCAGTTCTTTGAGCAATTACATATCGTAGTAGATTCTGAGTAAATTAAACATTCTTATATACCGATAAATAATCATAAAATACAGTGTGTTAAGAAAGTTTTTATATACATAAAAATGACCAAAAATATGACTTAAAGTAACGTACAATACAGCACTTTACATCAACACGTAGCTTCTAGCAATAATATGTATATATATATATATTACCGTCAAAACGCATAGAAACTTAGTAAACACGCTGTGCTTTATGTTGTCATATTATCACTAACTGGTCATCTATTTTGTGTGCTAAGGATGTTACTTTATATTACTGTTAAGATCGTAGCGTGCAAATACTTTTAACTCTCAGATAAGTGGAGCGACACTGGCAACTATACTTCCACGTAAATATCTCTCTTATTGATTCTTTCAACTCTTATACACGTATACTTATGTTTATCTGATGCGTAGCCGTACAGTAACCGATAAGAATGCTTGCATTCAGATCTGCAAGGAATCATACAATAAGATAATATTACTTAACATGTATTAAGATCTCCAAAGCAGCTAAAGATCAGGATCACTATGAACTTATAAATTATATTACAGGAAAACCGGTATTTTATCTGCTGTAGGCAAACATTTACTGTCATTAAGTGTCACTGACTGACGATCCTGAATACTGTCATAACTAAGATAGGCATAACGGTAACGACTTAAGCAATGCGTCTACGTAATTTATCACAGTACATATTCATATCGTGCATGTACCGTACAACTTTGACCAGTTCGTACTCGGATTAATTAACGGCATTACGGCATGGATTATATCGTACATTTTAGTACATAATCTTAACAAGAGAGTAATAGGCTCTACAGGTGCTACGCATTTTATGAAGGATGAAATAGTTCCTGCTGCAACATTCATATTTTTCCGACATGTGTATATGACTACATTAGGTAACGATGATCGCCTATTTTTCCTATGCAATTCCTTAGATAACGATGTTTGCTTGATAAAAGTTCTACTATAACTTTCACAGCAATTTTACGCTTCACGAACAAGTTAACTCGTTGAATTGCTCCTATCGAACTATCACAGCTTAATTATAAAGAAAATTAACAGCAAGGTATTATAATTTAAATTATTAGATACATTATAATTATTATTAGGCTATTTTAGAATGCATAGATCGTCTATTTTCCTTGTACCAGTTCCTAAGATGGTTTCATTTTCGGCTATGAGTAGATTCTCAATATTGTATCAATAAAAATTTATGAATAGGTCAAAATCAGATGCTAATATAATATTACTAATTCTTCTACGCGTATAAAACATGGCATAATTTGATATACAATATTGGAAATCATCTATCGTCTAAATTTCGTTAATAACCAAGTATTTAATATTCGCCAGTTAATTAATCACTAATTGTTGCGCAACAAATACTTATGCACCTTACGAAAGAGTTAAATTGCTAAATAACTCTAAAAATTGTTCATAATTAAAGATATCATTTGTATCATTGATCAATTTAGAATGAACAATTGCTTTAAGTATTGTATTCATTAATGACAAAATAAATTTGTCATAATCCGTATACATGGTAGTTCTATTTTCTTTAGATAAAAATGGAGTGTATAACTTTGTCTCATGAATTGGTCCTTGGTAGCCATTTACTGAAGCTTGTTGATGATCAGCAGCAGATTCATCATGTGTATTTTGATCTAGTGATACAGATATAGGCTTAGGTGATTCAGGGCTATAACTAGGCGATGGTAGAATAGCTATGTCATAATAGTTATCCAAATCAATGGGTTGATAAATTTCAGGAGAGAGAGGGTAACTTGCATCTTGGTCTATGTCTAATTTTTTCTTGCCAATTTGAATGTAAATCGAATTCGACTGAATGTCTTTTAGTTGTTTTTCGTTGGGACCAAACAAAATTTTCGTTGACAATAAAGATAGGCTTATGATCTGATTAGAACTTTCAGCGATATATGCGGCCACGCTTGCCATGTTTTGGATTATACCGTAAAATATATCCCGCATTTTTTTAAATTTTTTTATTTTTTTACGTGCAGTAGCTGATAATCTTTCTGTATTAAACGTGATATCTTTATCACGAAACTGTTTGTAAAGTTCATAACATGTAGAACCAAGAACATCTTTTCTATATTTTTCTTTCATAAGCCTAGGGATTACATTCCATGCATATAGACAACTATGGACTCCTGGAGCATGAATTTCATGATGCTTCTTCATTAATGCAACTAAACCAACAAAACATTGGGGACATGATAAATGGGAGCATCCTATGGCTTTAACTGCATAATCTTCTTTACTACACATTTCAGGGATACATATTTCAGCGTGAAATCCCTCCTGATTGAGAGCAATAAAAATGTCGCTGCAATAGCGCTCTAATTGCTGTGCTATCGAAGCGAGTTCACGTCGTATAAGTCTTAGGAACAAGTAACTATCAATAGAGTTTGTAATTAAACTTTGTTGTATCGTTTTCAACAAATTTTGTCCATCATTATATTCAAAATATTCTTTCAGAATCTCCGGACTTGGTTTTGTTTCGATAGATGGTTTTGGATCTCCTGTAAATGGAAGTAATTTACTTGCCATAACTAAATCTAGAATCGTTTTGACACCAGTTCTGTATAGTGTTAAGGTTTGAGTTCTTATAAAAAGAAATAATGTCAGCTTTATTTCGAATTGTTTTATTTTGTTAATAGAAAATCGCTTTAGATACTGATCGATAGCAAACAAACATGTCAAATAGGTATTCCTTACGCTTTGCTCTAGATTTAGTTTCAAGATGTACATCTGAACAAGTAATATTTTTATGAGTAGCTTAGCTGATTTTGAGACAATGTCAGCTCGTACCAGTTCGTCACAATATTTTAATATTAAACAATTTGGATCAGCTAAGATTGACCACTGATCTATATTAAGATCCTTCTTGACTAGCGCAAACCAATGATGAATTTCTGAACGTAAATTTTCAACAGAGGCAAAATTGTTTTTATATTGCTCCGTAAATTCTTGCTGATACGTTTTATATTTCTGGATAAGGTCAGCCATCATTTTAATATACGTCTTTCTCAGTTCGTCAAGGCTACCAAATCGTAGAATGGAGACTTTTTCACCAGGTAGATTAACTATAAACCTATCTAGTAGTAAAAATTGTAGATATTGTTCAATGGTAGCCTCTTCCTTTGTGATAAGCCGTATTTCGAAAGAATAGGACATGAACAATATCAACTCTTCCAATACATCGTCATCACAATCCTTCATCAGTACATCAAAACTACTCGATGCAGTTCTATATTTGAAAGCAATTAACGATTTTAAATTTTTAAACTCCCTCTTATTGATATTAACATGATAATCGCGACGAATTTTCTCTTTTAAATAAGTTGAAAATTCTAATAAAATTTGAATGGATTCATTCTTGCAGAGTACTTCAATAGAACTTTCAATAAATTCTTTAGACGGAGCCCGTTTAGCAATCCATAATTGATGCTGCCTTTTTATTTCGTTTTCTTCAGTTATATCTTTAAAACAGAAAGCGATTGAAATACAGCCTGAATCAAACAGTAAAGCTCTGCATAAATGGTTTAACAATTTATCAGGCGTAAACTTACTAGAACCTATATATCTAAATCCTTCTAGCCTACACCTCGAATAAATATGAGACCAATAAGAATACATGAATTCCTTTGCTTTTTGTTGTTGATTAATGTCAGAAAGATTTTCTATTAGGTTTTTAATGAAATGCGATTTACTTGTCATGTCCTCCAATGTTATGAAATGGTTTTCTAAGCGGTAACGTCAATACAGTCTACTTGATGTACTTATAATAAACTCAGTCAATCGGATTGATAAATTTGAAGAAACTTTATCACGACCAAATCTTAGCTGTTAAGTTAATCTGCAATAGCATAATTAGTAACATCTCCTAATCCGAAAATAAATTGAAAAGAGCTCATGATATACCTAGTGTCACAGTTTATATCATAACTACTGTGTAACCATAATGGATTGATAATAGAATTTATTTGCTTTTTCCAAATAGTAGCCAATATATGTTTGCTTAGTGGGAGGGCGGGTGTTAGCTTAGCTACCAATGTCGACTCTGAGACTCTCTTGATCAAATACTACTGCAGAGCTGATGATATCAGCCCTAATACAGTCGTGTATATCAGATGCACAGTACTATCAATTTATATTTATACGCCGTAATAATATTAATTTGATAGATAGAGGAGACCTCGATACACGCTAATAATTTTATATCACGTAAACATGATAAACTATTTGTTATCCTACGTGTGCATGATAGTTATACCAATAATTCTAAGTTCACTGAAAATTTGACTCTACTTTATTGTCGCCTTTAAGCTGTGTGATATGTATAAGCCAAAGAAGGTGAGAAAATTCTCATTAGGAACATTCAGAAAGTTTTATGCGATATTTATAATGTTGTATGAATTAACAGATAATTAATAATCATTGTAATCGGTGTTTATTGGTTCACTCACGAAGATCTTACTACAACATTGTTAAAATCCTTAGTATCGTATGTGTCTGTGACTCTAAACCCGATAATGTAAAGTACATGAAGATTTGATTATGCCGTGGTATCATTTTAAGCTATGCAGGCCTTGGCTACCTTATGTATACAATTTGAAATTATTTCCCACTTTATCTAGTCGTTCAGTCACTATGACCTTACCACATGGTTAAAACCCCTACTATCGTACGTGTCTGATTAGAATCCCAATATTGCCAAGCACGTAAAAGATTTGATTATACCGAATACTTGTATATATATCAACTTTGAACTATGTAGACTTTGTTGGTTAAAATTATGTTCCATTTATCTTGAAGGGCAACTAGTCCCTTATGGAATGGCAACTAAGCTCTTCGGTTTATACGCATTTAGCCTTGTCTCAAATTTTATTAACATATTAACGACAAAATATCGACATTGTCCAGTTAAGATATACCACATATGGTTTGGCAATAGTGAAGACTGCAAAAATTATTATTCTGCGGATTTTAAAATCAAAATAAAGTTGACAAATTTATCATAATTAGTATGAAAATTGATATCACTTCGCTACAAAGGAATTATACGTCTATGAGATAAAGTTAACATTGTCAGTGTAACAGAGCAATCACATATTGAAAATACAGCAGTTGTTCTAAAGGTATTGTAGCTTAACTAAAATCAATTGATATGTATTTGTATTTAAACATGTCATATCATATGCACTTTATGATGAAAGATTTAGAAATCGAGCTGTTTAGTTCTAGAAAATCCTAGCATTTCAATTAGTCGGTGAAGTAGTTCTTGCTACTTGTGTCATATCACATTTTTATACTCTTAATTCAATCATGTGATAGGCAATTAATGATCTCACGTATGCTTTAAGTTTCTACCTTATCAGATTATCTGATATAGCAAAAATTCCGGAACAATTAAATTTTTCGATTTTAAATTTTGTGAACGTATATATTATACCTGCTGTCTAAATTAATAAATATGAATTGTGCTTTTTGAAGCACAACCTGCATATATTAAAGTGACATTTTCTCTATCGATTATACAGAAAAGAAGCTTTAAACTTATTACAATAAACTGGCACTCTCTAGTCAATGAGTCCCGGTTTGACGGCAATGGAAGCAATACCACATTGCAAATTTGCAGTGGAATTCTTTTTCCTGTTTACAATAGTAACGTAATGTTCTATCAGAATTTAATTTAGCAGTGCTTTTTATATTCAGCCATTGTTATATGCATAGTTAGAAATTTCGTCAAAGTACCTCTGGAGTAATGTTTCCAATCTGTTAAAAGATTTTCGCAGGAAAAATCCGTTCATTATAGCTGCCGCTTTACCTTTAGTCAACTGTTGATCTGACCCTACAGTAATTTATGCTTGGAAATTAAATTTCGTTGAATACAATTCAGAGTAATTTTAATACCAAATACAATACCTTTCCATAGCCCTAAAGACAACCGCTTGATTAGTTTGACCTGGGCGTATGTCGCGGGTTGCGATCTCCAGCTTGCGTTGGGGCTTAAAATTTATAAAAATGGAACGAAGTTGGATTTTATTTCAAATATCCCAAAGCTTTGCATATGGACATGTAGACATAATATATAGTGCATAGATACAGATCGTATTAGTAAACAATACCTTGATAGCATCATTCTAGTCCTGCCGACTAATCGCTCCCCTGTGACAATTCCACACTTTAATGCGGTGGACTAAGAATGTGGAATCCAAATTTCAGTAATTCACAATATTGTTTAAAATGCTTCCGCAGAATCATATATGTTGTACAGTATTACCGCAGAGGCACTTGTCATGACATGATAATAGTTTTCCACAGATCTACTAGATTCATGATTTGCTAATACGGAAAATTTACACGAGCTCCGGTCCACGATATGTACAAAAACATCAAAGTTTCCTAAGCAATACATTTCGCAATTAATTTTTTTAAGATTACATCGTTGTATACTAGAAGTACTATTTTAAAGAATTAGTGTCACCTGCCCCATTCTTTAGAACATAAATGCTGTTTTTGTTGAGGGATAGACCCCAAACAGAATCTTTTCTAATTTGCATGTAGAATTTCCGCCACATCGTATAATGAACTTTATTAATCTCTTTATTATCAAATAATATCGGTGATATTTTAGGTTCAGAAGAATTGGTGTGATTCCACATGGCTGGGTCAATTTCACTGTTAGTCGGATAGTCAATCGAATGACCTAATTGAAGTTATTATTGAATTAGATACTGAGAACCTTTCATCACACAATACAACTTACGGATGCATATGTTTCCGATTAAACGCACTCACCCATTACGCTTTCTTTGGACATTTCGCGAGCTTCACTTAAGGATGAGGCATGGTAGCAATCAGTATTATTTTCACTCAGACTCTGCATTTCATGGTGAACTTTTACGAGATCTTGCCCTATCAGAAAAACTCAGAGCTCATTAAAAATTTCCAAAAATAAATAACCAAGCTTTAAGGGATCCCAACATTGAGGTACCTGATCGACATGATTACGTTGCAAAATCATGTACCTCAGTGATATTATAGACAAACCTTCGCAGTTAAAATTTGGCGGCAATCCTACTAGAGAAGGTAGTGTTACTATATCGCAACCCGAAAAGTTATCAAAACAGTCAAAGACTGTGCAGTATTCCTTGTCAGGAAATGTTCGAAGGCCACGGCCAACCATCTGTAACAACGATAGTGTTTCAATAGGTATTCAACGGGTTCTTAGCAACAAATCTGCATCACATAAATCATTCTACCTGCTGAAAGAGTGTTGAACTTCGCGTAGGACGTGCTAGAATTATGCAATCAATGCAAGGTATATCAGTTCCTTCTGTAAACACTCCTGAAATATCAAATATACAATGAATGTCTTTATTAATATAAATATAGCAATAATATCAAAAATACATTACGGATTCTAAATTATCTTTTCTTAGCTGATACGATTCTTACCACAGTTTATCATGACTGGAAATTTTTGTTCCTTAAAATTGCTTACTAATTCAGCTCTATCATCTGAAGGTGTCTGGCCGTCCACTAGATGAGCCTCTTTTCCCGATAACCGAAACGCCTACATATAAGAGTCGTACGTATGTTATATAAATAGCAGCGAAGATAAGCACTAAGCATTAACATCCACTATGATCCATTAAACTCGTATAAAATTTCATTAGTGAAGCAAGTTAAAATCATTCCTTCTACCTCAGTAAGATCTTTTGCATGCTGCCGATTAGCAGAAAATACCAATGTCGATTTGAAGTTATCTAATGTACAAGAGATACCATAAGGCAAACAGTAAGTGTTTAAAGTTCAATTGTAAACTCTACATACGTTTAAATCTCGGCTAATCTCAGCCAAGACAAAAAAATTTAGGCACCTTTATGATTCAACCATGCTTTAACAATGGTATTATTCCGTTCGGGGGTATTTATTTGCTTAACAAGTTGAGATACGACAAAATCAAACTGATTTTTAGCGACTTTGGATAGATCTGCATCAGTGTGGATTGAGTAAGCGTTAATAGGAGCGAGCCTAAAAAATAGTTTAGCAGAAAAAATTCTAAAAATATTCGGATTGGCTGTACAACTGCTGTAATGATTATTATGTTCCGAGTTTTTTTAATCCCGTGGAGTGAAGAACCATGGATATTAATTAATCAATAAATTTATAGATATTATTGCAAAATTAAAGGATAAAGTAGCATCATATAGAAAAAACTCCTCACCATTTTTCTTCCCACATTTGAAACAAAGTCCTAGAATAAGAAACTTGTTCATAGACATTGCCAAAACCGACACCATCACTTCTTTGAAGTGTACCAGTACATCCCCAAACCAAGATATCTGATCTCGTTCCATCTTTGTTCTTGATTGGGAGCGTTTCATCATTGAGTAAAGCATTAAAGTGACCCAGCACTCGCAAATACGATGTCGCGCTAGAATGGTGAGCCTATATATCAAAAAGAATATATATCTTGTATCGTAACTATAGGTAATAAAGTAACATTATTGCTGTTCCAGAGACAACTCTGGCTAAAGGATATAGCACACCTCGTCAATAACAATTAATTTAAACTGATTTGGGTCAAATCGTTCGATCCTGGAGCTATATTTGCGTCCAAGGGTAGGAACACTAGCCACTACCACATCAGCGTCTGGCGATGCCTGTCTTTTACCTTGTTCAATATCTACGCTCTAGTATTCACCGTGAATAAGCCATTATCATGATCGTATTTGGAAGCACTGGACTGCAGAGAGATACCAAAGCAATCATACTCTACTAACCTTTTGAGGTAGAGAAGAGCATAAATGGCGATAGGCTTGATCAATGAGCTCTTCTCGGTGCGCTAGAACTAATACTTTATTAGTTGTTGCATTTGGAGACGGTACTTGACCGATTAAATGAGAAAAAATGACCTGTAAATGTTTACCAAAAAATGATCATGATCATCGTATACAGTAGTCCAAGACGAGAACTGCTTATAACATTAGCTTCACAAAAATTAAAAAAATTGGCTTAGTGAATAGATCGTAACAGCTCCTATTTAATATAACCTTAACTTCAATTAAGAAGACTGCTATTTCATTTTACTTATTATTATAGAGGATATCATGTTCAATTGTTGATTTTCATTGCTAGAGTTAAGGATACGTATGGCACAGATACTGTCCACTATACAGTGTACTGTATATACAGTAGGTATCCAATATGCATACCGTTTTTCCACTACCGACAGGTAAGGAAACAACTTGTGATCTCGAACCATTTGCAAATAGCTCCAAGCACGTTTGAATACAGTCTTGCTGGTACGGTCTTATCGACTTGATAATACTTTCTCTTCCATGCTTGTAATCTTCAGTGCGATCGATTACGAGATTGCAATAATAACGGATGGATCGACTCCCAATGTGGATTTTTTGTACTCGCAAATGACGAAATAAAAATGCTGAGGTTATCATCATCCTATTTGATTCCAAATACTAGCTGAGGTCATCAATAGTGTAAATTTAAAAGCATCATCGAGGACACCTTTATAAAGATACTTTTGCAAACCTCCTTATTCCATCCTGGAGTAGCGACAGCTCAAACTTTGCAACAACTTCAGCCCTTCTAATGCAACAAAGTCTTGAGCTGAGCTCTTTGGCAGCTGTCAGCATTCCCGTCCGTCTGAAGCTTTTTCATTCATCATTAGACGCCTACGCGATCGCCATTACTAATCCACTATATAGACTTTGTATGAGCTAGTAGCGTAGAACCAGACCTAGAATAGTCCGATGAAGCCATAGTACAGTAGAATTCACTTCGAGTGGGCTATATCACTCCATATGGGGCAATTTACTTGCATTTGTGTAAAATAAGCTGTCGCTGCTGTTCCTCATACAGTAGATAGATGGGCAGTATATCATTATCTACTGTTATAGGACATAAGATCTGAGTGCGAAATTTATTTTGCACACTACAAAATGGACGCTAGAAAGGAGGTATATTTCAAGTGCAGAAATATCGATACTTACTGTAGTTTCAATCTTCCTCCTACATGTGTTGAAAGCATACATATCCTAAGCATACTTACGACATATTGAAGTGCAACGGAGAGGAAAAGGACTACAACAGTGTAGGACTGCACTCGGTATGGAACAAGTTAAGCAATATTGCGTAAAATGAACTGTCACCCCTTCCGCTCATGTAGATCTATATTGTGGTGATTTTCTGTCGACAACTAAAAGAAAAGAAGATTTAAGTGCGACGCTTATTTTGCACACAGTTGGTTCAAAAAGATCGAAGCTGATATTGTCCCTACTCTGCGATAAAATGTCACTGAAAGTAATGCATTACTAAGTATTACATGGTACAATAGGCTTGTGTAGAAGGAACTGTCACCCCTTTCCTCCTGTTAATATTATGTCTGTAATACTACAAGAGACGCCTAGGCATGACAATCTATTTTGCACACTACCAAATCAAGTACAGTTGGTTAAAATATGCATGTTTGGAGCACTAACTAGAGGATTAGTATAGAACTTTGGTCCATTATCTACAAATACATTGAAGAAATCCTTTCGTCTATACAACGTCTACGGATTTAATATACTGTATACGATACAACCCTACAGTACTAATGCAATCCCAATATAGACGTAACCATTGCAACCAAAATTGGCGCGCTGTTCCAATATTATGGCTAGACCGAAAATAATTTATTGATCAAGCTGACCAGCAAAATTATAACCTATCTCCATGATACTATGTACGACTCTATCTCATCTTCTATGCCACATCTATAGATAAATATGCAACTTAAGATCATAATCTGACCTTCAATCAAATATTATCGCTCAAGCATTTGCTATACTTTGTCCGTTGATTTTATTCTAATTGCGTCATTTAAGGACGAAGTGTGATTTGCTAATAGTAAATTTTAAAATATTTCCTTTGCATAGCTGTTTATAATTGCGTTATTTTAGTAGCAAGTGTGATTTATGAATATTAAATTGCTTCAGTCAAAGAGGTAGCAATACAATTTATTTGCTAAATTTCAATATGTACGATCGCATTGCTTATTAAGTGCAGTTGCAAAACCTGTAGCCAGCTGTTAACGGTAATGAATTGCAAACATGTAGGATAAATATATAGTAAGTATTATATAAGTTAGGGCAGATTTTAATGCATGATTATTGGATATTATTACTAGAGTCAATTATGATCTGGTAAAGGATGGCGTCTTCTGGTATAAATAATGATGATAAAGTAGATCTAATGGATATTAAAGGAAAGGTAGATATCTCGAATTGAGGTCCACTTGTACTAGTAACATTAACCGTATTATTATAGCCATGATTTAAATTATTTTTTTATATCACTATTCGTAGAATAGCATTACTTAAGATTTCACCCTTTCATATCCAGGTCATAGCTAGAATAATTGTTATATTTGACGGTAAAATTATTCACGGCATTGACTAATTGAGAACGTAAAAATATAGCACTTATCTCGAATGGAGTTCGATTTTATCAGAGTTGTATCGTAGTAATGCTTTAAGTATTTCTTAATACAGTTATTTCATACGATATTATTATTTCAATTTCACTCCTTGTATATCTATGTCCTAGCTAGAATAGCACTTGCTATATTTTATGGAAAACTAAAGATAGCTTCAATTATTTTGGAATGCAATCATATTGCATTTACGTACAACTAATACGGCCAAATTTAGAGTCGTAGAATAGTATTGTCTTAATCATTACCTGATGCGAATGCACGGATGATATCATTAGTGAAGCTTTTACTTCATCCATATCAATGTCATAGCTAGAATAAAGCTCGTTAAATTTATGAAAGAATTATATGTAGTTATGATTGCTTTGGAATACTGTATAAACAACGTCGTATTAATATTATATAGAATCGAATTTCTCGGAGTCCAAATTTGACTGAGGCCGTAAGCAATCATTCCACTGAAATACACGATGATTCAAAAATGGATGACCTTAGGATATCTTCTGATAAAAGTATGATTCAGTTCCCTTTACGAATATGCAACATAAGTTCTACTACTTTTAATGCTAGCTGTAACATATTCAATATTAGCAAGAGGCACAAGCCATGCTAATATCGCCAATTAATAATAATTATGTATCTTTAGGCATGCTACAAAAAAAGCTATCAGATAATGAAAATGTGCTAGTAATGAAAACAAAAAGCTATAACGAACAGGTACGTAAACTTTTAACATGAAATTGGTCTTCTGCCCACTTATGATAAGGTAATAATATCCAGATTTCCTTGTCTTTATCTATATCCTGTAGGTTTCAAGGTTGCAAAATCAAGTAATTAAGCTGCGTGCAACTGTAGAGAGAGGTGAAGCAGTTAAACAACAGCTCGATTATGAACTATTAAAAGTAAATAAGGACTTAAACCATGAACGAAGACAGGCATTAGAACGAGAATCAAGCCTAAGTGAAATTAATAAATCCTTAAGTGGTGTGTAATATAACAAATAACTCAGTTTTGACAGATGTATTATTAAAATAATCATAACAATGTAAATGAATCAGCTGTTACTTTCAACATACAAACGATATAATTAATCCCACGGAAATGTACTATTTATTCAAAGATCAAGTAAGCAAGGCAACAACTAAATGTCAAGAGTTGGAAAATAGTATGCAGCATCTTCATTTTAGATTACAAGAGGAGCAGAAAAAACAGCAAATGTTAATTGAAGAAACAGTAAGTTAACATCAATATTTTTGCGGTGTTGCTGCTTTCATTAATCCATTATGCTGCTAGGATAAAGTCTTGAATTCACTACGAGCTGAACGCGATGTTATTGAAAATGATAACCATAAACTCCAGCAGACCGTACAGGATTTGCAATTGTATGATAATAATTCATAATTTCAGTCTATTCGCTTCCAGAGAATCATTTGCTGTTAAAATTTTCGAAATAATATCTTATTATTAAATTTGCAATTCATTAATCATAGACAAAATGAAAATTTTTTGGAAAAATTGGCAACAGCGGAAGGTTTGTTCGACATGGATATTAATACTGCTATCATAAGCGCATATGTATTTCACTCATTCGAAAATCTACCCACATATCATTTCAATACTAGTCCGCTATAGCAACCAAAATCAAACCCTACAGCGTCAAGCTGATGAATTAAAAGGCATCACGTCTAGGAAAGAAAGCTTAACAGCAAACTTGGAGGTAGCAAGGATATGAAGACTCAGTATCATAAAATTAAAATTACATTATTATTTCGCTGTCGTTGATCATAAGTGACCAAATTGCTTGAATTAGTCTGCCCATAGAAAAATTCAAAATTTGGAAGAGAATATTGAAGCAGAACGTGCTGCTCACTTAGAATCTAAATTTAATTCAGAAGTTATTCAGGTCATTTGCAGTAGTTGCGCATCAATTTTTGTAACTAACAATGACCAGATCCTCGATCATTCATTAATATAGCTTAATATCTATGTTAGTTAAGGGTTAGAGATTTGGAAGGCGCTCTAGAAACTGAGAAAGCAATCAGAAACGATGCTAATGAAAATATAAGAGGCCTTCAGAAAAAGATAAAGTACGTTTCTATCTTACCAAGGAATGTAAAACAATTTTAAATTGCTTAATTAATTATTGTTTACTAGTATAATTTAATAATATCAATCTCAGATACTAAGTAGATAAATAAATAAAATGACTAAATTTATTTTCAATATCCCGATATATTTAGAGAACTGGAGATACTGAAAGATGAAAAAGATCAACAGCTTTCAAATCTAACTGACCAATTAAGGAGGTATGAATCAGTATTTTAGGTATTTCTTTTCAATTATAGCTTACTGGCTGCAAAATATGAATTATTTCTTATCAGTATCAAGACGGAATACAGCAGCAACCAAGAGACCCTGTTACGTGAAGTCGAAGAAAAGCAAAATATTGTTCAAGATTTATCCCGACAGCTAGATCGACATCATAACAATTTTCTCTCTTTGCGAGATGAATTAACCAAGGTAGACAAAAGTAGTTTAACTATATATAAGACACTGTAAGTTAGGCTATCTTGCCGAGATGAATGAACCAAACATCAAAATTTTGTTGGAAGGTCTTATTTTTTACTTTAAATATTCTATATTAGACTAAGAGAAGGCAGAAAGAACTGCAGGAAGAATATGGAAGCAGCACTAAAGCGCTAGAAGAGCTTGTCCTGTCGTTTTCTATACCACCGATAACCAGTCAAATCCGTGGTTAGTCTCTTATTCATTTTTGTCTATATCTTAAAGATTTCACTTACAGTTAACATGGGTAGGGGAATAAGTTCATTTAGCTCATTAACGTTGATTACTAGTGCAGAAAAATCTTCTTTAAGTCTGTTTGTAACGATAACCATCTTCTATGCTATACTAACTTAGAATCGCCGACAATAAAACCGTCAACAGCAGTGAGCAGCATTCGATTAGCATTTACGAATTATCAGAATCGAATTGATGAAAGCCAACAACAGGCAGGAATTTCAATATTGGATTTTGTTTTAAGAATAACAAGTATTAAAGTTACATAGAGGAGTTAATATTCCATAGAAATGTAGACTAGGATAAATTCTAGATTAATATTCACCATGTTAATACTTATTCTATGTAATATAAGATCGAAATATCTTTGGAAGATTTGTTTCGACGCCAGTGATTACATTAAATTCGTTATCATTATCTTCTAGATATTCTAGAGCTGGTAAAATAGTCTATTCTATATCACGTATCTTCCATGAATAAAAAATTTAACGTTAACGTTAATACTCTTAATCTGATTTGAATTACTTCGTGATCTATTACAGTTAAGTTATCTAAAAAAGGAAGTTGAGAAGCTCTCTACTGAGTGTGAATCTTACAAAGAAATGATCTGGTCTAGAGATCATGTCGTCGAGGTTTGTATTGGTATTCTATCAAGAAGAACTCCTGTCAATGTCTACTCGATCTTAAGTTGATCATGTCCTTGGCATTTTAGAAAACCAAAGATGCTCTATTATCAGCTCGTAACGATTTAAAAACGGCAAGAGAAGACCTTAAAGAAAATCAAAACGTCATCAACAATTTACGAATTCAATTACAGCAATTACATCAAAATTTATCTCACGAGTCGAATCTAAAAGAAAAATTAAACGACGAGGTAAACTTGTTCGCCGAACGATCAACTCTGTCAAATTTTATTTTATTTTGAAATAAATAATGTCGATAAGATTATATTTCATGATTATATTCTACATCCTTATTTATAGTTAATGTTAACCAAAGAGCATTACCAAAAGGAATTGGAGGTAAATATAGAGAAATTTTAAACTTAATTATAACAGATCCTTATAATATCTTGGAAGGTTTCATTTCTTAATTAAAGTAGGTTGAAGATGCTAGTTCAGCGTAGAACAGATATCAGCATTAAAATTGAGATGAATGAATTACAAATGCAATTTAATCGCTACTCGTTTTATCCACTGATGTGGACTGTAGGATCGGAAACAATTCCTTCATACCCTAAATCAGCGTTTTACTTCCAATAATCCACCAACTGCGGCTTTAAATTCAACGGAAAATGACGTTAGTTGGCCGGAATTAAATATTCGAATCATAGAACATATCGGTAACTTTCTTGTTCAGCTGGAAAAACGCAAAGAACAGGCAAGCTGAAATTTTTAGCTTCATAAGAATGCATTTAAAGCTGCATTGTGATGATTAATTTCTCTTTATCACCCGTTTATATTTATGTTAGGTCCAAATATTAGAAAAAGCTTGCCAAGATAGAGATCGTGCATTGCAAAAAATGCATAAAACCCACGAAGAAACTTTATCCAAAGTGAGGGATGATGATTTTTGCCATAGCATTTTCCAGTAGGATTGGTCGTAAATTTGATCAAAATATGAAGAATTCCCAGTTCTAATTAAGAAATCATAATAATTTCGGTTTCAATTTAATAGCTATTATCTAGTCATACGGCGAAAGAACGCAAACAGCAAGAGGAAAAAACAGAATTAGATGAGCATTACAATAAAATGTTGCTAGATCTACAAAATCGTCTAAAGGTTGGATCAGAACTTAAGTTATTACATATATAAACCGTTATTTTTTGTCTTGTGATTTATTCTCGGCATTTATTTTACTTGTCTTGTATGTACAGGATAGTCAGAATCAAATTCGGGAGATGGGGAATGAATTTCGTAAATTAACGAGCAATAAAGAAGAACGGAAAAAAGAGAATTCTGTTTTAAAGAAGCATTTCACTGAATTAAAGGCTATGAACGATGCATTAAAGATCAGCTGTAGCTTACTCGCTGGAGTGCTATGGCCGTTACAAAATCGTTTTGCAGATTTAATTACACAGAGAAACGTATTAACTCAACTATATGCAAAGGCTGAAGAATCGAAATATCATTTAAAATCTATCTGTGATACCTTACAGCAAGAGATGAAAGATTCAGCCATTATTCAAGCAAATAACGATCAAAATTCATGGGATTTACTACCCAACAAGAAACGTCGCAATATGTTTCAGTTATTCCGTGTTGGAGCCATTGCAGTTCTAGCAGCTAACCGATTAGTTCATTTAGTTCGATGCAGCCATTTTAAGTTTTTTACTGTGCCTCAAATATTCAATGTTGGGATATCGTCGGTTTATTATGGTGGTTATTTTAATGTTCCTAAAGCAAGATTTCAAGGTATTGCAAGTCAGTCACCGGCAAAAGCTATGCTGAACTCGGTCGCTGCTACAGCATGGCTTACAAGTCCAAGCCTCCAAATGCGATTGATCAAGGCTGCATCCGAATTACAGCATTATTTAACAAGTAAATTGGCTTAAATTTCATGATCTTTTCTTATTTTAGAGCTAGAATATATCTTTGTTTTTTGCCAAACAGTCGATTCAAAGCTAAAAGTTAACATATACTTAATCTTATATGAAAGAGATGGATAACATGCTTAGAATGTTGAAGCGAGGGGTGATTACAACTAAACTATCTATCTTCTTCCATCGTTTGTAATTGTTTAGGAGAAAAGCCGGATTCCTATTTCAGCCAAGATAGTGAATTGCCATACATTGCTCAAAGTACTTTTAGTAAAATTATCCGGGCTATTGAAGCGGAATTTTCATCGTTATCCACAGAAAAAACAGAGATAGAAGCTGCATTTATGTCAAAACCCTTAACCTTTTGGCTTGGTCGAGGATTTGAAAGATATCAAAAACGTACCTCTGTTGAAAATCAAGATATTGTAGCACTATCGGTAAATTGCAATCAAAGAGCTTAACAGTAATAGTATCGGTTTAGCAGGCTATTTTCTTTCTTGTCCCAAGGTATCCTATTTATTTTTACCTTTTTTGCCATTGATAGGAAGTTATACCTGATCTGCGAAATAAGCTGTTAGAGCTTACTCGTAGACTGCACTCAGCAGAAATTGAAAGAAGATCCTTGAGAATAGAAGTAACTAAACTGCAGCAAGAATATTTTGATAATAAGAAAATGAGAGAAAAGACGACAGAGCTACAGAAATCTCTGGATGAATTACACTTAAAGGTAAGAAAGATGTTTCTATAGTAATGATAAATTAATGTTAGCCTTGTTGAGGTAGTTGAATTAGCCCAATATCCATACTTTTTCCATTCTACTTCTTCCTAGTATAACGAAAGTGTTCCTGAAGCCAAATTTGAAACCATTTATAAAGAATTACAAAACGCATTACGTCGTGAAAGCGAAGCCCAAAATTTACTGAAAATCCAGTCCCAACAAATGCAAGATTTAGAATATCAGAGAACAAAGTATTCGCAAGAACAAGTTGTTAATGAGGCTTCCATAACAGCTAAGGCTAAGGTTAACTTTTTGATTTGGCAAAAATGATGCTTAACGAAAGGGATATTTCGAACGCTATAATTTATTCTGTTTTGTGTCGATAAAGCTGATTCAATCATACTTATAATTCCTTGCTTTCTTATCAAATAGGAATTATTTAAAATCAGAGAAGATTTAGAGAGGAAAGATCGATCACTTTACGAGGTCAATCAAAATTTTATTCGATTGGAAAACGATCATAAATCGGTATTAGCTGAACTTACCAAAGCTGAGAAATTGGTTAAAACATCTGCAAAGTAATTGCATTTCTAAGAGAAATTGGATCATAAATAGTCCAAGCTCACAGTAAACTTATTTATTGTGTCTATCTTTGCTTTCAGAGAACGGGAAGCTCTTTTATGTTATCTTAAAGCCGTAGAGGCCGCCCTTGAGCAGGTTCATAAAAATAATTAACGATCACTTGAATATATTTAATGACATAAAAGGCCCAGATACATTCTATACTTCATTGCCTATTAAAGCTAAAATTATTGAATACTCTATTCAGTTGAATATACTGTATTGGAATTGCGATTATTTCGAGATATCCCTATAAATTAATTCAATCTAGTGTGCTTACTTTTAATGCGTTTATATTTTATGAGATAAAACTATAAAATCCCCTTACATTGGTGAGAGGACTGTTCGTCGAATGTATATTTCTATAGCGGAGTTTTTCTAATCTTCGATGCGTTATGTAAACTGGGAGGAGCGATTCAGTTCTTTAATTAATTTTGTTCATCTGTTAGTTGCTATGTCAATATTGATATTATTTTGTATTATTGCATTAACTTGTAATTTCCCTTTAAAGAGTAAGCAACTCGCTCAGTCGCGAAATTTGGGTGATGCTAATCCTTACCAATATATGTTACCAAAGGTAATATCTTATATAGTGGAATCGTGATTAGAATAGTAATGAAAGAGGGTAATGGTATTGATGAATTTGTTGCTTGTATTTCAGTTAATCCTTCCAAGTGAACGCCTGGAAGCTGAAGGTTTTAAAGTTGGGCCAGAGATGTTAAGCTGTCAGGTACTAGCTTTACTAATTTTGAAAAGAGTTTCAGATCGTAGTATATTTTCCTCTAAGGGTAAAATTCAGGGCTTTGATTCCACTTTTAACTGAGCAATTTTTGATTGAATTATCTGAGGTACTACTTGAATCAGGAAACGCAGTAACAGCAAATAGTTATCACTTTTTTTTACTATAAGCTGTTGACGTTGTTGAGTAGTTAACATGTGTAATTGAATTATCTGTGGTACCACTTTGAATCAGAAAATGCAATCATAGCAAATAATTATGGTATGTCTTTCTGTAAATTGCCGATAGAGCGTTGTGAAAGCTTTTATGGAAGCCCAACAGCAGGTTCTATCTAAGGTTTCAGCTCTAGAAAGTGAACTAATGCCTTATAAAACGCATATTGGTACGCTTAAATCTGAATTGACTGCGGCATGCCAACGCCAGGTTAATGATATGGCACATACTTCACATCAATCGGTAGGTAGAAGTATTTTCGTATATGCTTGAGGCTACTTCTTAATGACATGCAGCTTTCTTGTATTAGGTCACTGTAGTAGTGTTAAAAAGGTGTAAAATGTGCCTGTATGGGCTACATAAAATTATTCATTTGCAATGAAAATGATATGCACTCGATCTTGTCCCATTTTCATAAGGGCATTACTTGAATTCTTTTCTAGGCAGATCATGGAATGAAAGGAAGTAGAGAATTTCGAGAACAGCCGCCAACTGTTGCCACGGAAGAATTAAACAATTATAATTTTATACCTCTTAAGTAAGTCAGTAAAGATTATGGTGAATATACTTGTATTGCCCTGAGTAGTTTATTTTTTAATACGAGTAGGGGATAATATTATAGTCTTGGTGTTACCAAATATTGATTAATTAGATAACTCATGTATTTTAGGCGATACCAGGACACGGTAGCAAATCCTGGAACAACTCGAGAATAAAACTATCCCCTAACTTGTGGTTACTATCTCATCAATAATGTGCTTAAATTTATTGATTGTACGTATGACAAGAAATCATTCATCAACTCAGGATCCATAAACGACAGACTCATATTCAAAGATCTCTTGTATGAATGAATAATCTTTGTTAGCTAATCCAATCGATGGTACTAATTTTTTCCACGGTGAATAAGCTAATGTTATTCCTACGGAACTATAGTGTAAATTTGTTGCTACTGAAAAATTTTATAGGCCATGTATCAAATTATAGTTTTATCATAATGTCAGTGACAAACCAATAACTTGTAAAATTTTTTCGCACTCTAATCCTGAGAATATTACTATAGTAGACTAAACTAGCAAATAATTTCGTAGTAATATGTCATAAAAATAATATTATTTAAAATTTGCATTATTCTACTTCCTGTTACTATTAATATAGGTAACTCAGTTTGACTATGAATCCAATCATAGCTGGCGATCTGTAACTTGTAAAAATAAATTATGTATGCTGTATTTCTAATTTTCTAAATAGCAAGCATAAGAAAGATGACTTACAGCTATTGAAACACATCTCGACGACAATTTTAGCTAATATCATGCCTTGAAAATTCGTGGAAATAAACAATAAATTCACTGATTTTATACATGTGTATGTTTACTTATCACGACATTTCAAGCTAAAGAGATAAATTATTCTGATTCGACGTATTGTCGAATTTGATACCTAATTAGAATGGAAATAGCCCATAAATGCTTTATCTGAGTTACTTTTTGTAACTCGTTGCTCTGATTGTACGGGAATTAGAAACAGCTGCCGATTTTAATCATGCATGCAATAAATAAAAGTATTAGAAGAGCTTGTCAGCCATAATTTGATTGCATCAACGAAATTAAAACGTCTCTGTCGGTGCAGCGTACCATTACTGATAGTCGGCCACTTAATTATTGCTAGATAAGCCACGTAAAGACAGATTAACTGGTATTACAATAATAACCATCAATAGGAATCGTTGTTAGAATAGACATCAGATAAACATAATACGACAATAGTAGTTGCAACGAGGATTGTTGATAGTTTATTTCTACGTAGAATTTTGTGTAAGACATCACGAAAAATGCTACACTGCTTTAAGGCATAACTACCATATCGATTTAGTATAGCACTTGCTAGAAGTTAGTTTAATTTAGATAGAGGGAAAATTCGGCCGGATAGTAAACTTTACTATGCTAACGCCGATATTTTCGACATAATCACTATCAATATACAGACAGTGACTTCTAAGTATTGACTTCTGAATTTTTCGAAAGATCTAATGATTTATTTAGAAAATTCAATTCTATAATTGACTTCAAGTCTAATTTGAGTAAGGTCTTTCTAAGGCTAACACTATTCCCGAAATCAAAGTCGATATAGTTACTGGATTACAACCTTTTATATTGGTTAAAAATGAAAGATGTACAGTTATACCTATAGAAGCTACAAATAAGCAGTTGCTAAGCATTATGCAATAGTTAATTCCATTGCAAAGTATACCAGCACCATTCATCAGCCATAGGCTTGCAAGATTCCCATTGGTATTGAACACCTTCACGAGTGTACAATGTCAAGTACTGACCGTCGTGAACGAAAGCTATCCGTGCAGTATTTCCCCACGTCGATTGGGCCTAGCAATTTTAATTAAAAATTTCTCGTTTTAAATATTACGCTTTCTCTTGCACGACTGAATTAAGCATAATATGCCAAATAACTAATTTGTTCAAGTAAAAAGTGTACCAATGTAAAGAAAATTTTAGCAACAAAGTATTGGCAAACCTGGACATCAAATAAGCAGAAATGATCCAATTCACCCTTGCAGCATTCGATTTTGCGGACGCCATTTCTATTATATACGGTTAGGTATTTCTGATTGTCTGCTAGCATTGCTACTTTTTTGCGTCCATCTGATGTATGAAATGTGCTGAAGCGGAAGCAGCAGAATTGATCTGGATTCGATTTACAGGCTTCTACGTTGTCCATACCGTTTCTGTGAAATCTTGTCAAAAATTGGCCGTTATTGCCTTTCAATGTGTATGTGCGATTTGGATCAAAGGTAAAGTCATATTGCTGATGCAACTGAGGTGGCATACTGATGGCGCGATCTATACAGTATATAGTACATACACATGTAAGATATATTTAGGTAAAATGTGCAACTTTCGTGTCGGATTGAGTTATGATATTAAATAAAATTATGATGTATGGCTTTCAGTCATCGTTAATACATTATTCCTAGTATGAGGATAGAAAAAGTGACGGTATTATCAGATTTTAGTATCTCCTTACCAACGCGAAATACTTGCAACCAACACCATTCATCTGGGACATCTTTGGCGACTTCCAATGCATACTGATATTCGTTGCGCGTGAATAAGCTGACGTATCTTCCACCACTAGTTAAAGCCACCTGTACATAGCTACCAAAGTTCTATTTATTTCCCAAATCAAGCCATCACAGAAAAATAGGAAAATAAACTTATTCTTAATCTCATTACAAAGTATTCCATAATAGAACTGTTTAACATTCTGCATCTTCTGCAATCAGAATGTTGTGTGTATTGATTGTAAGCTAACCTGTCCAACTTGGATACCAAAGAAGCAGTAAGGGGTAATTTCTCCTTGGTCGCATTCCACCTTAACGACGCCATTGCGGTTAACGGCACACCAGTGACGGTTATTGTCAGCCATGAAACCGTACACAACTTGACCTCCTGGCAAAACTCTAGCGGATGGTTTGAACCTAACAATAACAAGATTAGCTGTCAATGGTATAAGATGACCTGTTGGGTAATGTAGGTGTTTTGGCCGTTTAAAAATCTTTTCTTATTGAAGGTTAAATTCGCTGTCATCGTATGAAAAGCCAAATTTGGATTCGAATGATATGATTATCGTACAAAAATATCTACTATCACAAATAAAATTAGCATTTTTATAGGAATGAATACTATGAAAGCAAAGGCGTATACATACATAATTGATTATTCAAACACTACGAATCTATGATCACAAATTCGCATTATTCTAATTTTAATTTTAAGGTAAAAATATCGTATTGAAACCTAGTAGTAATACAGGTATGCTTTACTGCAATTGAATTGAATTTATACATCTTAGTGTGTTTACGGTGTATTTGTTAAGTAATAATCACTAATTTATTTTATGTTTATTAGTAATGTATTTACGGTGTATTTGTTAAGCAATAATCACTGATTTATTAAGCTTATTAATCATGTATTTACGGCGTATTTAAATGTTAAGCAATAATCACTGTTTTATGAAGTTTATTAAGTATGTATTTACGGTGTGTTTAAATGTTAAGCAATCACTGATTTATGAAAGCTTATTAACGCTCGGTAATAAGCACTATACAGGACACAATTAGGATAATACAGCTAAAGACTTTAATTTAACGAGCTATTTATATGTTGACGTAAGCTACCGCTAGTTTTATGCATCGGTGATGATTGACCGTTATAAGGCGTACACACAATGAATTCTAAATGGATAGTAGCGGTAAGCAATATCAATTAAATTCACCAGTACTGTATTTCTTATACTGAATACAAGACACTAATGATATAACTGGTGTAAGTACAATGAGACAAACAAAAAGATCATTTTTACTTAAGACCTAAATGCAATGTTTTTCTATTTATTTCCTACCGATTGTAGGTAAATATGTATTCAATTCTATTTTATGATCCTATCTAGCAGTAAATGTAGCGTACAACATACCGGCAAAACTGATCCACTTGGGGTTTACACGCTTCCAAGTTTTGTAAATTATTACGACAGTATCGCGTAACGTATTGGCCATTATGGCCTCTGAAGGCGTAAACACCATTAACATCAAATTGGAAGTTCATTGTCGGAGGATCTATGAAATAGAAAATAAGATATTAGATAAGTTACGAAGTTGTGTATTCCATCACCATTGACAAGAAGGATTTTACAATGTCTGGTATAGAACGATGGCGAACACCAGCACCCAAAAATGTTGTGATGGCCGTTATTCTACTTTGTGTAGCGGGATCGTCAGACGATATTCAGTACAGCAAACAATCACTACCGTTTAACTACATACAAGTGGTCCTTTAACCTCTACAGGTTCGACACTAAATTCTTTTTTCCATAATGCGTTTGCAAAGATAAGCATACGAGTATGTCTGCAACACTTGATAATGAATTCATGAATCAATGACAATTTACTCTCCTGTCTAGCAATAGTCTATGCAGCACAGTATGGAGGAGGATCAATATTCTATAGTGATAGTACTTGATTCGCCAACCTAGCGAATTGAATTACCGTAATTGTCTGATGGCTGATGTAGTTTGTGCACGACGAAACTGTAGATTACACCTTCTGCACAGTGCAGTGTGATTGCTCACAGAGTTTACAGTAATGATATGAATTTAGTACAGCAAGCGTTTAGCTATCGACAGGTTGAATAGCACTGATTTCTATTTGCCATAATGTAATTCGATCAAGACAAGGATGCTTGAATCGCTCGACAACCAATGATATGACGCCATTTTATGAAATAGTCCATTTAATTGGACTGCTAGCTAGCAATGATGTAAGTAGCACAGTATGGAGGAGCATTGATATTCCATAGCGATCGTATTTGACTCGTCAACATTGTGAATTTAATTAACGTAATTATCTCTACTGCTAATGTAGCCTACACGCTACGAAATTGTAGATTGTTCTAATCACGAATGATAATCCGCATGATGCAGTGCGATTGCTGAAACTGTTTACAGTACTATACGACATGATACCAAAGCCGATTTGAATTCACAAAGTCCAATGGGTTTTGGCTCATGTCAAGGTCAAGATTTCTGACAAGGCGACAGAAAGAGGCCACGTTGGCCATTCCCATCTTGTTGATTGAGTAAGCCTGCTTGACATGGATAGTCTATCTACTGTACTAAAGGAAGATAAGACTATGACGCGCTATGACTGGTAATGATAACTTGCATTAAAGTTCGATCGAGGTAATCATGAGCGGAAAAAGGTTGGAAGGGCGGCAGTAAAGGATTAATCCAACTGAATTGCATTAATCTGCATGAAGATTAGATCATGAATGTTAGATCAACTTCCATTTAGTCGAGTTTTGCGTGTTAACCTTTCTCAGGTCTACAATCAGCACATCATCATGACTAGCAGATGCCCTATTGCTTTTAATTCAAAGATTGATGGATGCCTTTTTCGATACTCCAATGCCCTTTTTAAACCATTTTTTTACCCTTTGCAGCGACTATACGTACAGTCGTTGGACATTGGGCCATCGTGATGGTCATGCTGAATGACTGACGCTGGAAATGGACCCAATCATGACTTATCAAGTAATACATGACAATATTGGATCGACTATCATCATTTTGCTTACCTGAACTGATGATGGCAAAGGCAAATCAAACGTGAGATTGAGGTAGGGGTTGACACAGGGGGTGTGTGACGTGCACGAGTCAAACGTGTTCCGCAATAGCAGATGCCGGTCCGAAACGTTCCGCTATTTATACAGTATGTTTATACTGTACAGTACAGTACTCTACTTAGCATTGATCCTGTACAGTACTGTACAGTGTACAGTACACCGTGTGTATTAGATGGGTGAACCCAGTTGAACCGTTGTTGACATTGTGATTCAACTCCATGGATACGAAGCGAGTGTAACGTGTAGTATGAACATTGAACGCTATCCGTTGGTGATGGTTGAGCTGTGTGCTGTACTGTACAATGTACTCTATTGTACCTGGTAACAATACTGTACACTGTACAATAAGCTAAGGATGATTGTTTCATGCCTGATCAAACAATGCAATCGAAGAGAAAGTATGATCAGTATGCCTTTGGTGGTACGTGTAAAATGATACGTACAGTATGTACGTGCACCACGGCTTAATCCTTGTGTAACCCTCGTCGCTTCAAACCGAACGATGAGATCATCGAGTAAAAATAAGACCGATAACAACAGCGCCCGGTACGACTTGTGGACTCTGCTCTGATGACGTCAGTGATTGATTGACTTCTTCTACTGTATTGCTATTAATAAATTGTTTGCTCCTATGCTTCTACAGTACATTACAGCACTATCACTGTCGTAATGAACATTTCACATTGCACTCTAGTCGGTGAGCACATTTCAGCCATTTTGCAGATTAGGGTGCAAGTGCAAGCCAGTGATTGACTTTTTCTACTATATTGCCATTAAGTTGTTTGTTCCTATGCTTCTTGAGAAACATTAGACCACTGTCCCTGTCCAAATACACATTTTACATTGCACTCTAGTCAGTGAGCTCATTTCAGCCATTTTGCAGATTAGGGTGCAAGTGCAAACCAAACCTTCGACAGGTGTAACGATATTGCCATTAAATTGTTTGTTCCTATGCTTCTTGAGAAACATTAGACCACTGTCCCTGTCCAAATACACATTTTACATTGCACTCTAGTCAGTGAGCTCATTTCAGCCATTTTGCAGATTAGCGTGCAAGTGCAAGTCTGTGATTGACTTTTTCTACTGTATTGCTATTAAATTGTTTGCTCCTATGCTTCTACATTACAGCACTATCACTGTCTTAAGACACATTTTACATTGCACTCTAGTCGGTGAGCACATTTCAGCCATTTTGCAGATTAGCAAGTCAGTGATTGACTTTTTCTACTGTATTGCTATTAAATTGTTTGCTCCTATGCTTCTACATTACAGCACTATCACTGTCTTAAGACACATTTTACATTGCACTCCAGTCAGTCAACTCATTTCAGCCATTTTGCAGATTAGCGTGCAAGTGCTGGTCAATGCGCTGAAGTCACAAGGCTTTTAGGCACTCTTGTGGAATACCAATGATGTCAAATTATGATACAGTACTGAAGGAATTATCATCAATAAATTTTAATCAATTTATTCAGCCTTTATGCTAGGCTATTCAAGTCGCAATTTCTTCTTTAGTAACGATGAGCAGGGACTACTCATCACTCAACCCATATTGATTCACTGCTACCGCTGTTAAGTCACAATTGTCACAGTCAATCAGCGATTATGGACATTAGCGAAGCCCACATGCTATGCGGTGTGAGTGATTTTTACTCGCGCAGACGATTCTAGGTCATGATACTTTGTTGCAGTGATGCACCCATATTGGGTTATAAGGATAGCGCTATTTGATATGGTTAAGTGATTCTGAATCGATATTCTGGTGAAGCTAATAGATGATTGCTAACTAATACAGTATATTAGAAATTGTGGATGACTAATATTGGCCGATGGACTAATTATGGTACAAGATTTATGTGGCTAGAAACGCTGTAGTTGTTAAGATGCCCTTCAGGGAAAGAGGCTAGACGTTAACAGAAGAGTAATAACATCTTCGGTAGAATGATTTAGGTTGTAGAAGATAACGATGTACTATTGGAGAAAAGTAGTGGGGATATTATTTTTGTTTGATGACTTAATGTCTGATTGAAGATTAATCAAGTTGTCATAAATGGATTGAACGAAATACAGATATATATAAAAGATGCAAAGATGAGCTCATGGAGAGAGAAAAGACTTCGCTTCACTTTGAGCTCGGAATTGCGTATTTTAGACTAGATTCTTGTAATAATTAATTATTACTCTACTATTCCTAAAACCTTGTCATAAAAGCATCATGGAAAATACAATTTGACCAAGATAGTTATAGTGAGATACTTTATTACATTTGCTTCAATTGAATAAAATACGTCTTTCACTGATACTGCGAACTGTGCAAGTCATCAGCTATGCTAGCTGTATCCATTTGTCCAAGTTCTCCATATAAGAAAATGATGCACATTACAGTATTGGATATCTTCAAATAGTCACCGTGATGATCAGTCAATTGGCGTAATCTCCAGTGCCTAGTATTGCATTCTGTATGTGTCTATGTTACGGTCTATATTACGAAATTGGTCAAGTATAAGAGTTTCGTACAGTGGTAGATCACAAATTCAGCACTATGCCTGCCTTCTACGAAACAATTTCGTGCCATTTCTTTCCAAAGTAGAAAACTCGTTTGTTCATGCGCTTGAATTCATGTACAACAACAATCTTGCTAGAACTTGATAGTGCATCATCATGATATATGATATTCCTTTCATAACCAACCCTTATTTTGAAAGCTATTTCCGATTTATATGTATACAGGATATAGTACAGTATCGTGCAGTCTTGGCATTGCATATTATTCACTCATGGCTCAGTCAGGAATTTTAAAAAATAATAAAATGTCGCCAGGCCAGTGTATGTTGTTAGCAGTGTGCAGTAGGACAAGGAAATACCTCCGCCATATTTCAATCATTGATTCTCCACAACACTACATTTGTACACGAGTCGACGCATACTGTCTTACTATTTAGGTTGTATTTTTGCAGTAGATCAAACAAGCTCGTCCAGCAGTTTCATACCAAAGGTTGCTTGGCAATGAGAAGCAACATAATCAAGATCAAGAGTCCAAAGACAAGCTTACGTTGGCAGTCTATTGCAACTAGTTTTTGCAATAATAGGAAACTATTCGCTATGCTACGCCATGGGAAGAATGCAAGTAAAAGCAGTCGCATTGCCCCTCATGAGTCATAACCCTATTGTTCTACTGTCTATACAGTCATGTACAACACATATTCATTTATGTTTTGCATTTTTAGTCATCCTTGTGAAAGGCTTTCTAATACTCCATCTTGACGGCTAGAAATCATCGCCATTCAAGGTTTTCTGACGAGTAACTTACCAGGTCGTCCATGAATGCCCTTTTCTTCTCCACCCAAAGGGAGATCCCAAGTCGATGTTTTCTGCGCATGCACCAACTCAATTTGAAATTTTCCATACTCTAGCCGTCAACTCTGTCATCCAATACAAAAACGTTTTTTTGTTATGGTTGTTCCAATGGGTTGATAGGCGAGAGCGGATTGCACTTGGCGATAGGGTATAGTATAGGCGAGCGATGAGCGTTTGATACAGTCGTGTCAAAAAGTCTTTTCTCCCTCCTTCGTGCCTGTTTCAAAAAGAGTCCAACTAGTCGACCAAATCGCATAGACAGAGGGGAAAAATCACATCCACAAGCTATTTTACTGTCTATATTGATCGAGAATAGCTGTCCATTGCATGATTACTTTACTGCAAGCGATTGAGTTGATTTGATATCGCGATTGGATCGAGTTGATGCGTCGATGAAAACATCCGTCATGCCTAAATTTACGGGTAAAGGTTACGGCAAACGCAAGAAAGTAGTGGAAAAGCCGGAAATCGACGATCATCAATTTGATATTGCTCTCCATTATAATCATACTGTAACCAATCATCATCAACATCCTGTAGATGATCCATCGTATCCTGTTAAAAAAAATAAAATTCGTCATTGCTGGTCGGCGATCGATTTCGATCATCATCCTCAACAAAATCATCTCCATGTCGACAGTATACAAAGCGAAGCCAAAGTACCTGATCAACACCATTTGATCACGACACAACAACAGCAGCAACAACCACAACCACCGCCAGCCAAGTTAGTTAGAAAGTCCAGCAAGCAATTTGTATCCATTAAGAAGCAATTGAGTCGAGATATCAATGACAAAGATCAACTTGTAAGTAGTAAAAATTGCAATGAAAGCAGTGAAGAACGACACGATTTAAATGATAGTCGAGAAACGGATAAAAGTGAAAGTGAGGAAAGTACGTGGAATAGTACTCAAGAATGGCTCGATAATACAACACCTGATTTCGATAATTTATTGAAGGAGGTAAGTGGATTCTACACTGATAATGTCAATAGCACAAGCGAGTAGAATCACAATTGCTCTACGGGATAATACTGTATCAATTTGAACATGATAACTTGTCCATAGCAATGAATGATTTTCTTGTATAAATTCAAGTTCAAAAAGAGGTATTTTCCCCTTACCGACAACGTTACCTCATGCTTGCATCACTTGCTTTCAATTGGATGATAACATGCTAACGCTACACATCTTCTCAACTCATATTCTTACTTAATTCTCACTTGACACCTTGTATTTTTCCTTCTAATCTATCAGCCTATGACACGTACACTATCAGGAACAAGCAATGATTCTTTAATCAGTTGCAATCATAGCCAAAAAGTAGGCAATAAAGTCAAGGTTAAAAAGGGCAGTAAAGAGGTAACTTATCCATATTGGCCATGGATCTTTATCTTCTCTTGACTAAATATTTCTCATTTTCCCTATTCAGGATTATACTATTATCAAACATGTCAGAGAAAGTCATCAGTGCCTAGAACAAGGAGAAGATGAGCAGGTAGAGGAGATCGAATAATTTATTCCATTTACGCCCATGCTTTCCTTACACTGTGGTCGATTATTTATATAAAGAATAAGATACTTGTATAAATGATTCCAATTGCAACAATTATCATAACGAGCATCTAGTGGTATTTATATCTACCCTCTTTCCTTGATCATACTATCGCATGAGCACTGTTGCCATTTTTCAAGCCCAAGAGAATGGAAATGATCGCTACCTATTTGAATTGAATTACACTCAGTCAATTGTCTTCTTGATCATATTATTGCATGGGCATGCTTGTGATATCAAACTGAAGAAACTAGAAAATAATAACAATCCTATTCCTCATTCAATTGTAGTCAGTCTACTCTCTCCTTGATCTTAGTTTCACATAGACGCTGTTGTATTCTACAATGAAAGAGAATAGAAATTGTCACTTTTTCTTCCTAACGAAGTTAATCTCTTCTCATGTTCTTTCTATTGATAAATCATTGTATTCTAATGATAGTTAGCTGATGATATTGAATATCTACTGGATGGATTGAATCCATCGTATCCTAAAAATCTCCGTTGCTCGAGGTAAAATACAATTCTCTCTTGCATTAATAATCTGAATCTGCATTTATCGAATATCTAAAACATTGCATTGTTCTTTTAGTATTACAGCACTAGCCAAGAGATGCACAGAGTCTCCTTTTCGTATGTATATTAGAGCACACGAAATTATACCCAAGATACTAGATCTATTGGTCGATAGTCCAAGTGATTACGTAAGAGCTATCATTTGAAGAATAATAGATACACATGCATTGATTAACCGTTACATCGATGTAAACGTTGATTCCTGTCTCTACTTTGTATTACCAATTTAGCAATTAGCAACGTATACAGCAGCCTTATTTTTCGTCTTAAGTGAAGATCGTCTTATTATGGACCTTACTGATGATCTACTTGGTATGTTAAACAGCATGATGATCGTTCACCAGAAATTCGTTAAATATCTTACGTTGTTATTTTGCCTTTATAGATGTATTACTAAAGTTACTACAGTGTCCAAATCAGGACCATAATGATACTAACGACGCTATCTTGAAAAGTTCTTTGCAAAATATTAGGTAAAAGATTTTTGAAAAATTTTTACTTTTTGCTGCTTTTATTGGACGTAATAAAGTCATTTCTTGTTCTCCTAGTGATATTTGTTTACAAACTAGTTTGTCATGCAAAGATTACTTAAAAGCACATGTTGACTCCTTAAACGTAAGCACATACGTATTGTTCACAGTTTTTTTTCATTATTAAATGCTTCTCTTTGATAATGTTATATAATACTTTAACCTTAATTCTACCTTCATATTGTAGGGGAAAGCCTTGGCTCTGGCATGTATCTTCAATTTGGTATGCAGTCGGAATGCTGTTTGGCTAAAGGATAAAGTCAGAAGTATTGGAATATTAGATGTTATATGTGATCTCGGTATGTACGGTAAATTACCTTTAATGTTTATCATAGAATCGCACAAGTTAATATATAGTTATTAATCTTCTGTCCGTTATAGTTATCGATCACAAATATAATCTTGAAATGAATCCCAAAGCAAATAGAATTATTGTTTTACGAGAAGTAGAATTATGCTGTCGTATACTGGAGACGGTTTGTATACAGTATATGCTTGATTTGATCCAATTTTAATTTATATAAGGCTAGACGTACGCCCAGTACTGATGTCTATAACCTGTTTTAGGTGACATTTTTAAACAAAGAGAATCAAGATTATGTTATCGGATGGAAGGGTTACACGTTAGTGGGAAATGTATCAAGGTATAAAGTCTACATTACTTAAAATGTTACAAATTTGTTTAGTGATTGTATGAAAAGGAATAGAAATGAAATTAGCTCTTAAAGCATAGGAATGTCCATCTTATTAAGTAACATTAATTTTAATGTTACATAAATAACGGAAATGTATAGATCGATTGCACATACTATAAACGGTAAAACTTCTTTACAATCATTTCTAAATTTGAAATTTAATAGTAATATCACTTTTTACAATAGGATATTTTCCTTGTGTGTTGAGAAGATAATGTCACAAGATAAGAATACTGCAATTAATGAAGATTCAGCCTGCTTATTAGCGTCCGTACGCTTACTTCTCAACATAACTCACGAGAATGGTTAGGATTTTGCACTATAGTATACAAATTACATCATTACTCACCGCAAATAAAGTGACTTTAATTTATTTATTAATCGGATCTAATTACCATGTTATTGTGTCTCATTATAGAAATCGGGTGTAAGCAAGTAGGTCGTGATAAATCAACAATAAAAGCAGCTATGGAATGTATTGATGAGGTAATGGAGCTATTTTAAAAAAATAAATGCTTCAGAATCTAAACTCTATCAACCTTTAGAGTACAACTAAGTTATTTCTGCTTATTCATTTCATGCTCAATTGTACAGATCCATGAAAAAGTTGACGATGTTCGCCGCTTTGATCTAGTCATTTTGGTAATAAATTTATACGTCTACATGTTCATATCTCTAATGTATTTAATGGCGATAAACAAAATCTAATCAATTGATAAAAAAATTTTTTGTTATATCAGGCTCTAGGGTTACTTATTAATTTAGTTGAATCCAACAAAGAAAGCAGAGCTGCAGCTTTAAGGCTAAAGGTAAAGGACCGAGGCTTGATACAAATTGTTATTGAATTATTCTTACATCGGGAAAAAACTGCGGAAGAAACCTCTGAAAAAATTACTTCCACGATCGATGACAGCGAGAATAAAACCGACGGTATGATTGCGATACAATGATAAATCGTAAATCTAATAAGCATATACGAGTACAGTACTGTAGATTGATAATGGGATATTACTTGGTTCTTTTCAGATCTAGACGTTAGTTTGAATTCAGAAATTCAAGGTAAATACCATTACAGCTGCATACATAAAATTATGCTTGCAAATTAATATTGGTGAAGATTTGATACGTATAGTTACTCACACGAATAATTATTACGTCAGTTTTACACGCTCAAGCGGGATCACATTTCGAGAATAGCGTAGTTGCATCATATGCAGCACTCCTTACTGGTTTACTAATCATGGATGACAACGTAAGTCTTTGTTGCTAGTTGTTAAATATTTGTTGGCGCTTTTATAAAAATTTCATTTTCGTTGCTATGCATTGATGCAACTGGATTACATTAATTGCTAACAGTTATTATTCTTGTTGTATGGGCAATTTTACACCAATTGCTATTAAGATCATGAGATTAGCAGTAGGCTTTACACTACTGTCGGTTAATACGAGTTGTAGCTGTAAAGAATTATTCGATAACACATGAACTGCCAATAGACCATCATCTAACCTTCTTTCTTAATCAAATTGTGTACAACTTGTAGAATGCTATTATGGAAGCCAGACATTACCTTCCAAACCGTAAATATGACAAATTGATTGCTATGTTGGAAAAATTCTTATCCTTCCTAAAATTAGTGGTAGGCTCGATTTCTTTCTATTCTTCTCCTTAGTTGATAAGCAACTTCTGTGATCGTAGACGTATAGATGATTAATTGTCACCTTGCTGTTTTTACACATTCCAGAATGCTTCATATCTTAATAGTATGAAATCAATAGAGAGCATTGTCTCCACCCTCAGAGAAATAAACGCTTCTTGCTAGCATAACCATAAGCGACGACAACGGCGAGTTTCAATGACTGTCAGCAAATGGACTTTTACTGGCTGATTAGCCAACTACAGCATCCGTTAATATTTCACTGCTGATATTCTTCCTTTTTATTTTATGAATCATAATAAAATCAAAGAACTAAATTTGTATCATATCTACTTTACTTTTTGCCAAGTGCTAATATTTAGAAATGTGTCATTAATACTGTATGAACTAATATAATATAAACTGTAAAATATCTCTCGGTTTTATTAACGTTATACTGGGTATACCGTAATACCTAGTATATAGCTTTATAAATAATGCCCATTTAGCAAGGACTGGCTGCGGTCCGAACTACAATAGTAGTGCTTACTAAAAATGATCATTTCAATTGTGCATTGAAGCGTGTCTGCGCTTTATCCACGTTTAATTTTTTTTGTCTATGTGGTATTACTAATCTCTGTTTTCTGTAATGCCAGCCTTTAATCTGTTCAAAAGTTATTGCAGTTCATATGACTACTATAATGTTCACATTATCTAACAAAGCGCTACTTTTAATTGAAAATTTCTCATGAGCGACAATCTATATTTCGTTATTCAAGCTGCGTTGCTACGACGGCATTCGAAAGAAGAAACAATTGAATGTCATTCAAAAAATAAATATCTATTGTGTCTTAAAAGGTATGCTAACTGGTACACTGTCTACGACATACAGTACGTTGTCGCTTCGTCAAACAAGCATTTATGACAAACAGTATACAGATAAACTTCGAATGCTTTCCCTTTTATTTCCATTTGCAGTAATTAAATTTACAGTAAATGTCTTAACCGTTGTACGAGGTACCAGATTTTGACACTTGCCAGACTCTGATCAAATTATCGCTATACCCGGCAAACAACGTATGTCCATCTGCAGACCAAGCTAAAGATAAACAGCTAGCGGGTACTGATTTTCCATTTACACCAATAACTTCTTGACGCAATTCATCTACAAGACTCTTTTGCTCCAAATCCTATATAATGACAATGTTTTTAATGAAATGCAATAATTATAAACAATTTACAAGATATTAAACTACAGTAGCGTTAATCCAAAGTATAGATGACTACTTAAGTACTTCGCAATTTATAGCGATATAAAGCAATAACTAACCCATATTTTGATGCTTGAACCGACAGCAGCACACAACCAGTATCGAGTTGGACTGAAGCACATTGCATTAATAATATCACCACCTTCTAAAGTATACAAATGTCTATCCTCGTTGAGGTCCCAAAGCATTGCTTTACCATCCTATACATGAAATATATTCAAAGTCAAAAAAATTTTTTAGTTCTATTGCATACCGGGTTACTGTTAACATTTTAAGGAAGTAACACAGTAACAAGCAGAATTAATGCTACAAAGTTGAATATTTTACGAGTATTGCTTACTTTACCACCAGAAGCGCATAGAGAGCCGTCAGGTGAGACACTGACAGTGTTCAGGTAACCAGTGTGACCTTCTCGGTTACCCTTCAATTTGCAATTGGTTAAATTCCAGACCTTAACCAAGGAGTCCCAACCACAAGAAACTATTAGAGGGTCGCTCTGATTAGGTGAGAAACGAACGCAAGACACCCAATCATTGTGACAGTCCTCAACCATCGTAAATTTGCAATCAGCCAAAGTATTCCATAATTTGATAGTTTTATCACGAGAACCAGAAACGATCTGGCGATTATCAGCTGAGAAAGCAACGCTCATGACATCCTTAGTATGTCCTTCGAAGCGTCGAGTAGTTCGACCACTAGATAAAACCAAGTAAGGAATGCCTTTATGAGTATATGAAATAAATCCCAAGTAGCAATGCAACATTATAATGTATATAAAAATGTCAGGTATGATACAGCAAAGTAAAGGTAGGCTATAATGTTCATTACGTCGTGTTCGATATCATTGATTAGTCATATTTTATGACATGTATTATCATCGAAATGCATGCAACCAGTTTCACATACTGGACGATAGATACATAGCACAGAATGGGGTGTGTCATTGCAAAATTTTTGCAAATATCAAAATTTAGCAGGTGGTTGCAGTAGATGAGAATATTCACTAGCGTACATACTGACTGACATGAAAAGAAGGATTAATTCTATCTGGCTTACGTATTTAAATCCCACAAACGGAGATTACTATCCCAAGAGCTAGTGAGAGCAAATTGACCGTCAGATGACAGAACAAGGTCAGAAATGAAATGATGATGACCATGTAAGGATTTATCGGGCACACCAAAATTATTCTCTTCTCGGGTTAGCTTCCACTTGATGATTGACTTATCTATACGTGTAAGGAAAAGTAGTAGATAAGACAAAGATGATCATCGATATCCGTTAGCCTTCGTTTCTAGCATATTGCAATAGCTACAAAATTGCAATCACTCTATGCTCAAACAGAGTTTAGAAATATTTTAAACAAGATAAATTGAACTCTTCAAAAGCAATGATAAAATACATAGATAAATGAAAACATCACTATGAAGTTTTTATTTAAGTTAAACACAGTCACTACAACTTTATAGCATATATAATATACTGTAGGTATAACTTTTTGCTTACACTACAATCGCTTACCTCTAGAGGCCGATAAGATCATATCGGGATATTGTGGAGTTGTTGCAATTTGAGTTACCCAGCCATTATGGCCTTTCAAGGTACCACGCAAAGAAATCACCTCAGAAGCCATTATATGCTCAACTGTATCCAAATTCAAGGCCTGCTAGTGAAACGTAATATTTGCAATATATTCATTTTCCAAATCATTTCATCCATCGATGTTAATAGGTAGTTCAATTCAGTTAACGTGCTAATTATATAATCTATCCTAAGTGTATTACTTTGATAAGGGTGATGATCATTTATCATGAGACTTATTGAGATGATGGTTATAAGAGTTACTATCCTATCATGGTGTCTACTCTAGCTATCAACCTAAAAACTGCAAATCTACTGATCATCATAGCATGACGACTATCGTCGTCGACTGATGAGCAATAATGACATTGTGATATTACAAATGTTTGCGGACGATCAAGAGAAAGCATCATGTGGCCACGATGTTGATGGTTTCAGTTTTAAAACAAGTCGATCATGGATCATCAGTCAATAAACTATGAAAAATGGAATCGTAGTCCAGTGTGCTATCCCAACCAGTTATCGCGATCGCTTTCATCTAGGCCAAGGATTGACTAACGGAGGATCAAGTTGACTACAGTTATGAACAAATTCAATCACTCCTTCTGCGATGCAATGCAACTGTGTGCCATGTGTAGAAAAAAAGCAATACCGATTGTTTTTTTTCCTACTCTTTAACGATCGTAGCCTTCAATAAGTCTATTACTAAGCATGCAAAGAGGAAAGGATAGTCTAGCCATGATCCTTTCAGGGCAAGTGAAAAAAAAAAACTGGCCGTCCTTGCTACTTGTTCAGTAACCACTGCAGTCATAACTACTTGTAGTACATTATAGTTGATTTGGCCTGCTTACTTAGGCACCAATCATGGTGTAACAATGGTAAGCGCAACGTGTAAAATAAAATGTCCTCCTACATTGCAATTTTAGCATCCATCCAATCAAAAACGATAACAACATCAAGTCTACTTGCTATTTTCAACAAGGAATCACTTTTACAACACATTAAAGTAGAGATGATAGAAGATTGAACAACGATTATCTCAGCATTTACCTTATTGCCTTAAAGCCGATGTGGTGAAAAAGAGAAGACCAAGCTAGCCGCTACACCTTGTATCGTCAGTGTTGGTCGGTAAAAAAATTTCCACTGCGCAAGTGCAGCCTTCCGTTGATTTTCCGACTCTTCATAGCGCATGCTTCCTGGATGTGCTGGTACAGTACTGTACAGTACAGTAGACGACGATAGTATGTACTGTAGACTTTAGTACTGTACTCATCGACTGCCTTGCGCGTGCGTAGCGCACAGTACTGTACTGTACACTGTACAGTACTCACTCATCGTAGGCTAAAGCATAGTGTACAGTACTGTACAGTACAGTACAGTACTGTAGACGACGATAGTATGTACTGTAGACTTTAGTACTGTACTCATCGACTCCCTTGCGCGTGCGTAGAGCACAGTACTATACTGTACAATACAGTACTGTACTCACTCATCGTAGGCTAAAGCATACTGTACTGTACAGTACAGTACTGTAGAGTAGAGGTAAAAAAAAAACATGTAAAAGGTAGAAAAGAAGTTTTTACCTCTATCACAATATTGATGATGCTTTCTGAAATGGAAAGTAGTTGAGAAGCGTGCGAGCTATAGACTTCTAGATGCACTGTACAGTAAGGCATTCTAGCATTCCTTAGTGATATTATGGACACATCGCTGAAACGGCTTACAGTATACTGGACACTGTATATTTAGTAAATGGGCTAGTCGATGACTGTATCCCGCATCGATGGTCGTGATTCTTCACGTAGTAGTAAATGCTCAATACTGTATGGACGTAGACTACAGTCAGGCATTACTAAATATTTTTGGTCAGGGACTCCTAAGCCAAAGATTCTGAGTAGTCCCTGGTACAGCCATAATACTGTACTATTAAGTCACTGAGTAGGGAGTACGCTATAAGTCATGACTAATACAGCGGAAAAGTAGGAAGTGGCCGTTCGTGATTCAATGATCACACAACGGACACATGTTGAAAATAAAAAATAACTGCAGTACTTGCCAACGAATATGGACTACGAAATATTTAGAGTATGGAGTAGTCCACGGCGATAACGTCAATTTTACTACTTTTACAAACTATCAATGACGTTAAAAACTTCATTATAGCAATCTAATGAAAGTTTGATGACGAGTTCAATGGCTACAGGTGCCATTGCTCAAACCATGAACAAGCTTAGTCGCGGACTCCGCAGTACGGTATTAGCACAGCTAAGGTGTTCAAGCATCGCTGTCACTATGGCAACAGATCAGCCGTGGATCGTTTACAATATCATAATATGAGAAAGCTAATATACAACATCAGTACACAACAAAACTAGCACAGAAACATGGCAATGGTAAGTGTTGTTTTAGATACTATATGGGTATTGTAGACTATGTGTAGAAGTATCAAGCTACAAATCAGCAGATAAAATTGATACACTTGCGACATATTAAGTTAAAGTAATGAGTATCGATCGACGCGTAGTTTACCCATTGCAATCATAAACAGTAACTAATAAAATTAATAATATCTACTACGTACTGGACAATAAGGATCTTGGCACGGGCAGTATATGACTGTAAATTACAATCTAGATCTATACACTAGACTACACGATAGTGTCGCATAAAACTCACAGTTAGACATACCCATTTAGACGAGGACACTCTAGGCCACAATAAATTTGCGAATAAACATTAAGTTATTGCCGACAGAAGTGAGTATTATTTACTAACCTTCTACTTTTTTTCTATAAACTTATTGATAAATCTTTATATAACATAGTGATCTTTAATCATTCGATTAATGCCTACAAATAGAATTATTTTGGGGGGGGATTTGAAACTGTAACCGTTTGATTACTTGAGGGTAAAGACGATTGGTACCTACTATCAAAGTATCTCTTTTAATCGCCATTCGGCACCTTGAGAACCTGTAGTTCGATTCTTTAACTGCTAGTCGTAGTCGATTATTATCATCTAATAATTCTTCTAAAACCCGGATAAATTAATCGATTGCTATTCAAGAAACATTAAAAATAAATCTTTGATAGGCGATGCCCAGTTCAAAATAAAGTAAAATTTGCTTGAATACAATAGATAGCTTTTATATGAGTATTTGTTAACTTTAAGAGAAGGGCTTATACTTTTGCTATTCTTTCCAGGCATTATTCCTCAAATATGGTAACAGTATTGATCCGATATGGTCCATACTCATCTTTTGATGGCGTAAAATATCGAATACAAAGGCTGCAAGGATTAACCAGTAAATAATATTATACCAAATATTGTCATAGACTTTAATATTTATTTTGGTACAAATTATTACGGTACTATATGACGGTAATCGATACCTTTGCACTTATTATAGTATTTATGCACGTAATAAATTCAAAATGCTTCTATAAATTAAGCCAGATATTGCAATAATATCGTTGAAATAATCTATTAATTCAAAAAGTCTCTATGTTTAATGTATGCTCGAACATTCCTCCAATATTCAAATAAAGTTTCATCCGTTTAAAATACTCTACTACACTAATGCAGAAAGCATGCTAGAAGTATTGTTAACGTTATTATGCAATACCATTACAACGATAATTTTGTTACGAATGATCATATATCGTGAGACATTGATCAAATACTGTAGAGCGTACTACTACACAACTACAGTATTAAGATGCCCCTTGACTTGCTACTAGGATAGAAAATAAATATTACCGAATAACTATTTTAATGTTCTACAGGACATCAGCGTGCTAGAAACAATATTATACTCTTGCACATGGCTAGATTAACATATTCTTTGTCTAAAACTGTTATATAAAATATAATATATATATTACATTGGTATCAATATTTCTATTCTATAACCAGACGTATTAAAAACTGCTGGACATACAATTGTCTATGAAGAAATAGCAGACTGGAACGAAGTACAATTAATAGTTCATGGTGAATTAATCTATCGATGCGAAATTCAAGAGTTACAATATGGTGAGTGTAAATTCTGCATATGCATATTAATTTCCACATTAAGATTTAAAAGAGCTTACCAATTATACCCAATATCTTGCTTGCCAACTATAAAACAATAATGCCACTTTACTAAATTTATCAAATGCTTTTACTATAATTATTATCACTGCAGGTGGAGATGGTCTACTGGACAGGAAATGTAAGGATGCATTAACCGCAGTTACTGCTGCTTACTAGAAATAGAAGCAATGCATATTTGGTAACAACTAACAATTTATGATTACTAATCTATTGAAAAGATAACAATTTAAATCTTTTGTTATACTATAGATTTAGCCTTAATGTAAATAATGCAATCTATTTAATTCGTTGAATAGGTAGTAATACATCAGATGCGACGTATGTAAAATTGTAATTTTTAGTATAATTTCTTCAATATCAATAACACCGAATGTTAGTATCGCAAAAAGGCAGCAGCATCTTCATAGGAATATCAGATTGTGTCGTGTTTAATACGCTGGATTTTATTAATAACAGAATGCTTTATGATATGGTATTAGCAACGTTGTAACTGCATATCAACTGTAAGACAATTAATAATAATATAATGCCATTTGAGTAAAATATCAACTGCTGAGACTCAATAAAAATAAAATTTAATTTCTATGAATTATTTAAACCATCGGTAATTGACTTGGCTTCTTAAGTCACCAAATCAGAACATCAATAGCCTCGAGAGCTATTTCAGTAATACAGAGAAAGGTCTTCACTAACTATGAGCGTAAGCATAAATAATATATATCATCTACAAAGTATTACTAGAATACTAGACAGTAGTCCAATGATTTTACTAACTGGGCATACTGCCATGTTCGCTGTAATTATGTCAAAGTCAAAGCATAGTCACAATGACAGTCTTTCTATTGCCCAAATTAATCAACATCTAAGGCCTCTGCTAATAGTTCCGCCTGCTGAATATCATGATCTTTTTTAGTGCCTGCAGCTACAGAACCTGACGGTTTTCTTCCGACGTATCTGCAATATTAGTTAATTGAAGAGTTATTTCCTATTGTATCCAATACGGTTCATACTCATACGAACTTGGATCATAGCAATATTGACTAACCTTGGCAGTTTCAGGTGACCAGTGATATTATATACCCTTGGTTGAACGAAGGCCCAAGCACCCATGTTTTTAGGTTCTTCTTGGCACCATACAATATCTGCATTTGGAAACTTTTCAATCTCTTTTTGTACCATATCATAGGGAAATGGGAACAACTGTAAATAAATAGTAAATGTTATTTAGATTAAAGTCTAATCTACAGCATTGTTAGATAGAAGTGCAATCCAATTACAGTTCACCTGTTCAATTCTTGCTATAGCTATTTCTTTTTCTAAGCCCTTCGATTTACGAGTCTAAATATTTTCATTGCACAATCCAAAAAAATGATTATTTTATGTTTTTATTATAGTACTACGCAAAATTTAAAACCTTCATAAATACTTCTACAGTACTTACACTGTGCAAATCGTAATACATTTTTCCTGAGCATAAAATAACCCTCTTTACACTACTACAGTTACTATCTTCCGATGCTTCACCTGTTTCTGGTATAACACGTTGGAAACTCGTACCTATGTTAAAATGTTGAAGATATATCGTAGTTAAAAATGTATCATATTAACAGAAAGCATCAGAAGATTATTTACCAGGTCCCATTTCATCTAAGGAAGACACTGCAGCCGGAAGTCGTAGCAGACTTTTAGGCGTCATTATTACTAACTAAAGAGAATTGGAATGATTTAAAATTAGTTTAACTACAGCAGCCGTTCGCCTATCATTGGTGCGTCTACTTACTGGTTTTCGGAAGTTAAATGAAACCTGCCGTCTTAGAACATGAAAATAATTTGCAGGTGTGGAACAATTAACGACCTAGACAATATCGGTATCGATTATTAATATACTGACGGTTTACACTTACAATAAATTGAGGGCAGTAAACATTTTAAAATTAGAAATTTTAAATGTACACAATTAAAAACATGTTACAATATTTCTGTCGCTATGTCTATTTAATGGTGATATTTACCTGCATATTATGATCATGCAGTTGTTTGATTACGTCGCTTTCACTTGCTAATTCCTATTAAGTTTATGGGAAAGCGGAGAATGCAATTTAAAACCTAGCACATTGATATACTCAATTTACAACACTCAATTACTGGAATAACGTCCATATCGTCATTGCAAAGCTGCAGAAATCTCTCTAAGCGAGCACTGGAATGTTCTGGTCCCTAGTTTTAGTTAATAAAAAAGTATAAGATAATATGCAAACAAAACTTCAAATATTCTTTCAATAGCTCCAAAACCTACCATGCCTTCGTATCCGTGAGGCAATAATAAAACTATACCAGTTTGATAGCCCCACTTCTCTTGACCACTACAAATGAACTGGTCGATTATTGGCTGCAAAAAGATTTTACCATTGAATGTCAATTTTTTATTAACGGACTTTTTTAACAACATGGTAGTTAGAATACCTGAGCACAATTATGAAAATCTCCGAACTGTGCTTCCCAGCAAACCAACATGTTCGGCCTGGCAATGCTATATCCAGTCTCGAATCCTATTAATCGGATTGTGTTAGATCACTTCACAAATTGAAACTTTATATGAAAACATAACTCTTATATGTTTAAACGGTACTACGCTAGTATACAGATGAGCAATAATAAAATAATGTAGCCGAATAAATTTAATATGAAAATAAGCAAGATATCATATCATTAGTTACATACCTAATACTCCGTATTCGGATAATATGCTATTGCTAATGGTGTATCTCCCTTGGTCATCGAACAAATTGTCAAGAATGTTCCACTTAATTTTGCCATCAATGTCAGTATATGATTGATGATGTAGAATGTGGTGACGGTGACTAATGAAAACAAATTTAAGAATATCAGTAAATTTACGAACGGTTAACAATATTTGAACAATAAATCACAATTGACTAGCCATTCTAGAGTACCTGAATGTTCCTCTTTCTACATCTTGCCCACTGAGTCTAACATGAACATTCTCTTTTAGTAGAGATCCAAATGCCATTGCTTCTCCCATCGCCCAGTCAGCTTTACCATCGTCCAAAAGTTGTTTACGTTTCATTAAAACACCCTTCAATGCTAGTTAAAGAGAAAGGCATAAACTTGTCACATAATCGTATAATACATTACAACATAATAGCACCTTTGTAAGCACTGTACTTCTGTGGGTACTCACTGTTGTGAACAGTAATATGTTTCGGAACTGAACAAAACGCATCTCCGACGTGGTTCAAAACGTCTCTCCGAACACCAGTTTCCATAGTTTCGTTGTAATTACTCGATTTCAGGAAAGCTGCATTTTCAATCAAGATGCAAGACTTTAGTTAAAACATACTTTTGCTACATAAGATTTTAATTATCAGAAATAATTTTATCTCTTCGTTTGAATCTCACATTTCCAATCAGCAGATATCCAATCATGTACGTCATTACTGGTTTGATTTTCAGCAATCTCAGCCGCTTCCTTACATGCGTTGTTGAAACGCTTTGCTTCTTGCTATTAATTAAATAAAGTATTATTATTCATAACCTTAATACTAGACTACAATATTTCATGCACACATATAATAATATAACAAGTTTATATGTACATAAGATATTCAACAAAAATTACTTACTTTGTACTCTTCTCTAGTACATACTCCTTCCTTGACCAATTTGTTAACATAAAGTGATAGTACACCTGGTTTAGTTTTAATTGCACGATACATGGCTGGATGAGTAAATTCTGGATTATCCATTTCATTGTGACCATAACGCCTATAGCAAACCTAATTGCACGCAAGAACGAACACATTTTTAATATCATGAGTACAATTTAGCTAGAAAAGTGACATAAAGCAAGGATTTCAGAATAATTGAGCTCGATGGAATACTCACCAAATCAATGAATATATCTTTTTGAAAAGTATCTCTGTACTCAGCAGCTACTCGACTAGCATAGACCACGGCCTCAGGATCATCAGCATTAACGTGAAATATCGGAGCATTAACTACCTATTGCATCAGTTTGATATCAGTTAGTACCTGTTACAGATCTCCCGATCGAACTTACAATTTAGTACTAGTAATAGTGAAAGGATTTTACTACAATAAATTAGGTTCATACTTGATACCTTAGCAACATCTGTGCAATACGAAGATGATCGACCATTTCTTGGGTCAGTTGTAAAACCGATCTATAACATTTTAAGCAAATTGAAAATGTTACACCAGTAAGCTCTATACAGTGTTAATTAATATATATAAATAAACCGAGTAGTTGGGTATCAATCTATATTATGTATTCGAACGAAAAAGGATACCTGATTGTTCACAACAATGTGGACAGTACCACCAGTTGAATAATTATCTACGTTACTGAGCTGGACAGTTTCATATACAACACCTTGGCCAGCGAATGCTGCATCACCATGTACAAGAATACCCATGACCTTAGGATTTAAATTTAATACGAAAACTTATATTACTTTTATCGTATCGAGAGGTTACAACGTTCAAAAAAGTAAAAAAGGTATAAATAACAAATTTGGACGAATAATATTATTAAATCTATATAAGAGCACTACTACGCACGTTACCTTTTTTTCAGGATTATCTCCAGTATGGAAGAATTGTTCTGCATGAGTTCTGCCTTGTACGATTGGATTTACGGCTAATCATGAGTAAAAAAAAATTGGTTATACCGTTCGCATATCTTAAGTTAGCATGGAACTTGATAACTGTTGATGATGCTTAAATTACCTTCCAAATGAGATGGATTGGCAGCCATTGTAAAGGTAACATCCTTACCAGCTGCCTCATTATATGTATTGGTAAACATTCCTAGATGATATTTTACATCACCGGTACCCTAGGCAATAAATAAAGAATGTTAATTATTTGACAGCACTAATTTAAAATCGATGAACATTCATTCGTCGATATTTAGCGCAAACTGAACAGTAGAAATAAATCAATATAAAAATTGCCTAAAGTGTCACCTACAATGAATGACGGAAATCTACTTGAACAATTCATTGAATACCTGATCTTCTACGTTATGAAAGGATAGATTTTTCTTAAATCTACTAAAGATCTTTGCTAAAGGTTGTTTTGCAACGTTTGCAATGACGTTTAATCGTCCTCTGTAACATTAACCGAGACTTAGGTCACTTTTTATCGCAATTGCCATAATAACTATTTACTACAGTTAGTGTATCTTTCAGTTTCATTAATACAATCTAACAGCAATAGCTTTGTTACATCACATGTATTTAAGTATCTGATAACAAGCTAGCATTTCATTCGATTATAAATATTGAACAAACTTACCTATGAGACATCCCTACAATAAAATTATCAACACCTAGCTGGGCTGATCGATCAACAATTTCTTGCAAGGCAGGAGCTATTACCTATAGTTTTAATGCCGTATAAGCACAATAATTACGATATTCTTATCAATGACGTCGTTTAAGATATTGGGTCATACAAATCAACGATAGCGTAAAATCTAAGTCAACACCTCCAACAATTTATTTCTATCAAGTTAACAGCAGACTCCGATATTGTACAGTCTAACACTTTGATAATAATCTTAAATATAGTTGTAACAGTACCTCACAACCTTCCGAACCAAATCGTTTCTCCGTTGACCATTTTTGATTTAGGAAATTCTCAAACCTAATATACATAAAATTATGACAATTATTAAGTTCGTAAAAAAATTGCAAAGACATTGATTTGCTTTGCGCACAAAAATAATTTATAACTTAATTGGTATGATACCAACCCGACTGATTTTAATAATCTCCTGAGAACTTTAAGTTTATCTTCTTGTGATAAATCGGTAATTCCAGGTGTTTCAAATTTATCACGAATCCATTCGAAAGTTTTAGGATCGGTAATGTGCATATATTCAACGCCAATACTACCACAATAAATTCTCTATATTGTCATATAATTAATTATTTAACGTTCAATTCCAAGGTCAAATCAACATTAAGATAGTACTGACAAGCCAAACAGCAAAAAGGTTACCCTTAGACGATCATATATTTCCTGCAACTTGAGTGTTTTTACATCGCCACCTATCTGTGTCGTTTTCGGTAATGTAAAGTAGCGCTGCAGGTCTTCCTCACCTTCAAATAAGTCATGACAATAATTCATTAATTGTTGAGTAAATAGTTTCTACGTATTTCATTACTGTTACAGTACCATTAATTAAGCTATGTATGGTTATTAGGGTAACTTATTAAATTATTTTTAAGGCAAGCTAATTAAAAGTTGTTTTACAACTAGCAATAAATTAATAATTGTAGAAATTTCCTATAGACCAGGTATTCAATACATACTACTAATATAGGTAGGCAGCTTTAGCTCTAATGGAATAGATGGATCAAGATCGGCATTGTAAAGATTCAAAGGATCCAAGGCAGCAATATGATGGCCTAAATGCTAAGAGGGTAAAAGTACGCGTTAGAATGTCAGCTAGACCACTATCGAAATGGCCACTGGGCTAAAGTGTATTATAACTCTTACTCTTAAGGTTTTAAATTCAATTTGATGGTATAGTAGGCATTCTGACAGAAATATCTTTTACCCTAGCAATTTAGGTCTTACCTGATAGCAGCGGATTAAACTTTGAACTTTTAAATGGTCAGTAACGGTTTCGTTGACGCTTAACTGTTCAGCGGTTCCGGTTACAGTGCTATCGATTCCGTACGAGGATTCTGAGAAATATTTTCGCCATGACTAGAAACATGAATTAGAATATCCAGAAAATCAATTTTTTTTATAAAATACGCGTGCTAATTCAATAACATCCTATGTAGGTAGTATCGATAATTTTTATAGTTGAATCAAACAGTACTGGATCAACTGTCGTAGTTGATTGGAAAAGTTGCAATTTTAGGAGCTATTTTGAATATTTCCACGTATTACAGGTTAATGTCGAGTTGAAATATTGGAAAGATATCTTATTAAGACTAAAACCTCTTGGGGGCCATTTGAACTTTGTATCTGACTTTCTCTGTAGCATTATAGAAGGAAATTGTGCTATACTGTAGCATTAAGTTGTCGAGATGACGCAATCATTACTGATCTAATCTTTCATTGCGACCTTGATAGCAAATTTAGTCTGGTAAACAAGTTCTAGGTCTAAAAATGAACTATATTAGAATCCGTTAAAGCAGCGTAAGTTGTATTTTTTCAACGATTACAGTGTGATACGTTGAAATAATGGCAGGCTTCATTACAAATATTGTGATGGGCGCATTGTACAGCTAAAGCGAGCTTGTGCCGGCCATCTATAATCTATCCTTAGGACATGAAAAAGCTGAAATGCTGCAGTTGCAATCCAGCTCTATTGTATGGAATTTCTGTCATGGCAGCGTCTGCGATATGGGTCTTCTCGTAAATTTTAATAATAAATGACTGTGCGGTATATGGATAATTGTAGCCTACTCTAAATCATGATGAGTAATTGACAATAAAGCATCTAGGAAGAAGGATTATGATTGTGTGGTATATGGATAATTATAGTCTAGTCCAAATCATGATGAGTAATTGACAATACAGCATCTAGGAAGAAAAGATTGTGATTGTGTCTGGGCCGAACAAATCCATTATTGCGTTGAAGGACTGAAAATCGTAATAGCGTATTGCTAATCTATGACGACAACTGCAGTTTTAGTGATCAATCCATACTATATATAGCATTGATCGCAAAATAGAAGAGGTGTATTAGGATAATCAACCCTTCATTATAATGTATCTGTTTTGAATGGCATTATCGTAGGAAATGAAGTACTCTACGGCATGTTAGCACATTGTATTGACTCACCGGATCAACCGATTCTTCGTCAGCCCTCCATTGATCGTACAAGCTATCGATAAATACGGCGTTGCTGCCATTTAAGAATGAATCTTTAGCAAGAGGAGACGATAGGGATTTTGCACCAGGTGGAGGTATAGTACTTTTCAATCTGCCATTAAGGCTGGCAACCGAGAGTAGACGGAGCCGATTCAGAACTTGACTGGCACGATACATAATATTCGACAGTGTATCGTTGATCAATGAAACTCAATCAATTACTAAACAAACACTATCCCCAGACAGGAAATTCGAATTCTTGACAAGCTGAAAGTATTTCATCAATAGTTAATACAACACATGGTTAGTCCCAAAAAAAATAATTCAGTATTAATGTAGAAGAATCTACCGATTGCTTATGCCTACTAGAATGTAAAAATAATCCAACTAGACATGTTGACTAATCAATCACTTGTTGGTATGGAAGTGTATCATCGTTCAAAAGGGAACGCCACGCGTCGGCCGACAGCATTCAAGCGTACTAAACTATCGATTTTATACTAGTAAGTGATATCGAGACAAGCTTGTCAACTTACTGCAAGGTAATAGAATGATATTAAGCAATAAAGAGCATCAATTTGCGTTTCAAAATTGATTTTCAATTTGGACAGCTGCAGTAAACGGTGGCCATAAGCGAAGAGCAATTGCCAAGTAAGATGTGTGTGTCGCGGATAGGGGATGTGTTTCATCCTAGCGATGCGTAACGTACTGTGCACTGTACACTGTACACTGTACAGTAGGAGAACGTGGATGGACGGTACTGCCGCCGGATGCTACCCATACTGGACACATACTGTCCAGTGTACACGAGTGCACAGTAAGAATTTTTAGTCATGATTGCGACACTGATTGGGCATGCACGATCCGGTACTTGATCGTGGGACCCATATGCTAGCAGAATCAATGTCACCCGCGGCTAACGATTTTGAGTCTAGATATCTGAAAGCGTCTACTGTCATGGACTACTGTGGCGAAAGCCTTCGTTTTCTTCTAGTAGTCTATGCCACTACAAACTGTACAGTGTACTATGTCTAGTCCAACCCTGCTAGGCCTAGGCTAGACTAAGCTGAGCTACAGCTTGCAGAAGTCTTGTCTGTATCCAATTGTCGTGTTCTGTATTAACCCTTACTGTAGTAAAGGTCCATTCAGAAAGTCCAGTACATGCCATCACCACCTCAGACAGACGGACTATTCTTACCAAATGAGGTCGTCAATATTTGAAGAATGCTTACTTAGTATGGATCTTCCGTATCTACAGTATTTTCGAAATCACTATTACTCATTTCATTAACATCGACGATCTTATACAACTGTTTCCAAGCAGAACTTAGTCATAAATAACAAGATTCAACGTAATACAGTATTACTTTATTCAGAAAAATCAGTCCACTGAAAATCGATCGTCTCCCTCCTAAAAGTACAGTACTATCATAACCAGGTGCTTGGTCCATAATGTCTGTCCGTCCAAGAGTAAAACACTGAGTACAGTACTGGTACTGTCAAGGACTACCACCGAACCTGAACAGTACAGTACCGTACAGTGTACAGTATAGTGTCGGTGTCATTTGACTGAATGTGTTTATTTTCGTTTCCAACTTTTGGATGGCAAAGTCCATAGTAATGATTACTATGTGTTTCGACTGTTCTTGCATGGATAGTCGCTACATAATGGAATAAAGTATAGTAATTTTATGTTGGCTTCAGTCCTATGTTTTACCTTATTCTGAATCTGAAAAAGAAACTAAACAAATCGTCCAGTCCAGTACCATACTGTAGAGTTTTTTTCTCAACTCTGTGGTTTTTACCGGTCAGCAGTCACTGTGCAGTACTGTACACTGTACAGTACAATGCAAAGAGTGGGACTGTACACTGTACATAGGAAGACCGGTCAAGACCTCTGTACTGTGTTAAGACGGCAACACACATACTCGCTGGCCTTATGGTTCTTACACACGATTGCATACCGTTGTATAAATAGTACTTTTAAAATTGGGGATTTTTAGTCCTGTCAGCCTTCAATCAAAACCTCCAGAGGAAGACGGCAAGGCAGCCAGCCAGAACTACAGTACTACGCCACAGTACAATCTCATATACTGTACACTGTACACTGTAGCGTATTGTACCAATGTGATACTGGTGCAGTGCCGTCGTTGGTTACAATCTCAAGTCGACGAAGCAATACCCAGTCAGTGTTGGATCCTACCCGTACTCAACACTGTACAGTATGGCTGTAGCCTACTGATTGAGTAGGTAGAGTGTGAGAAATCCCCGCATTGGACATTCATTCCATCTCCTTTCTCCTACAGTACTGTACACTGTACAGTGATACTGTTGATACTGTGGATACTAGTGGAAATTGACTGGCGGCTATCAACATTCAAAGGTGAAAATGGCCACCAACAACTTGTCCAACATTTCCAGCGATATTCGAGAGCTATCAGAAAGTGGCAATTTCGGCGCTCTGAAAGAGAAATTACAAATTGCTAAGCCAACTTTAACAGAAGACCACTTCAACTTGGATGCTCTCCTTGCAGACTTGGACGTTTCACGCCACAGTTATGGATACTTTTACCTTTTGTACGTATAGATATAGACAACTCGCAACTTTACAGTACACTGTCATAGCGGTGCCTTGAGCTATTCTATCCAACATGTTCGCGTTGACTAGTAGAAAGGAAAAGGATGATACTGAAGCCATTCAATATTGGAAATTTTCCTTTCTACTCAGCTTCTATTTTCCCCTGCTATACACCATTTCGCCCATGATAGAGTCGTAACCACCTTGCCAATAGACTGCAGATTGGAATGTAAAAAAATAAATATCAATAAACACCCTCGAGTGGATTGAAACAGCTACATGGAAAGGAAAAGGATGCTGAAGCCATTCAATATTGAAAATTTTCCCTTTCTACTCAGCTTCTATTCTCCCTGCTATACACCATTTCGCCTATCATAGAGTCGTAACCACCTTGCCAATAGACTGCAGATTGGATTGTTAAAAAATAAATATCAATGAACAACCTCTAGTGGATCGAAAGAGCTGCATAGAAAGTAAAAGGATGATGCTGAAGCCATTCAATATAGAAAATTTTCCCTGCTATGCACAATTTCGCCCCATCATAGAGCCGTAAGCACCTTGCCAATGGACTGCAAATTGCATTGTAAAAAATGGAAATTAACAAGCTCTAGTGGATTGAAAGAGCAGCATGGAACGGATGACCATGATGACTAATAACGCCATTATCGACTCTATTGCGATATTCTACTGTACTGGATGGATATACTAAAACATGACGATCCCGAAGGACTCGTATGAGACGTAGCCAATCCATCCTCACCCTTGATGATAGCATAATTACAGTATTAAACAACTTCAGAATATCACTGGAGGCTAATTAATCGTCTATTTGTTGTACCTTCAAAACCACAACGGCTATCTTCTCTGTACAAGATTGACTTATCCTTCATCAGTCAGATAATCTACTGCTTATGTTGTGTCTATTTTTGTCTTGAAACAGTAATATCATCCTTGATAAGATTGGAAAAGCATCCTTAATTTAATTCAATACCTATACAGTACTTGCAATAGTATCTCCATTTTAAATGATAGCAATAATATTGATTGCCTAGTACATGCTAGCTTCATTTGATGGATATTATCAAACTACAAGATACTGATTACACATGTGTTACAGGCATATCAAATTAATGAAAAATACTGCCTCCATGAATTGGGACTCTTTATTTGTTCAAGGGAAGAATTTCTTAACGCACTGTTGTAAAGAACAACTTCCTTATTGTGACATATTGCTAGGTAATTAGAGTAATATTGACATTTTTATTCAAACTGTTATAAACCTCTTGAAGACGATCTTTCCCTCTCTCGATATATAGAAAGATGTAATTGTATAGTGTACGAAATAATGATCAATATTTAGTCGTATCTCTTTCACTTTGAATGATATGTGTGTATATCTTATTATAATAAGATTAAATAATGATTACACGCTAGCTGCTACGTAATATGTATTACTCTTAAAATGGACTTTTTATTTACCTTGCCTGTATTTGTTGAATAGTTACTCAATTTATAGGACGAATGGTGGATAAGCTGATCGAAAGGGGACAAGTATGTTACAGTTATTGATCATGAACCTTAGCATTGGAGACTGCTATTAATCAGCCAGTTTTATAATAGTCGCCTATCTTGTTATATCGATCTATATAGGCCATTCGAGGTATTTTACCCTTAATAGCATTCATTCGCAAAATACAGAATTCCCCTGATGAACTGACACCAATTCATTGTAATCTAGCAAAGGTAACTGAAGCCGAGCTTCTCATTATAATTAACAGCGTAAAGCTTCACGTAAGATTTTATCAAATTAAATTACAACGATGCGACGACAAAAATGACATTAAATTAAATCACCGATGCCAATTTTATTCATCTTGCAGTTGTGCCTTGCGGCGAAGTGTTTAAAGCCTGTTGTGCCATTTCTAGACGTTGATATTACAAGTTTGCTGTCCAGCTTGGTAAAGTTGAACATTCCTTGAATCTTAAATTTCCTGTCGAACAAACGTATCAACGTCTAATAATTAATTCTGTTGTCCTATCTTAGGACCCTTTTGTAGATACAGAACGATTTTTACTGTACTTTTATTACGGGGGCATGGTATATGCGGCTATCAAAAAGTGGGAACTCGCCCTATTCTATTTTGAAGTGGTTAGTACTAATGGAAAATGTCATTTAATTAGTCAACATTAAGTTATTTGTCAAACTTTATCAACTTTTACTCGAACAAATAGGTAACTACCACCCCTTGTCATGTATTAAGCCGTATCATGATTGAAGCGTATAAAAAATATATTTTAATAAGTTTGCTCGTCCGTGGAAAGTATGTGCCATTGCCTTCTTATACTTCACATTTAGTTAACAATAATTTTAAGGTAGGAGTCATGGTTGTTATGAGAAGATCACCATTTCGGTTACTGATAATTTTTGAATTGGCTTACTGAGATCTGCTACGGTATATGTGCTATCTTAGGCAATGTTTAAATCTTACCATGATTTTGCCAATGCATATGCAAAGAACGATGCACCAAAGGTGTTAGAGTCGCTCAATAAAAACAGAGAAACCATGATAGAGGTAAGTTTAATCGAAAACACTGGCAATGAGGGTTAATTCTTATTCAAACACTTTGATACCAGTTGCAGTATTATAGCCATTAATTATTTCTCATTAGGATTCCAATTATGGTCTTGCAAAGCAATGTATTCAATCTTTGACTAGAAGAAATATTTTACGACTAACAAAGGTAGCTGTAGCCTGTTTAAAAATGCAGGTTTCAATCGAATGCTATCTGATATACAGTATTCATTTTCTAATAGACATTCCTGACCTTATCTCCGGCGGATATGGCCGATCGGGTTCATTTGGTAAACGCAAATGAGGCTGAACTTCGTCTACTACGAATGGTAAATTGCTAAATTTTTATGTTTTATTTGTGCTGGTTAATAACTACATCATAAACTCATTTTCATAGATAGAGGAAAAAGATATTTTTGCGACGATTAATCAGCAAGATGGTATGATCTCCTTCCATGATACTCCTCAAGACTTGGGAACAAGTGTATCAATGTTGAAAGATTTAGAAGACAATATGGCAAAATGTATCAATCTTGATGAAAGAATGCAGCTTATGAATCATTCTTTAGCTGTCGATAAATCATTTATTCGAAAGGTAAGAGCATATATGTCTACATGTACAGCATGTTTTAGAATGGCTATTGCCCTATTATCACATTTTCATGGAAATTTGATGTGCAAACGTAAAAATTTTCTAGACAATGAGGAATCACTCTGGAGGCCTTGAAGAAACGAGTTTTACCGACGGACACTTTAATTAAAATCAAATTCTTATACACTAGTTTTATATCTTAGTAGCGTTACAACTTTGCCTTTCAGGTAGTTGTAGTGAATAACAATTGGTCATTGTACTAACTCTCACTTAATTAAGTAGTAAGACGAGGTGCTTGTAAATAATTAAATTCATCTACTGTATTTATAGGGATTGCATATTACATACGTACAGTAACTTAATTGAAATTGTCTATTGCTACAGATTATTTTAACATAGCGTACATTCTAATTTGTGTTGGCTGTCATAGTTACTGCTACTACTGTGAAATCTTCCTGTAAGATAAGTTCTTTTTTCTGAAAACAAACCAACAGTTAATCCGAACAATAAAAGAATACATAAATTATCAGTAACGTGCGCCAGTGTTATGTACAATCTTGAATGTCTCATTTTAAAATCTGGCCATGAAATTTGCAATCTTTAGCTAGAATCCAATATCATTCGTAGATGCTGGTAAGCCCGTATTGTAATGTTGAGAGCGGGATGAATTTCTAATAGATCAAAATTGCGCGCTAAGGATAATCCACAAATTCCAAAATACGAATGTAATGGATCTAGAAGTCGTATAAAATTGATAGAATCAATAGCATATCAACGTACGCTAGAATAATACATTGTCTATTGTCTTTACCAGGAAGTGTATCTATCCATTTGCTGAAGCCTCCTGTATATTGAGATTGAGTGGATAATAGATACTGCCGTTGACATTCAAAATCAATATAATCGTATGCATCTAAAATCTGATCAATAAAGATGTGGTTCAATTAACTAACGCAAAATAGAATAAGTATCATCAATTATTTTCAATTATGAAAAGAAATTATCAAGCAGCAACCTAAATAATGTACCTTTAGTGCTGCTCCAACCCAAAACGAATAGCATGTATCTTGTAACTTGTTAGGCCTGCCTTGAAATCCGTTAATTTGTCTATTGACCAGCCAGCGTTTTAACATTTCCTTCTTCTTGTCTGCTAAGTAAGTATCTAAACAGTCCATTAATTGTAAAGATGCAACAGCACAAAATGTAGAACCAGCTAGATAGGGTCAAAATTGTCGAAATTAAAAGAATTGATAATCTTGGTAGTAAGTAAGGCTAGCAACTTGAATACAAATAATAACACGAGTACAGTATTATCTAACCGTGAGATTCCAATTCAGGACCTTGACTAATACCTCCATCATAAGTCTGATAACATTAAATCATGAAAGGTAGCATTAACAAGCGATAAAGCAAAACAAACACTACATACTGTAATGCGTTCAAAGACAAGTCATTTTTATCGGTTATTACGATTGTCTTACAATGCTCGATAAGATATAGCCAACAGCTTTATCTTTATTAACACCTCTCCAATCGTTAATCATGTACGATACACAGCAAGCACAATAAATAAATCTCATATCGTCTTCACTGCCATTTAGGGTAGCAGCAAAGCTATATATGTTACGAAGGCATCATTAATTGCATAACTGGATACAATTGGACAATAAAATAAATTGACGCTTTATATAATTTAAAAAATTATCTTATTGAAAGGTAACACAATCATCTTACCAGCCATTGTCTAGCTGCAAGGCTTTTAATCCGCTCGCTATACCATCTTTATTAACTCTAGATAGATCATCCCCCAAAATAAGTAAGCAATTTAAAGCGACATAGGTCATCGCTATATGACCATTATAGAATGGCATATTATCCTCCATCTGTCAATTAATTGGCCGTTATGGGATGTTCATGAGATTTGAGTTATTGTAGCAGTGAGTTGATAAGAATAGAGCAAGAGTGCTATTATGTCATTAATTAATCTTCACTTACGTTATCCACATGAATATCTGTCGATCCCCTAAATCCACATTGCAATAAATTGCTTCCTATTTATAAGAAATTAAAATAACCAATGTCAAAATGATGATCTAGTGGAGTATTTAATGTAAAAACTACGACTAAGACTTAAAGTTTGTAGGCTTTCTTCGCTGCATAGGTATGAAATAGGCTTTCTAATATTACATAATATTGTACTAGTTTGGATACAAAGTTTGGATTGCCACTGAAATGATTGGCTTAGTGCCTTTTGTCCTATGCATCGACATCAACCGTTTACTGACGTACAGTATCTTTCATGTTGAAATATATTTGATGACTTTATACGACAACGACAATTGTAAAAGACAAATACAAACCTTTGCTATTGGGAGAAACTTGTAAACTATAAATCCATTCAATAATATCCTCTTTAAGTGATTGTGAAATAGTATCTATGGCGTTCAACACGTCCAGTCCAGAGAGAGCAAAAAATACCAAGCTTAGACTGTCAACATCAAAAAACAGGTTCTATTAGTTGATTTCATGAACAGAGGATAAAAGGAAATGATTTTGGGGCATCAAACTGGGGCGACTATTTCCATCTATAGGCATGTACTGTATTATTTGTATTGTAAATAACAAGTGATCATGAGGCCTATCTTGCATCCTATCATCATTGCAGATTCATACTTGATGCAAGGTATCATTTATTATTCACTACCATACTTGATCATCCTACTGTCAGATCCATGGATTCCATACTGAGTAATCCATGATCATCTCGATGATCCAGTCTACTCTCGCCTTGGCGACATGCAAAGAAAAGCAGCTTTCTTACCATACGACTATCCTATTGCATATGACTGAGAAGTAGTGGTGCAACGTACAGTATTGACTACCTTTCACGTTGTACGGCATTCACTTGAGCTAACATTGGCAGTAGTTATAACAACATCTATATTGCATCTTCTAATAAGCATTTATCGTGTATACAGTCATATCGTCTGTCAAATCACTCTGGTAAGTACCATTTGTATAACAGTTGTATTCCTATGGGCAAGAATCGCGATTGTATTATAATGAATTCATTCATTTTCATTACTGTCTATACTGGTATTTATGATCCATGGACATGATGGGATCGAGTTTAGAAACAACAACGGCGTTGATGGAATCTATTGTACGCTAGTTCTATACCGGGTAGGATCCAACTTTTCGCATTCTGGTGGTAGTACATTCAAGGTCCTTTTAAAATAATTGATATGTTTAGATCTGAGAAAGGCATTGGGGTTCTCCTCCAGTCGATCCATATCATCCATGGGCTTGAAATTTGCGACGTTTCCAGGACTGCTTGCAGCTGCGCTTTTGCTCCAAATGTATTTTCAGTACAGTACTGTGCGGTAGTCTACTACTCATACTGTAGACAACACTAGTCATACTATACTGAACTCCATGAAAGGACTGAAGAGAAAGAGGCTGTTAACATCACAAGGCGATGTAAAGTACTGTACACTGTACACTGTACACTGTAAAGTACTGCTGTACAGTATCCAGTACTAATCCTGTGTACTGTACAGTACAGTACTGTACAGTACAGTACTGTACTGTACTGTACTGTACTGTACTGTACAGTATGAGTGCACAGGATTAGTACTGAATAGTGCTTTGCTTTACAGTGTACAGTACTTTTTGTCGACAGTACGTACTGTACAGTATATACTGTAGGCTGCGGTTGGAGGGAGATCTTCATCGTTGTCAAGGTCTGGACGGTGTGGACATCTGGACTAGTCTAAACCTTGACTAGACTATGCTAAGAAGACATTGAGATGGAAGGAAGAGTCTAAGGAGGGAAAAGTCCTTTCTCTTCCAAGTTTCAACTGGGATGAGATACCCCTCTATTTTATTTCTAACTGCTATGGCATAGCCATACAACATCCATAGTATAAACATGACCGTCTATTGAGGAAGTCATTCAAGATTTCATGGTAAAACCATGCTAGAAGTAAAAGAAATCCAATTGACCTACAGTATATGAATAAAAACTGTCGAGATATTTTCAAATTTTGCTACGGTACCAGTAGACTCGGCACCGTCCAGTTCGGTCTGGCCCAGTCCGATCTGGTCCAGTCCTAGTCCTAATGTATGTAGTACTGTACTGTACAGTGTACAGTACTAGCAATCCTTTTTGCAGACTCTGTACTGTACCATCCTGTACTCTACTCCAGTCTACAGTACAGCATAGTACCTCAAACACAAGCGCAGTATCATACTGTGCTACACTAGGTTACAGTACTATTGACGCGCCCAGCAAAGTACTGTAGTACGGTCGATTAATTAAATCCTTACACCTGGAGATGAAAAACTTGCTTAGAAAACAAAACCAAACTGCCGAAAGCCAACGGAAATCTTGTCGAGGTTGGTAGAGTTTTGTCCTCAATTTTACAAGGTAAGCTGGCTAGGATAGTCTTTTCTCCACACAAATACAATCTATTTTATAAGATGGACTCTAACTAGTCATGATAATGGTCAAGATGTAGCAAATTGGTGTGTTTGTAGCCTAATTTTGTCCATCTCAATCGTCGTCAATGGCTGAGATAGACGATCGATTTTTGACGGACTTGGATACTTGAACGATCATCATGTTGCACGGGCAGGAATAGCAAATGCGATATTCATGCTTCTACCGATAGAATAGAGATACCACTCGCCTACGGTAGGAATAGATCGACCACCATTAGGCCAAAGCTTTTCATAAACAACATACTGAACTACCTTTCAAAACTATTCTACTCGACGACGCTAGATTCTCTTTCAAATAGAAATGATGGCTAGACGCAGTGTACTATTTTTATGCCTTAGTTTGTTTCAGCAAATCAGCTAGTTGCTACCGTTTGACACGTCCAGACTTTACTCCTTCAACGCCCGTTTATTAGGCTATAATTTGCAACGACTGCATGTTATACAAGTCCCATTTCATATCTTGACAACAGGAGTACCCATGGCGCATCCACTCTCAATGGATTGATATCCAATGTTGTCATGGACGGGTTGACTGTTTAGAGTGGAATTGGAACTTGACAATAGCGCCCTCAATCAGTCATCAACTTGCCCTTTTCTTGTCAGAACTGTTCAATTTCATGGGCGATTGGCAATCTTTGACTTTATTGAAAGTCGGACGGTAGTGGAGAATGATAACAAATTGTTAATGTAATTATATTCGCCATAAACTAGTGAACACGGCAATGCATTGATATCACTCACTAGGAATCTTCTATTTGAATCCATCAAATACAGTAGTTTCAATTCACCGCTGAACATTGTTTACAGCCATGGAATGCATGATTGGAATCTTCCCACAATAAATAACATTGGCATCACTTGTAATAACTTAGTCTATTCCATCTCTATATTTGATGGAATCTCATCAAATGGATCCTGCATTTTTGCCATGATTTCAAAATGGAGTGGTAATCATACTCAATGTTGAGCTATGAAAATCACTTCGTAAATACAAATTATGTATTCTTAGGTAGTCTAAAATTCTTACTAAGCATGACGTTGACCATTTCAATGCTGAACATGCTTCTATTCGACTCTTTGAACAACAACCAACGACAGTAGTTGCTTTCTACTTTTTTGTAAACAGATTACGTAGAATCGTTATAATTGAATGGACTTAGTTAGGTTAGGTCGTACTGTGATTGCCTTATAATTAGTTATTGATTGGTTATCCATTTTGACTGGAAGGTTACTTTGGCGAGTCCTACTTCTGCATACCTTTACGCATTGAAGATATTTTCCCAATCGGACCGGAACGGTTGCGAGTTTGCAGTGCCGTGCTGCTTCGTATGTTGATCCATTTTTATTTGAAGCCTAGTCAGACAATCAAACGTTAGTTAGTGCAGTATCAAGCGTCTGACTCTTTCAATATTTCGTAGTTAAAAAGGTAATATGTTGTAAATTGTGTCAATTATTTTGAAATTCCATTGCAATAACACCCAGTTCGAGACTATCTGTATAGTAGGTTCAATTAGAGTAACTTTAATCGATCGACGTTCCCACGTGGAGACTTGCATGACAGAGATAACGATAAATTAAATGCCCTTAATCCTTCCATTGCTACAGTATGTTAAAATCATTTCAACTGACTTACATTCTATTCTATGAAAATAAAACTTTACAGCAAACATGGACAATAAAGGTAACGATTCCAAGGATATCATAATTTTAAGAAGTAGCGATGGCTTCGAGCACAAAGTGGATATTAAAGTAGCCAAAATGTCGGCAACAATAAAAACTATGCTGGAAGGTAAGCGTGCATGAAAAGATATCAAGTACTGTGATAGTTGTGCTGATGCTATATTGCTAGTAGATTTAATGTTGAAAATAGAGTTACATAATTGTACACGTAGACATAGATAAATGATCCGTCCAAGTATTGAACTACTGTAATATCATTGGCCATTTCAAAGAATATCATCCCCGTTCCTAACATTACTTTCAACTCGAACAGATTTAGGAGTTGGAGAAGTAAATGAAGCTGTCCCCTTGCAAAATGTGAACAATGCCATCTTGGAATTGGTAAGCAATCTCGTCATTATAACTCCGAGCGTTTTATGCGCAAATAGCTTCCTTAAAGAATACTACTTGTGATTGATGTGCAATAGTAGCAACGGCGACACATACTCAGTGTTTTCGTATTCTTTCGTAGGTTGTTAAATGGGCAGAACATCATAAGGACGATCCACCACCACCCGATGATGACGATATTAGGGAAAAAAGGACCGATGATATCGATCCGTGGGATCAAGAATTCTTGAAAGTGGATCAAGGCACTCTCTTTGAGATTATACTGGTGCGCAGAAAATTGAACCATAAATTAACTTTATTTAGCGTAACGTGTATTTGACAATATCCCTATTCTTACCAAATATCAGGCGGCTAATTACCTAGATATCAAGGGGCTTTTAGATTCTGCTTGTAAAACCGTAGCTAACATGATTAAAGGTATGATTCATAAATATGCTCTTAACGATAAAGATATAATGTCTTATTTCTGACAACCTATAAGATTAGTAATAATAATAACAATATATATCTATAAAATTAATGATATTCTGCATTTACGATTGAAAATAATGATATCAGGTAAAACGCCAGAAGAAATCAGAAGAACGTTCAATATCAAAAACGACTTTACTCCAGAAGAAGAGGCTCAAGTAATAGCGAATTTCAGTTCTTGTTGTTAATCACATCATCTGAGGAATTTTACACTTCTTTTGTAGTCAATTATGTATAAACAGATTAAATAGATGCATTTGTCTTTGCATTGCAATTTTTCTAAGTTATTATGCATAATTTACTTCAATCAACAGGTCAGGAAAGAAAACGAATGGTGCGAAGAAAAATAAATTAATTTCTGCAGCCTACTGAGTGAAAGACCACCATTACTAACCTTTATGCACAGTTCCCTTGTATGTAAGATTCTTACAAGAAATTGGGAGTCATTTGATATAAAGGTCATATATTTAAATAGTAAATTATATCATATCGTTACCAGGACATACATGAATGACTCTTACCAATATTTTTCGAGGAACAATAATTGTTTTTACTGAGCTTTAGATACTATTCCAAATACCAATAATTGTAATTTACTATCAGAAGATTAATCTTTTATTCACCTTAATATTATCTTATACAGTGTGCCATGCGAATGAATAGTTACACGGGTAGATAGATACTTTTATGTATCGAATGTATTGAAATGTTCGTTGAAGGACAATTTTCCTTTTGCATGGTTTAAAGAACGTTCTTGTCGTTGTTAGTAAACGTATCAAATCATTGCTGACTACATGCTAGTTACTTAGCACTAATCCGTTATGTTAATACTCAATGTTTGTAGACAATTGGTAGTAGATGTAATCCTGCAGTATCTTAGATAGCGTGCCGTCACTATAGAACTAATATGGTCGTCAGAGTAATTAGGTAAATGATATTGTATAATGGATACAGCAATATATCATCAATTGCATACGTAGTACCTTCCGTCATTGAATTTCAAAATTGTTAGCCTGCAAATTACTCATTTAGCAACACCATAAATTTGGACTGTTTATTCAAGTAAAAGCATATCCAAATACAAGTATTCAAGCACAAAGCCTGTCTGATTCATAAGAACCTTTACTGAACTATGTTGAAATTGATTTGCTACTGTATAAAAACTCTAGCACGGTGCACAGATACTATCAAATATTACAGTAAAAGCGAGGTTATACAAGTATAATCAACAAAAAATGAGAAGATCCAACACTTAATTGTGATGATATACTAAACCATTAAGAAATCACAACTGAATGATAAGGACAAACACTAAGCTTAATTAAGTTCCAATAAAACGCGTAGACAGTGATCTCTACATTCGTAGCACCGAGCTAGGTCAAGCTAAACATTTACAATAATATGAAAACGTAGTATACGTAGTATGTTAACTGACATACCAGTATTTTATAACAGAGAAAGTTGCTGAAATTGGATCAGCCAAAATTGTGTACAAATTAATAGCTCCGCTACAAAACGATACAGACCATTCCAATAATATAATTATGACGTCAACCATGGAAGAGAAGAAATCAATTCCTAGATTTGATAGGCTAAAAACAAAAAAATGGCGATACAACACACAGCAACATTACTGCACTTATTCTAGCCAAAAAGAAGAAAATTTGGTAGAATGCCGCCATTTTATAAAACGATTACTTCGACGTACTTGTGGTCGACGAGATTTGAATACAAAAAAATGAATTGAAGCATAGTTGACAGAACGATGAAGTATAACTGAAGTAAGAATCGTTAAAAAAATTGTACTTGCATAGAAGGAAATAAATAATCATGCAAAATACAATCAGCTGTCTATTTCCATGAGAATAGATAATACTTTCCCTTCATATCGTTTCCAAGCGACAAAGGTATGAAACACATGTATAATACTACGAGCTCGACTGTCGATATTATTTGTAAGATATGGCAATGTCGAAGAGCTTCTATTGAACTACTATAGTATATCTATTTCCGCATCAGGAAAATATTACCATAAAATACTAACATGTACTATAGAACATACCATAGCCTGGCCATGATATTATAATTATGAATAATTGTATTAAGCTAAACACTAAGGTCGATAGAGTATTGGTAAAATTAAAATATTCATAGAGGTATCAAGAACCTGGATTGCATTGCCACAACATTTTTACGATTACAAAGTACACTGTCCACTCCCATAATTACCATACTATAGCGTCGTATAAAATTGAAGATGACAACATGAGTACCAATCAAATTTAGACATTAAGCAACTGTGATAAATCATCGTTATTAAAGCATAGTTCATTTTCCACAGTATTGGATTGTAAATGGCATTGCGCCGAGGTGATATCATTATTGTTGGATGCGGTTGTGACTAATTCATTTGTAGAATGGCTTATTAATTGATTAGACATCGGCTGTAGTCCAGCTGATCCTTGCACAACTTGATTATTGCCTTTGGCGACGGCGTTATGCATGCTAGTGCTTGTATGTATAATTGGACTTTGATTATAGTTATCGGCTAAATTGAGGCCATGAGCAATCGATTGTTGTTGTTGTTGCTGATGATGATGATGAGGATAAAGTCGAGGTTGGAGCGACAACAGCCATAGAATGCGGTGGATTCCCTTGCATCATTAAACCTGACGATAAAGCGATATGATCACTCTGATTTGGATGTTGTTGGGAATAGTGATGTTGTGCTTGCGACGGATGTGGCTGCTGCTGTGCTTGTTGCGCTTGTTGTTGATGTTGTTGTTGATCAAGTTGAGGACCACGAACAGAATTAAGCGCTTCTGTTAGCGCTACAATATAATTTTGAGCTAATAATAACGTTTCAATTTTGGATAACTTGCGATCACTAGGATAGTGTGGTACAACAGATCTTAGACGATCCAAAGCAGCGTTTAAACTATGCATTCTCTGTCGTTCCCGTTCATTAATTAATAGTCGACGAGCACGCGAGCGCGACGATGCTGCTTTTTTCTTCCCTCTACTTTTACCATTACTACCGCCATCGTTACTACCATTATTGGCTGTTGCCGTTGAAGTTGTTGTTGGCAATCCTTCTTCCATTTCTTTATCACTAATATCACTTAATCTGTCTTCTTGTAAATCAGTTTTTCTTTTACCTTCATGGCCGCGCGATCTCAATTTGTAGTTATTTTGTTTATCGTCATCGTTATCCTCACCATTTAAATAATCCACTTCAGTAAAATTTTCTCCGTTTATTAATGAATTTTCCTGACTCATACCGATTAATTTGTTTTCTCTTTCTTAAATAATTTTTTTCCTCACTCGCTTTCTCTCTCTCTTTCTCCCTAGTCGTCAATACTATCTGTACAGTTTATTAACATGAATTGCATAGGATACGATATCAGGAAAAAGACAGAAACGGTAAAGTAGGAATTTAATATATTGGCGAAAGAAGTGGTTTAATTTTCAGAGTAGAAAAAAAATTAAAGTAAGATTTGAAATAAAGAAGATTAAAATTTCTGTTGGAGGAATAAAACCGTCGATTAATAATTATTTCAACCTTTACCAACGTCAAAAAAATTTGATTTGCTACCGGTTTGATTTGGCGCACAAAATTCCTGTGGCTATGAAAGATAGAGTATGCTTATTCTTTGTTCGTCTGTACTTGTAAGAAAGCGCTATTCTAAGCAAAAACTGAGAAAAAGGGTGTCTACATAATAATCAAGTCGAAGACAGAAGAAATTAGTTGAATTTTTTATAACCACAGTGAGTAATGAAATCAAAAGCCAGACCAATCAATGGAGCTGTCTTGCCGCGTTAAACATATGGCCATTATTTGCGCAATCAAGTCAGCTGTTACAATGAATCAAAACGGCGCTATAGGAAGAAAAAAATCGAAAATATTGAATATGTGCAATATATGCCAATGATGACAATTACAAACAGGTAGCGTCTATACTTTTCATTGAAATTGGAAGACAGCCATCATTCTTGTTCTATCTAAATAAAACTCCAATACCTTCCCTTCTTAATAGGCCGCATAATCATGTCAAAACTAGAAATAGGATTACCACTTTTGTTTTTTTCAAGTCATTCAGGAGTAAAGCCTTATTTCACTTTGATTATAATACATTAGTGTTAGATAACTGCAAGTTAATAACAGATTGGGTAAGGGTATCACTTGCGTAGAACTTGTCTAAATTATTATCAACCCGATGTGGATCCACATCATCTAATAGGCAACAAAATAATGTCTATTTGTACACCGAAATAATCATCCCCTGTGTCCTATCCTGAAATTGACGGTAAAGTTAGAATAACCACTATCAAAATGATCACTTTCAAGGCTATCAAGTTAATGTTGTATGCCCATTTGGTATTCTACTCCTTCACTATTTATGTCATAAAAGGAAATATAATGCAATTTAGTCATCTAAAACAGCAGAGATTCAGCTGTTAATGCTATTGTTTATGAGGGGGGTATAATTAAATGACAAAATTAAACTATATTATCTGCCGGTGATAGCCTAGAACTACTACGATATCCTTGCTATAGCAGTTAGCTTTAATGACCCCAAATCCATGATATTAGGATAAACTAGCCCGATATCGTATATTTTGTAAGAATAGACTTCTATCTAAATGTTAATTACCGAATGGAACTAAAGCTGTCGTACTGAATGATCTTAGCAATGATTGTATTTGCCATCTAGGCGACAACAGCAAGCATTAGAAAAGCTTCAATAACATTACATCAGATAATATTCAGGAAAACTAGTTATTACGGTATGATTTTAATATCGAATCATCATGCTTGCCCTTGTATCTATTTTAGTTGATATCTTGCATTATAAATTAAAACAGTAGAGGTGATACTATCCCAACTATCAATACGATGACGATATGTAGCCATTCATGTTATTACTTTGATATCGACAACTTGTAGCTCTGAAAATAGAACAATCTAGTAGTTGTCTAGCAGGTTCTATCCATCATTACCTAACAAAATTTACTATTAACCTTAAAAGTAAATAACTTCAGCCAGAGATGATATCATTACTTAGTCATTAATATACAGTGTGGTAGTTATAGTATTGTTATGAAGATGACGATGAAAGTCAATATGAAAAAGGGAGGAAAGAAGAATTTTTATTATACTTTCAACTAGCGATAAGTAAATAAGTATGATCATAATATCCACCTATTTTATTTTATATCAATGTCACGTTAATTGCATTTTTATTCCTTAGACAATAGATTGATTACTAGCTACAATAGTAAGTTAATTGCACAAGGAATGAGAAAAAGGGGAAGATTTTGGCATTTTAGTAGTCACACGCAATAAATCTTAGTCATAGCTGTGATCGTTTGCATGATTGCTAGTTAACATAAACTTTAAACTCATTTTATTATGCGTCTTCGTACTTATACAAGTACTATAAAAGTAGCGAACGATTGCACCAGTAGAATCAACTCTACAATAAATAAAAAATTTCTAACTACTTTGCTAATCAAGTCGATATAATTCTTAGCACCTATCAAAGCGAAAAAGATTGAACTATTTCTGTAAGAATGATGAACTCTACAATATCGGCAGTTGCAATACATATACTGAACAGCCAAAGCCATTAAAAGAGAAATGAATGCCACTTTTCTCTATCTATGATCCTCATATTATTAATCGAACTGAGAAAATTTGACTCCTAAAGTAATCTAGTAATGCCATGGACCGATATAAAGTGAGGCTAGTAAATGTTTGATTAGAAGAAAACGTGTCACTTATTGATGATCTTGGGAAGCCTGGACAGGGCAAAATACTCGCTTATAGAAATCATGCCAGTTAAAGGCTCAATCCTTCTATTTTTATGTCCTAATTCATCTCTAATCCATTATCAATAAAGTTAAAGAAGAACTAGAACCATGTAGATAAATTATTCATCAATCCAAACTCTACTCTATTCATCTACATTATGAAATCAAGCAGCTACTCCCGTGGGTGCCTTGTTAACGCGAAAATCAGGTATTGTCTTGCCATCTGTTGCTTATGTAATTGAATTTACCTAATTTATTCTCATCTACATAAGTGATTGATAGATGGTAATAACCTGCATCTAATTCATTAGTCGATAAAGTTATTTGTGCTATGGATGACGGGAAGCAATCAAAAAATTGCATGGTGTTTAGAAATTGTATTCAATAGGTTAATAGCCAAGCAACAACTAGCTGATATATATTTGCATACTTTACTACTTTCAAGTAAACCTCTTTAAAATTCATTATTTTCCTTGATTCATTATATTATCATGGCTTGATAGAGACGAATCATAATTTCACCAGGGGTAGCGGGTACATTGGAGCAGATAAAAGAGATGTTGGAATATAAAAAAAGCCTTTTTTCTAGTTACGAATTATACAACGTCGATGTAAAGTACAATATAAAATATAGTAAAATTAGTGGTATTCTACATACAGTATTTTAGGGGACTATACTATACGCGTATTTGCTATGCCAATTAATATATATTACAGTACGTGTACACAAAAATTATATCATTATTACTATCGATGCATTCAGCCATGTGGGATCTGTTAGAGAACAAATTCCATGCTATAAGGCGGATGCTATTTATACCAAGTTCTCTACTTGTCATATTTAGATGGCGCCTTTATTATAATACCGTGCTCCTTACTTCATATAGTTTTACAATGAATTTAGGTGAAGTTATTTCTAAAAGTTGACATTAAATTATATTATCGGCTTTAAATAAAAGCTATAAATGCAAACGTATTAAACGATAACTTAGTTTCATTTTATATCATAAGAAAAAAGAATTGTTATAGGCCGATGTTATACAGAATTATATCCAAATGCAAGCTAAATATCAGCTAATAGCGAGCTATTTCTACTATATTCACACACACACACACAGAATAGGCTGCCTCCAACGCCATCAAACTGGGTGTACCTACCCTGAAGATGATACTATAGCTATAATTAGTTTGCAAGCATTCGTAACGATTACATGTAAGACATTACTGTTCTACTATTAAATAAAATTATAACGGCAACATTTCAGTTTGATGTAGTAACAAGATGTAAAGGCGATAAGGAGTTAACATTAAGCAATTTCATTATTTATGCGATAATCAAGAATGATTAGCAGCGTCATCTTTTATCTAAATAATTGAACATTGACATAATCGCCGGATCCTAAGTAAATTATTTTTCGTTGTATTAATATTATCGTTAGTCTAGATATCAATATGCAATCCGTTTATGTTTCCTACTTCGATTGTTCTCACTCTGATCTCAAAACCCTTGTTTTGTCATCGTCATGATCCGATAAAGATCAACAGCATTAACTTGTTTATCTAGTAGTATACGAATCTAATGCTCACTAATCAATGCAAGAATTTCTTGCAAAAGCACGTGTTATACAGTATTACTGCTATATATTTCCTATAAAAATAATACTAAGTCATAGCTTGATCAAATTAACATGAAATCACGCACTTCAATGCAATATCTTCAACAATAATAAATTAATTAACGTATCATTTTAATTTTAAAGTAACTAAATTAATTCTATCAGTACTGTCTAGTTATAATTTCGGTATTTTTGAAGTCAACAGCCAGCTAATATCACTCTATCTCTATTAATAATTACTTCTAATACATAGTTGACACAATTCGGCGACAAATTTTATTATCATGAATATTTGGTGAATAACATGATGTGACTTACAGCAATTAAAATCTAATCATTTTGGATTTACACCTACATCAAGGCCTCCATAAATACTATCAAAGAACTAGTCGACGTTATTATATATCGTTCATCTTCAATTTTTAGGGTATGACGTCTAATTAGAACGGATTGTTATTAAAAAAGTTTTAAGAATTGATTTGTGCGTATTTCATACGTGTCCGCGATACATTGGTATTTATTTACTCATATCGTAAGCTATGACAAACAAAT